TATATTCTGCAGTTATGGGATTCTAGCAAGTAAGTGACTAAACATCCCAATTTAGCTTCCTTAAATATCAAAGATGTCTAAAGATGGCCCCTATTTCTTGCATCTAGAATGATCTCCGCGTCCAAAATTTACTGGTGCAAACACTGTAGTTGTCATTCAGTAAATCCTTGGCTAATAGACATACTATAAATCCCAGAGAAACTTTCAAGTGATAGTTTTTCTTTTTTAGTTTTTGGTTTTGCTGATACCTTAAGTAAAGGTGCCAATAGACTTTCAGCAGAAGAATATTTTAGTGCACTAGAGGTGTATGTGCAATGAAATATGAAAAGCTGCTTTGGTGTATACCCAAAATAAACTTGACCTCAGAACTTTCAGTTCCTTTAGGAGCAGCTGGCATCTAGAAATGCATAGTATATGCTAGGAATGATAATCTAGATGAGTTTTAGGGATGAACTTGTTAGAGTAGATTCTGTAACAAATTGCATTTTGCTTAACAATTTTAGAAAATGATACCAAGCATTTATCATTCCTTGTTTTAAAAAATCCTCCTTAAACTAAACAAAGGACTCCCATTAAGTGACTCAGAGCCAGTGTGACCTTTTCTTGGTGTACAGTGGGAATGCATCACTTTTTATATAGATGAGAAGATTTGCAGAGCTCACAAAAAGAAATTCCATGCTTAGCTTGGATAAGAACCCTAGAATACTTGGACTGAAGGTTTGTGCCTCAGACGTTGTTCCTGTGCACTGTGTGAGAGCTCGTTGGTTTGAGTGTCTAAATGGAATCTTGTTCTCTGCAGATTTCTCCCAACCACATTGGTAATTAGAATACAGAGACAGATGTACTGAGGTATAATTTCAGAAGTAGCAAGCCTGTTGGAAGTAGAAGGGTCTGTCTGACACTCTAGGCTTAAAAACTGAGTGGGGAAACAAAAGAATTCCAATCTGCTTTCTAGACGTATCCTACCATTGTCTAATCCATTATTTTACTGATGTTCCTGTGAAAACTGTAGTGCAATGTGAGTTTTGCTTTCCAACATCATTGTCAAGTATGAATGAACTGCCCCCAGAAACCTCCTGGGCACCTCTGTTTGTCATAACTAAGTTCACAATTAATCTTCAGAAACAGAGTTTGCTTTGAGGACTTCTTGACAGCAGCCTTTGGAGATGTTGAGTCATAGGATCTTTTTGTTTGTGTTGCTTTAGTTCTCATGAGTATTGTCTCCTTTCAAACCCATGTCTCCCCAAGAGCAGGATACCTTCCCACTCTTGTAGATCTACTAGGCAACAGTGGCTATTTATACATGGGTGTAAAAATGGACCCTTCAGAGGTTTGTCTCATGAGTAAATTTTGATCCCAGTTTCAAGGTGAGTTTACTGCAGTGCATTCTTACCCTTACTCTTTCCATTTAGGGCTGTGCACTTTTAATAATTTGTGTGTCTGGTGTTTAATGCTGACAGGATTCCAGTCACTGGAGAGGTTTCATTGCAAGTAGCTGCAGGTGTGTTGGATAAAAGTAGCTATTTCTTCATGAAAGGACTTTGTTCCATTTTAAAATTTCTGAGAAGAGAAATTCCCTTTGGAAGCTAGTGTTATACAGAAAAATCAAATTTGGGATCATGTGTAAATGGAAGTTTTGTGCTAAAGTGTTCTGTTCTACATAACCTTTTCATATTTAACACTAAGGAACCGAAAACACCTATGATTTCACCAATTATTTTTTTAATATAAAACCCTTGAGAGTATTGTCAAGACAGTTTAATTTGGAGGTTTGGGAAAAGGATTAAATTTTGCCTCATTTGCCAATGAAGACTTTATTTTTTTTTGTGTGATATTAAGGAAAAGACTACTTGCCTTTTTTTCAATTTATTTCTTGTCAGTCTCAGGGAAACTGTTTTATAGTAACTGTTGTCAGTGTGCTGTGCTGCCACGGTGTGCACCAAAACCCCGGCCGTGTGCTTATGTGAAAGGCAGGAAAACTCGCAGTTCACGCTTGGTTTGCCTTTTCTGTGCTTCCTGCATCGTTTTGCGTTTGTCGCTGTGACCATTAGGAACAAAAAGTCTTTCTGCAGGCACCCGGGGCTCCTTAGTGCTTCTCACCCCACCTTGCTCTCTGCCTTTCCAGCAGGCTACAGCCAGCAGCAGCCCCCGTCGCAGCAAGCCCAGCAGTTCCCGGCCTACAGCCAGGCGGCTGCCCCGGCCCCGGCCGCCGCCTTCCCGGGGCAGGCGCAGCAGCTGCCGGCGCAGCAGCCGCCGCAGTACCCGGCGGGCAGCTTCCCCCCGCAGCCCTACACCACGCAGGCCTCGCAGCCCGCCGCCTACAGCGGCTCCCAGCCGGCCCCGGGCACCTTCCAGCCGCGGCCCGGCTTCACCCCCCCGCCCGGCAGCACCATGACTCCCCCGCCCAGCGGGCCCAACCCCTACGCCCGCAGCCGTCCCCCTTTTGGGCCGCAGGGTTACACCCAGCCCGGGCCCGGCTACCGCTAAGGACGTGCCCCGAAGACAGCGACTGACACGTGCGATTCCATCCCGACAGACTCCAGAATTTTTAATTGAGATTCCAAAACTGTAATGAGGCAAAACTATAGCTGTTAATTAAATTCTGCTGGGGGGAGGGAAATTACCAAATCTTTCCTGCTTTAAATTGTATTCGCTTCCTAGTTTAATTTGGGGCTGGGTGGTTTTTGGAAAACACTACTTAAATGTCTGTAAAGTGATTGACATTCTAGCTTGCCTTATCTGAAGGATATGAAGATACTAGTTGGAAGTTTAGCCCACTTATCAGGCTTGTTTGTACTAATACCATGATGTACTAAATTAGATTCATTCTGGAGGTCAAACTAGATATGATGTATTATAAATTGTAATGTTCACATGGAAAAAACTAATAAAAACCCTGAATCTATGAAATGCCTGATCTTGATTTTAGAAGTTAGGTAATACTGAACAAGACTACTGTGCTAAAACCAGTGTGCATGCTGCGTGCAAAGACTTTGTGGTGAAGAGCAGCGGTGCTGGGATCTGTAGGCGGAGAGGCAGATTTCTGGGTGTGTAAATGGAGAGGTGCTGGGACTGCAGATGGCTTTCACAGAGGTTTCACAACAGGGGGTGGTTTTGTGCTGTCTGCTGTCATTAATTGTCAAGTGACTCTTTTTACCAAATGGTTAGAAACCAGTCCATAAAATCTTAAAGCCTCTTATCAATTTTGCTTTAACAAGGTGTGGGAGAGAATTTTTATTACTTGAAAATTTAGTCCAAATGGGTAACTTTTGAAAAGAGCTCTTAAAAAACCCCAACTTTCCGCAGGTTCTTTGCCACCCAGAAGAACTTGGGAGTGCAATCCTAGTGACTCAATTTTGAGCCAAGAAAAAGCAGATCAAGGGCTGTAATGAAGTCAGTAGACCACATTACAGCAGAGAGCAAAACATTTTCCCAGTTAATATTTTCCATTTTGCAGATTCTAGGAATATGTAAAACTAAGCGGAGAATAAAAAAATGAGCTGGAGTAAGCTGCTTGAGCTCTCCCGAAGACAAATTAGGAAGTTGAGTGAAAATATTCCTACCTTCAGCATCCTTAAACAGTGCTGTGCCCACAGCTACTCAGTAAGCTGTGGCTGTACCTCCTCCCATTTCTGCTCTTGGACCTAACACACCCCATGTTCATCAGGTCATTTAACAGGGGCTTGGTTCCAGCAAGCAGTTTGTTCTGAGTAACAGCATTTACCAGAGAAACTAAGCTTTGTTTTCATGTAAAACACTTGAAAAAAACCACTTGATTAAAAAATATTTTATTAGGCGTACAGTGTACCTGCAATGTACTTTATAAGGTATTTTCTATAAATGACTACTATATAGATCTGGTAGTTCCTGTTCATATTTCTTCAATACATTAGTAAGGTAATGAATAACACCTTTAAAAAAACCTACATCTCTTTATTTAGTTCATAAATGTTCAAGCAGTACAACAAGTAGCTTTGGGAGAGGTTTTAATCAAAATAACTGTAAAGCAGTTTTAAAGTTCAGTTATCAGTATTTCCCCTTTGTCCCCAATGAAAACTGTTTTAAACCAGAATTTTTCTTTTAAAATAAAATAAACCTGATCATGCTGTAATAACTAGTTTATTCTTTTTCCTCTTTCATTTGTCTTTCCAAGTCCCCTTGCACGGTACATACGTTTGGCTTTTGAACCAATAAATGTCATACTCTGAAAACGACATTTTCCTGAAAAACCCCAGCTGTGGAGGCCAGCTTTGTTTTTTCATTCCATGTACATATGTACCTGTCCACTTCAATTACAGAACACTAACCCTCCCTGCCAGCCACTGCCAGGCTCTGACTTCAAAGTGACAGGCTGAACATGGCTTTGACTGGGGCCGAAACATTTGAAAACAAACATGGAAGAAAACTCCACTGAACTTTATCATTTAAAGCTGCACATACAGCAACCTACCTCAGCATTATGGCAGGAGCATAAACTGTTTGAACGTGTAAGGAGAAAGTGCTTCAAGTTTACTGGCTGCAGGATATTAAAAATTATAGGATCTTTTCTATAATTTATGACTGGGAGATGTTACAGATGGATTAGGATGGGTAACTTATGGCACTTGCATTACAGGACCAGTGAATATTTAAAACTAACGCACATTGCATTCCATAATCAACTCTGGCATATCTGTGCCTTAAACATTTATTACAACACTGTGATAAATAATATACACACTGTATCTTTTAAAATACCATATAAACCATACCTCAAGAATAGGGAGCCAGCTTCCCTATGCATTATCCTACAACATGTCCCTAGCCTGTGTTTCTTTTTTAAATTCTAAAAACAAATTTGTAACACTGGATAACTACAGTAAGCGGCCTACACTATTACACAATTAACGCAGTATTGGCATTAGACTGGTACAAGCCTCGCGCGTTGGCCAACCCTGTAAGCGTTGCCTTCCTGCAGCCTGCGCTGGGCAGCGGGGCCTTGGCACCCTCTTCGTGTGGCATCACCACTTGCCAGGTATCGATGTGCCACACTCGTACCAGCGCACGTAGTTAATCTGGGTCTCCCCGCCTATCTTCCCAAATTTGACAGGCTCCTGACGAACTGCCCTGAAAAACCCTGGAACAGAGAAGAGAATTTTGTTGGCACGAAGCTCTCAGGACAGTACCGTGCTTTGGTTCCCTGAGAAGTCTGTAACCAACAATTCAGTGTGTGGCTGAAATAGTCACCAAGCCTTTAACCCACCTGCCACAAGCAGAGCTGTTTGCTGCCCCTACATCCACTAGCACTCTGCAATTTGCCCACCCAACTCAAAGCAAAAGTACTTGGGATTGCAGCACAGAGGTGAAGTGTGCCTCCCTGGAGATCCCTGCTGTGGGTGGGGGTGGCTGGGGCCAGCCTGTACTCCCTCCGTCCCCCCTCTGGCTGTTCTGGGCTCTTGGAACAGGAGGCAGCTCTGCATTGCAAAGTGACAGTGACAAATAGTCCCCACTGTGCAGCCTTGACACTGCAGTGAGCCTCAATAAAACCCGGCCACTGGGGAAAGTTCACAGCATCGCCCCATCCAAATCATCCTCCTGCTTTCACTCTGGTGCTTTTGACAACACACTTGCTTCCCATTCAAACAATTAACATTAGGTAAAGAATTAAAGTGAGGAACTGGGGTTCCATCTAACCTGACCATAAGGAATCTATGTGTGGCTGGAGCCACACACACACAAAAAATACTGAGATGGCATCAGCCATGATTCTCTCACAGCACTTTGGGTCAAATATACACACTGTGTCTTTTAAAACACCATATAAACCATACCTCAAGAATAGGGAGCCAGCTTTCCTATACATTATCCTATAACATGTCCCTAGCCTGTGGTTTTTTTCATGCTGATTCTCACAGCACTTCAGGTCAAATATGTGAAGTTATTTCAGAAATCAATCTGCTGCAGGTAGAACAATTGGTCTATTGGTTTGTTCAGTTCATTTGCTAGAAATACAAGCTACTGAAAAGGTGAAGTCTTTTGTTTTCTTCTTTTGTTGTTTATTTTGGCCTAAAAATGATCATAGTTCATGAATTCACTCAAATCCAGTTGCTGAAATCAAATTGGTTATAAGTGTATTTTAAACTGAGGTAGCAAGCTTGTTAGGTAAAAGGTTTTTCAAATATTCAAATATTTTTTAAAGTGTGAATCTGGTACAACTGAGAAGTTTGCTGTCCTGGCAATGCAGATTGGATTCTGACCATCTCTTACGCAAAATATCATTTTGGATGGGCAGCACTGACTGGGAAGGGAAAAGCAAAAACCTCTTTAGAAGAAACACACAAAACACATAAACAAACACCCTTCAGACCATTCAATAACTTTGTTTTTGGAAAAACTTGTGAAAGACTTGGGAACTTCATCTCCCACACCTACCTTGACGCATATCTGGACTCGTGGGGTGTTTTGTAAGGAAGGTTTGGTCAACACGTTGATATTGTACTGAAAGCTGTTTTGCTGTTTTCCTCAGTGAATGACACGCTCAGCACGCGTGCACGTACCAGCACAGCCTAAGTTCTTACCCCACAAGGAACAGAACACCTCACCCTGGCACTGCTGCCAGCAGCAAGGCAGGACTTCAGCTGACAGAAGTACAAATTTCTTATACCTCAGCAATGGATACAAAATAGCCAGGCAGGTCACGGCTGTGTTTAGCACATCCAGTGCCATGGCCACTTAGACCAGACTGGAATTTTGGGCACCCTTTTGCAATCAGCACACACAGAATTACTGCAGCATGAATTATATTTTCCGGCCATAAATTTTCAGTTTCTCATTAGTACCAAACAAGGTATTTAATGCCCAACTGATTATGTACTGTGCTTTAAATCAACCTTGCTAGTTTGAACACACCACTTAATGCCTCTGCAAACTCAAATTTGTGGTTGGGTTTAAATAAGTAATACCAACTGTGAATAATTTGTAGGGCTGTTTTAAACAGGAGAGAGGCTGTTTGCTACCTAACAGAACCCAAGTCATAACTGTCTTAATAAGTCATCATTCACTGTCAAAGAACTTCTTGACCCTCTTCTGCCTGCATAGCTGGCAGCTCCTTTCATGGCCCACCCCAGCAGCGGGCATTGAATCCACTGGCAGGAAATAGAAACAAACAAAGGAATTGCCCAGGTTTGCTACAGATACAGGTCTTGGGAATTACCATCTTTGACTGGCAGATCTTCTTGCTGTCCTGTCCTTCCATCTAAGAATGAGTCTACAAATTGGCAGTGATCTTCTCCATGGCCCCTCTGGTCTCCTATGTTATAAAATTTTCCTGAAAGCAAAGAAGCAGCAGAGTTAGTGAAAGCTATTTCCAAAAACCACCAGAGGCAATGGGCTGTGCTCTTTTCTCTGTGGGGAAGCCAAGGTGAATGCTATGATTCTTTTCCTCTCAGGACCTGTAGCTGTAATTTGAACATGACATACAAGCTCCAAGTGCTCAAGGCTAAGGCCCCACTCCTGGCCAAAATCTATGCCTGGACATAATTTTTCCCTCTCCCTACATTTCATACAGTATGGGAAATCCTGTTACTACCAAGAACATCATCAAAAAGCAAGTTTTGGTAGTGATTTGAATGGAAGGCAGGTCTGGTTCCCTGTCAGGAAGCCCCCAGTACCTTCAGAGATGTTTTTATAGACCGCCTCCTAACATAGCCAAGGCCTGTTTTATAAATCATCATATTTTTACAACATGTATGTGCAAGTGATAGCCCTTAACATATAGATGACCTCAGATACTAAGTACTTATCCAGAGCATGGAGTGTGCCCATCTATTTGCTTGCAGGATTGCTTAACAGGACACTTGACTGCAACTGAGTAGAAATCAAGGTCTCAAGTGTCCCATGTAGCATGTGCTGACCTTAAAGACTGTGATTATCCTGTTAACAGGCACAGTGAAGAAGCTTTGACAGATGTTTTTTTTACTTGCTGATTTGATTTGCAAGACATTAGTAAAATTCAGTTCAGAAGATGGAGGAGAGCATGCTGTGTTCTCTTCCCAAACCTGGGACAGACACCTTTGTAGATAAACTTACCATTCTTTCTAATCTTCTTTCACAGCACTTAGTTCTCAATATGTTCAACCTTTGGTTGAGATATTGAAAGGAAAGGTGAGAGAATTTAGAAAAAGGCTCAGGGTGGAGGTATAAGCTAGGTAGAAAGTCCAGTTACTCATTAGATACTAGGTGTTCTGGAGCCTTGAATCCATGCCAGTCTGGCCATTTGAGAGGTGCTGGGGTGGGTTATAATACTGCTCCCAAAGAGCAATTAATAAAAAAAAGCAGCCTACCAATAAAGTCCAATGTTTTTGTGATCTGAGCAATACCTTGCCAAAATTTCTCACCTCCAGTTGATGGCCTCTGTGCATGTGGTTCTTCTCTAGCTTTACAAAATTATTTATTGCTATCTAGCTTTGGCTGCAAACATGTTTTTTTCCGTAGGAGAACTGGTCAGAGGGAGTTCCTCTCAGCAAATTTTTGCTCTGAAATTAAGAACATTCAGGCTGCCCAAAAGAGCCTTTTTTTTTTTCCACAGCTGTTGAAGGTCACACATAGAATTTATTTTTTTCCTTCCCTCAATAAATACTTATTTTTAGGTGGCCTGCTTTTCTGGAATGCCTACAGTGACTGCTCTGGAGGACTGTTAAATGAGGTCAGCAGTAGATGCTGGTTTATGGAACAGTCCTGGCATGTGTAAAGGAGAGATCAGTTTTTCTCCATAAGAGAGAGAATAAGCCAGATATTTTAATGGCTAACACCAGAACAGTAACTTGCAGATACACACATATTCTTCTGGCCCACAGCTTAACCTATGCATAACTCAAACAATTGGTCTTCATAAATTAGCAGCATTCTCACTAACTATTACATTCTTACTGCCCAATTATTTCTGTAATGAAAGAACACACTTAAAACCATTCAGCTAACAAAAAGCTGGTTTTCTGCTTTGGGAATAGCAATTCTAGCACAAAGTCAGTTTTTTTTTCCCCAGTGTTCCCTTGTGGGTGGCCTTACAATCTTACATATAAACTTTGTGTTATACATTATAAATTCCACAGCACTAGAAGAATAAATTCATGCTAAAAAACAGCATGCAAAAGAGGCAGTTGCTGCCTGCCTTATACAATGGCATGTGGACAGAGCACCCCAGTTTCCAGGCAATTACACTGCTTCCACAGCAAAGCTTTGGAAGGTTTTTCAGTGTCCAGTGGAATTCAGAGCTCAGTGCACACCTGGTGCAGCTGGCTGGTGCTTGCAGGGGCTCTTCCTGGCCTTGGGGACATGGCCAGGCGAGGTGACCGTGAGACACATCAGAGCAGAGCTTGGCTTCAAACAGGGAAACTTCCCACTCACACAGAGGCCTCACTTAGCAAGGGCAAAAGCAGCTTTCCTTCTACATAAATATTTCACTTTTAAATATTGTGACAACTGGTTAGCACTGGTTGTAACAATTCAAGTGCAAGAACCATGCTTAGCAAGTATAATGAATACAGTGTGTCTATCTCATCTTTTTCCAACGAGGTTAAACCACCACCCTTCCAGCAAGAACAAAAACAATCTAATGAAAATAGGAAAATGGGCTCCTGATATTAAACTTTTCAGATTGGGGTTGCTTTCACTGCAGTGTTAATTCACTTGATTTAGGGCTGTAGTCTAGTCCTGCTAGATTAGCACTGCTATTTCCTCTGCTGGCTGGTTTTGGGACACATCATGCCTCATTGCCAGAGCTTGTCATTTGATCACAGCTGGTTAGTACAGCAACAGTTGAATGAATGATACATCTGTTCAAAACATTCTCTTTTATTCACAAAATATCTAAGATATTATTTACATATGGAATATTGTACTGACTATTAATGACAAGGCTTTCCTTCCTTTTCTGCTCATCAGAGAACGGTGCCAGATGCAAGGCAGGGAAGCTTAAAATCATGGCACCATGGGCTGCCCTACACTCCCTTGCTCTTTTCCTTCCATATTCTTTTCATGAAGCCCAGAGCTCTGCTCCTGTGAGGTGCTGAGCTCAGAGATGGGGTAACTTTAGGTTATGAAAGTGGATTCTTCCAGCCATAGTCTTGCCCTAGCTAATTCAATGGGATATGTTGAACACACTTGCCTGACTTGCACTCAAAAGGCTTTCTCACACATCTTTGTGCTCAGATGCCATGCTAATGCCATTGTCACAGAGCTGTCTGTGATAAGAGATTTCACACAGAAGAGAGCCAGGAGCTTGGGATGCATTGTAAGAAGTTAACATATTTAATGTAGCAGATACAGCTTGGACAAGCTGCATGAGACACAAAGATCTCCCATCAACTAACTGAAAAACACTTCTCAAAGGTTGTTTTCCCTGCATGTGTCACCTGATTCAGGTCTTAAAGACATCACACTCAACTGGCCTTAAAACACTGAACAAAACTTGAGAATGTGTAAGGCCAGGAAGTTTCCCTTAGTAATAAAATATAATTTGAGGAAAACAAAAAGGTGGGGAGAAAAGATCATAAGCAAAAATGGGGAATGTGAAAACAAAATAAAAATGTCAATGCAGGTGGGTAAAACCTGTTGACTAGAGTTAAAGTCATGTATTTATAAGCCTCTCAGTAATGAAGTAACCAGATGTTTACTGAAAGGAGTGGGAATGACAGGGGTAATCCCGGTATAAAATGAGGTCCTGATCCTCTAATTAATAATTCTAATTAATAATTATTCTCTAATTAATAATTGAACACCAGTTTGGCTGTTTTACAATATATGCTATTCACTCTGATCTTTATTTGTTTTCTGTATGATCCCCAGTATATAAACAGTTACTTAAAAGCAGATGATCACCACAGAGAGGCTCCTCTGGAGTCTGAAAACTCAGTATCAAACATGTCAATGGTTACTGAGCACAAGCAGATTACTGTTTATGATTAATCTGTGAACTAAATCAAACAAATCTGATCACACTTCAGCAGAGCTCATCTTGTTAAACTTCTTATTTCAGAAACCATAATATCTTTCAGGAATGCAAAATATGGACAGCACTGATTTGAATGTTTCTTACCTGTAAGCGAATCACTGAGGTATATCTTGTATCTCAAAGAATTGCACAGCTGCACACCCACAAACTTCTTATACCAAGTCCTCTTTACATATTGTTTGCCTTTGCATTCTGAGTATGTGTCTGAATTGAATGGGATTTCAGTCCAGATTGCATCTTTCCCCACTGCAGGAGAAGAAAAAAGAGGCTGAAGTATGATGCTGCATACAAAATTACACACAACAAATGCATTTGAATAACTAGAATTAGAAACTTTCATGAAGCAGAATGTACCATGACACCTGCATTTTGAACATGAGAAATATGTCAGGGAAGCACCAAAGTATGCAGGTACAATTGGTGCTGTGAACTCCTCCTGCTGTCCTCTGGTGCAGGTTTGGAATAGGTTCATTCTAGGACCTTGTTAGGGGGACAATGTTTGTACTGGAAATAGTCTCAAGTGTGTGATACAGTCACCATTCTTCAGTGCGTTCAAGCCAAGACAATCAACTTGCAGCAAACTGTGATCTAACAAAAAATACATATAAAAATGAAGTGCCATTAATTATGTGGAGAAAAATGGTTCCACGGTGTTTGTCAAAGTGAAAGTGATGACTATTACAAATACAAAAAGCAGCCCAATTTGCTCGAATGATCTCAGCTCTTCTTCAAAAGCTCAGTTCACCTTCCATCAAGGACAGGAAGAGTCTTGTAAGTGGCCTAAGGCAGAGCTAGATCAAACCTTCTGAAGCAGAAAATTTTCCTAAAACACTAAGACAGATAAATAGAATCCTCCAAGTTGTGCTCTGTTAACTCACTTAAAAATGTGGAGTAGCTTATTCATTTTGCAGAGCTTTCTTTGCTTTAATGACAAGGTTGAGAAAATATGAGGCTGTCCTTGGCTCATTTGTGTACATTGGTTTGAAGCCATCCCAGCTGCCATGGGAGCTCCACATCACGTTGATTGCCTTATGCTCAGGTAAACAAACAGCCTTGCATGAATTCCTTGGCAGGGGCATGGGTGGAAGGAGGGAAATTGTGTGTGAATACTGTTTGATTCTGTAACTCATCCAGCTGGTGCAGCAGAGCCACCCTCCTTGTAAAATTCTGCTATCTCATTTCTGAAAAAACTGCTGATCAGATTTATGTATAAAACACTTACTTGAAATTGGCTCACTCACTCTTGGGTCCGCTGGGGGAAGAAAACAAACATTCAATCAGACACTGTAAAATGAACGTTTCCAATAATTCTATGGAAAAGCATTGGTAAGTGATTTTTTACAGCTGACGTAAGCTGTAATTTGTGAAACAGAAAGAGTTTTGGAAGTGAAGTTAACTTTTGTATTAAATTAAATTAGAAGAAATATATTTCTTGTATGAAACTCCAGTATCAATGAGCTTTTAATAATTTTACTTATGGGACAACACCAGCCAAGCAGAGCTCTAGTAAAAACAAGAGTTTAAACCTGTAACCAGTTGTACCGTGTCTTATTAAAATTTTAATTTCAAAACCTAAATAATAAAAAGGGCACATCTGTAATACTTGCCACAAAAAACTTGGCTTTGAAAGCCCAAATGTGAGAAATGGATGTGTGCAATTAAGAAAAAACAAAACTGCATGCTTTATTTGTCCAAACTAAATAGGAGACAGAACATAAGCCTTGTCATTCATGAAAATTGCACCTGGCGCAAATGTTTTTTCACTTTTAACAATCTAGAATTACAAAGAGTGTATTCAGAGGTTTTAAATATGTGTGGCATAGTCTGCACTCCTCCCTGAGTAATCCTTTGCTCAGCCAAAATTCTCATCCATCAGTGACAGCACTAGTTGAGGACTATTAAATTATTACACCTGGCTCTAAACACAGATTGAGAAAGTCCCTTTAAAAAGGCTAAATCCATTTTGTGTTTTATGTGGTCTTTCAGTACTACCAAGCAATAAACACTTCTGCAGAAAAGATGGTATCTTGCTTGCCTAAAGTCAACAAGTCAGCAAGAATAGGCAGAGCAAAAGCTCTCTGATTCTCACCTCTGAGTCAGAGAGAACTTCACCTGGGAACCAACCAGTGGCCAAAACAGGCTTGTATACACCTCTTTAAGAGTTTCACTGGAGAGTAAACAGGATGGAAGGGGACCTACTGGGACACTGACTTTTCACAACAGCTCTTTCTCAATCCTTATTTTAGCCAAACAACATCACTGTTTGCAGCAGCCTTATTGAACAGGTAGCAAAAACACCTATGAACACACCAGCCCAAAAAAACCCCTAATGTTCCCCATCCAGAAGTTGTTAATGTGTTGGATAGATGCAAAAAGGTCAGGAATATAAATCTTAAATGACTGAGCCCTCTCTAAGGATGAAGTAATTTTCTTTGCAATGAATACCAGACAAGGTTCCTCTGTTTTTTTCTCTTGCAGTCTGTCCGTCTTACATCCCCCCACAACACAGTCTTGATCCCAGGCTGACTTTCCATGCATGCTGGTAAAAAGCCAATCAGGAGACAGTAAAGAGCAGAACTGAATGCACAAAATGACGTGAGAGGGTCTTTCATGCATCCCACAAACATGGGTACTAAAGGTGCTGTACATGGTGGTCTGATCTTTGGAAGTTCTTACCTGATTCAGTACTGAATGACACAACATTGCTACTTGGACCTTCACCAAGGGGGTTCCTGGGTTTCACGTGGAATTCATAGCTGGGGAATAAAATAGAAGAGATGAAAATTTTGCAAACTAAGCATTCTTGAATAGTCTGGAGCAAGCAAGCAATAGACACATTGGGGCTACTCGCCTTCTGGAGAACAAAAAAGCCCAATTTCTTGCCACAAAACCACTGAGACATTTTTTGTCCTAGCTGTGTAAGATCTGAACTGAACACAAAATTAACCAGTCCTTTTGATAATTCCTTGCACACATACTATTAATATTTGATTTAATTCAACACTGACTTGTCTGTCTCCTCTCACACAACCGTTTCAGTTCTGGCAAAGGGAGCAAGTTCAGATAAGGTCTGAGGCAACCTGATAACTAGAGACTGAGTAAAGGGCATTGCTATTTATTTGTACTTTTTGCTTTTTTAAGAACACAAACCTCCAATTTAATGCCTGTCAGGCCCACCCACAGTGACAGACAGGACCAGTAGCGAAACACAGGGCAAATCTTCCAGGACAGGAGCTCAGCCAAGGCAAAGATCCAATTGCTTGAATGTATGTTAATAATAAGTATTTGAAGCAATGACAAGACACTGTGCAGAGTCACTTTTGCATGTGTTTTTACTGATGTGGCACAACATTGGCCTGTGCTGTAGTGATCTCATGATCCCTTTTCATCACTGTGTTGGGAACCAAATACAGTGCTGTGAAAACAACATGACTGAAGAAAAAAATCCAAACCAGACTCCTTTTCTTAAGCCTCCTCCACCTCTGAGTGCTTGATTAGCAGTGGAAGTGCCATGTGCACAGGGACATCTCCCATACTGTAAGCACATGCATGGTAAATCTGTCCTAACAGAAAGGTTCTCTTTGTCAGTGACAGGCAGCCACAGGACACGAGACAAAGGGACTGTAGGCCTGGAAAACAGGCCCCAAATTAAGGGTACTTTTGCTGTAAACACATAAAAAATGGGAGTCCCAGAAGTGGGCAACTAAACCTTCAGCTCTTGACTGGAGAAGGATCATTTACCCATGGTAATTTTGGTAGCTTGTGACCGTAACATAGCATTGTAATGTATTGCTGGAACCATTCCCAAACAGCAATTTTCTAAAGAAAGAAAACCCCCATCTCACACTCTGCACAGTTGGAAATTTGTAAACTCCATTTCCAGCTCCCCAGAAGAATAATTCAATCCAAACTTTGGATTACCTTTCATTCCTCCTTGGCTCCCACAAAACCTGAGCTAATTAACCTCAGTGGAGTATTCATGCAGAACCCAGCAACTGTTTTCCATCCACTGTACTTCTAAGACAATATTTAACTTTAAAATTGCTTACTTAAGCAATTGCCTTTATTTCTAGGGTTTTCTTTTCTTTTTGAGGGAAATACTTATATAGACTGGCGTGCTGAACAGATGCATTGTGGAAATTCATGGATATTTCTAAGAGAAACATGGGCTTGTTTTGAGCTGAAAAAATCGATTTGGAGAAATCTTGACATTTATTTAAACATGCTGAAAGAGACTTTGGAACTACCCATATTACCCCACGGTAGGAGGGAGACATTAACTAAATAACCAATTTAATAAATTTATAAATCTTCATTCTCAACGTCAAATTGCTTAAACAAAGACATGCTTTTTAAAATAGGACGTGAGTAGTTAGTATTCACATTGTCCATGTGGTACAGTAACTTTTTTGGTCAAGAAGTATTCTCATCTGGTAGGAAATGTCATAATATAGAGAACTGTAGCAAAGGAGTCGGAGATTCTTTCTGAAGAATCACTGAAGCATAAACAAAGATTTCCTAATATGTTGGGGGTCTCAAAATAATAGCCAGATGATACATTTTTTTTTAAATGTAGAAATTAATCCATACCTAGAGATAAAAGACTGCAAAGAAGTTTTCCTGCTTCCTTCACAGGAGGAACACCTGATCTAAAGCTATTATTGTAATAATGATCATCAAGATGATGATTGCTTTATGGGCAGTTTATGGTTTGATCTCATGGGTGATAATTAACTGGTTTTGTCCCTTTGTATGTATTTTTGCTGATTTTTGAACAAATTTATTTTTCTCAATAGTTGATATTCTCTACTTTGGGCTGCATTAGGCAATATTCCTCATAGGAATCAGTCCTGTTCCCAAAAATCTTTAGTCTATGAACTTGGACTCATCAATTCTCTAATTCCAAAGAGAAAAAAACAAGGTTATTTTCCAAGCACTGTTTTTCATATTGTGGTTTAGAGATCACTAGGTTCTCTGCAAAAGACCAAACCACAGCTTGGAAAATAAAGGCAAAATTTAAATAAAGAACTACAATCTACAGATAGAGATTTCAGCCTATGTAAACATATAAAGAAAATTGGAGAAAAGAAAAATAATAAAGAAATGTCCAAAGTTTAGCTCAGTCAATTAGGGAAGCCTCTTAGTAATAATGTTAAAAGGAAATTTTAGAAACTAAAATACATGCAGTTCTACAGTTCTGTGGTATGTGTTTTTACAAGCATCACAGGCTTATTTCCTCTGCCAATTTCAATCCTGAAACAATACCAGTGGCTTCCACAGTACAAAAATAACAAACAACCACTTTTGGGGATGAAGAGAATTAGTTAGTTGACAGAACATTGAGAAGGAGAGGAAGGAAATGCCAGACTGGGATCACAATATTACATAGTTTACTGTATTTTTAAAGCTATACTGTGGCTGTTTTAATAGAAGACAATCTAAACTCTTCCTTTTTTTGTGTAAGGTGAAAGATCTGAAAAAATATTATTAAAATGGCAAAAAAAGTGTACCATCTGCTCTGTTATGCACTCCTATAGAAACCATAATGAAGGGGGAAAATGCTCAGACTTTCAAGAAGAGTGTGCATCAAAATTAATAGAATCTATGTCTGCTGCTTAATTAAATTTACCTAACGAGTGTGACGGTATTCACAGGGGTCCCAGGATGAGGGAAGAGATGAGGATCTGACTCCATGTTTCAGCAGGCTTGATTTATTATTTTATGATATATATTATAATTAAAACTATACTAAAAGAATAGAAGAAAGGATTTCATCAGAAGGCTAGCTAAGAACAGAAAAGGAAGGAATGAATAACAAAGGCTTGTATCTCAGACAGAGAGTCTGAGCCAGCTGACTGTGATTGGCCATTAATTAGAAACAACCAGATGGGCCAATCACAGATGCACCTGTTGCATTCCACAGCAGCAGATAACCATTGTTTACATTTTGTTCCTGAGGCCTCTCAGCTTCTCAGGAGGAAAGCTCTTAAAGAAAAGATTTTTCAGAAAATATCATAGCTACAAAGGAGTCTATATTCCATCATTATATCTGCCTGCCTAATATACTAACAACTCTGCTGTCCTATGTAAGCTGCAATCTAATGCCTCACGCCTTTAACATCTATAAGATTGCTATCCTAGAAACTTTTGGAGACCAGGCCTTCCAAATCCTCCAGAACTGTGTGAGACAGTAAAAGTCCTTGTGCAGATTAAATGGACTTGACTTGCAGTAATTACTACTTGGAGTGAATTTTTCCACCACAGGAAATCACTATACCACATGGAACTCTGGCAAATGCAGCTGCTCCTGCATTTTTCAAATCATGCAGAAGGAGAAGACTGAAGATTGCAGAACTGAAAATAGGTGAAGAGAGATTTTCACCACAATAGGAGAACTGGAGCAGCTGAGTACAGTCCTGGGACTTTAGGTCTATTTCTGGGGAGATGCTGGTGTTGGATGGCAATTGTGCAGGACTCTGTGCACAGAGCTCCTCTGTGTCTGCAGACTGTGCTTGGATGGCAGTGTGACCAGGAAACAAAGGAGGAAAAAGAGAGAGAGAGAGAAAGAGAGAAAGAACTGCTATGCTTGTTTGAGGAATCTTTCTCCTAACAAAGTTGGAAGAAGGGCTAAGAAAAATGAGAAATGCTTATCCATGAACCGTGATATCAACAGCAGTTTAGTACAAGATCTGCTAGTTGTTTTATAAAACAAATAGAAACCTCCAGCATTTTTCTGCCACTTTCTGAATTTTGCTGCACTGAAGCTTTCTTTATAGTTTCTATCTTTTGACCGTTGCTGTTAACAAAAGCTAAACTCTCTGCATGGACAGAGGTTTTCTTGGGTTTTTCCTTGTACGTGATCAGAACAATTGGGTGCTAACTACAATAAAAACCAATATTAGATAAAGGCGATAACAGCCTTAGGACACAATCAAACCCAAAAATCCAGCAGAAACCACTCAAAACATTTTTAAAAAGAAGAAGAGTATATTTGAAATCACCAAAATAATTAATGAGGAAGCAGATCAGTACCTAATGGGAAGCTATACAAAACTGTGGAATGCAAGTATCACAAGTTTTTTTTTTTTCTTATTAATACTCTTTTTCTACAGCAGTAGGCTGGTGGGACACGTCCTCCAATGGCTACTCAAACTTCCCTAGAGCTATTTGTGACAAGTCTTAATATTTTTCTTCACTACCTTCCAATTACTGCCATCACAAACGTGCATGAGAACAGTTTTCAGCAGCCTTCAGGCTCTTTTTTGAAGGCTTGTATAGAAATTTGGGCTGTAGAACTTCCTGGACACTATGGTCTGTGCTATGGGCTACACTGCCCTTAAACAAACCACCAGAATGAAAGAGAAAATGTACACTGACCAAAAAAAAAGGGTTTCAAGATAGGGCAGGGATACAGAAATAAGAACTACATATTTTGGCAGAGAAACCAGCAGAAATAACAAAAAATCTCATTGGGAAAAAAACCCAAACAACATCTGCATTTAATATTTTAGGCTAGGAAAGTCCATGAAAAAACCCCAGATCAGTGAATCCAATTTTTTTCCAAGGAGAATATGCAGAGGAACACCATTATTACTACAGAAGAGATGGAATTAAGACAACAAAAACCACAGTAAGCCCATTTCTCTCTCAGGCCTCTCACTGTTTATTGCAAACAAGCAGCTCAAGGAGGAAAACACTGAAAATCATTGATAATAACCTTATCTTGACTCACATATGGAAGATCTTGCTTGACTATTAACATAGGAGAAATTGCTGCAATGCTTTCTTATGAAATTTTAATGTAAAACAAGGAAAGAGCAGAGTCCTGGGTATGCCAGTGGTACTCCCACTGGGAGTTCCAATGTAGCAGCCTTTTAGGAAAACTCAGGAACAGGAGACCTGTATGACAACTTAGATGGAATATTGCAGGTCTCATTCCTCAAATGGCTCCTTGGAAGTTAGACTGTAACTACTTTGACCAAAACGATCAGTCTTGCAGTTTGACTCTTTTCCAAGTGGAATAAACACTGCATTTCTCACTATAAGAATCACGGAATTTCCATGTGGAGGATGAAAAATTGTTAGTTCATACTAGTGCATTTGTTTCTCTCTTTTTTTTTTTTTGCTAAGATAGAAATGACATTTGCATTAACACACTAAGCCACCTCTGCCTGCATTAAAGAAACTGGGGGAAACTGAGATCTACAAGACCAGAAACTGCCCCTAAGGTCCAATTTTACAATAAATAATATGTGTTGTAAGACACCTATGAAGGTGACCTGGTCCAGGCCCCTTTTCAGCTGCTTTGAGCTCAGGGTTCATAGTGGCAGACACTCACTGTTTGAACAGCAGAGTAAAGACTGAGTAGCTCACTACTCTGTTCCAACTAACCAGGAGAAAGAAGAGTAAATCTTTTCACTAAAAAAATTAAAAGATAGCAAAAACTGCAGAAATTTTGGCATGTGCTTCAGTGTAATAATGAACAGGGGGCTGAGTGAAATGTGACCTGAACCTACTCTAAAGTCCTTGGAAATAATGTAAAGGGTAACAAAAGCTAGCTACATTATAAAGTCATAATCAACACTGTGCATATGTGAATAGTAGATCACAGAAGAACATCTATAAGAGAAATGTTTAAGTAGAAGACATTCATAAAATAGAAGGAAGTTTTCTTCAGGCACCAGTTATATCCAATTAACTATCTGTATAAGGAAGATATATATTGTCATCTGGCTCACACAGCATAACAACACTACATGCTTTGAGATATTTCAGGTAAAGGTTACAATCAGAAGCAAATCTGATGAAATTAAACAGAATTCTAGACTGAAGCCGATCAGGAGCTTACTGACAGCAAGAGTACCAATTTCAAGAGCTCTGACCAACCAAATAATGGATATCAAGATTTGAACTTTCTGGGTTATTTAAACTATCAGAAAACTTCTAAAATTTGAAATCCTGCAATCACCACATTTGATAATTGATTTCTCTAGGTGAAAAAGAGGATAAGATATTTGTCCTATAAGGAAAAATCCTTTAAATTAACCTGTGGTTGTCAACTGTGAGGCATGCCTTACTATGGGAAAATGTTATGGATATGATATGTCTTTCCTTGGGCAAAAAACAGATGGATTTCCAATGAAATCACATTGCATATGTTCCTCTAAAACATTTTCTTTAAATGAAAAAAACCCAAACAACCCATTGCATTAGAAAACAGCTGACTGTACCCCACATTTATTTAAAAGGTCTATGTCCTCACAGTCAGAATTTTTCAAATCTCTATTTTACTTTTCTTCTCAGAGTAGTCAGTCAAGTCACCAGGAACACATAAAGCTAGCATATATAAGACAGAAAGGCAACAAACTTCCATAATATATACAACTTGTTTTGTTTAAAATTAACCTTCACAAGTTCTGGTACACCTATGAAAGTCCATTTTCATTTCCATCTCCATATTGTCATGGTATGAGTCTGCTAAAACCAAGTACTTGATAACTGTACTCAAAGTCAAGACTCTTTTTTCAGCCAGTGCATTTTTTCTGGATCTAGTCACTTTTCAGACAGCTAAATGGACACACAGAATACTACACCATAATCCTCATCCCATTTAACTTCTGTGTTTGTACTTACTGACAGCTGCAGTCGCAGATGCAATTTTTGATGAGCGACTGTAAAAGTCTCTTTGTTGCCTCCCTAACACTGTCCAAATTCCTGAAATATTTAAAGTCTGGCCATCAGCTCCTAATCTTTAAAAGCTGCCTTGTGTAAAGGCCAGCTCAAAGGGAGAAGGGTGTCTGCCTTGCTGCAGAGCTTCCCAGAGGTGTAGCAGTATCACCTATTTGAAGAATATAAAAGCTTGAAGCAAACAAACATCATGATCTGGCACCCAGATTTTCCCTGCTGCTTGTCGTCCCCCTTCACACCAAAAAGTTGTTTGTCCTGCTTCCCTTCTGTTGGTTTTGGGCAATTAACTCTTTAGCTTCTGGGCAAGGCACTACCACATCCTACCTGAAGTACCTCAACAGGACGCTGGACCTTGGCCAAAAACACTGCAGAATGTCTCTGCCAGGAACAGCTCCTCAAGAGCCCACATCTGCACAACTACAGCCCTGAACTGGCTTTCTGCTACAGGGGCTTTCTGGTTTAGACTTACCCATGAAGGCTCAGATAACAGATTCACATTTTTTATGCCTTTTTGGGAAGTCTTTGTTTAGGTCTGTCTGCTTTAGATCTGTCCTGAACTGCCTTTAGCTCTGAATGCACTGGACCTTCAGACCAGCACAGGGGGTTCACACAAGCCTCACTGAGGACTTCAGGAAAGCTGGAATAAATAGGGTCTCTAATTCATCTTGTCGGTTTCTCCAAAGTGTTCCCTGGCCAAGAGGCTCTTCCCAGTTAATTCCCCTTCTGCTACTGAGCATCTCTCTTTCCATATATTGCTGGTACTTTTGCAAATGCTGATCATTTGTGGGAGGGATTTCTATTTCTCTGCCAAGCTTCTTTTCCAGCTCTACCTCTTCTACAGAAGAATGACAAGAAAGAAGGGAAAGAAGGGAATTATCTTCCCTTTGAGGCTAGTTATGGAAAAGTTTCCTTCCCAGTCTAATGTATTCCTTGATGAATTTTTAAACTTATTAGGGACTCTGTTAATGAATATTAAGCTGTGTTTAATTTTTGCTCTTCCTCCCATTTGCAGTCAGTTTTATCCACAAGCCATTTCCTTCATCTAATGAGCAGCTCCTGATAGACAGGAGACTTTCATGATGGACATGTGATGTTTCTTGGCAGAACAGATACTGTCTACATGATGACACCTATCTTAACCACTTTCTTGTTTTCCCTGAATTTAGCATGCCTGGATTTAAGGGGTAACAGTAACTTGTGCTTCTGCCAAAGCTCTCAAGGTGTCCTCACCATTAGGATACACACATTTTGCTTGGAATGCGAGTTTTATTGAACTGAGCCACTCTGAGTACTTTACATCCTTAAATCTGGTGAGACTTGGGGGACAGGCACCACTGCAATTTAGAGCAAAGCAATTTATATCAAATTTATATATATTTGGGCAGTGGCCCTCTGGATCCAGAAAGGCTTTCACTGTCTTTCCTTTTTGAGGCTGGGGTTGCTGAATGGTAGCTGCTCCCTTCTCAGGAATAGCTATGCCTTTATATCTTAGTTTATCTAAAACAGAAATATCCATTCACCAAAGCCAAATGGATGGTCTTGCAGGAAAAACCCCAAGTTTCACTCATTAATTTTCTGATGCAATTAGTAAACAATGTAAGAAAAGACAAGTGGTTCTCTGAATTTTAGCATAAAAAGAAGAATACTTTTTAATGAGATCTGATATTTAAAGACAGATCATGCTTATTTGAACTAGTTGCATGAGAGGCACATCATGAACTGGAATTCACTTGCTAATTTTTAATTTGCCAGCTCTTTTGAGACACTGAAAGAAAACGATATATTCAGGAAAAATGTGTTTTTTCTCTCATGGTAATTTCCTTACTTTTGACAAGCAGTTTTTCTGATACAATAGGTCCCTTCTGCACCTTGTCCAGACCACAAATACTTTTGTAAATTTCCTAAAGATTCCTCAAATATGTTTTATCTGTTAACTTACAAGAAAGCTAAACCAAACCATACTTTTTTTTTCTATCAAAACAAGAGTAAAACCAATCAGGTCTTATTTCCATAGGTATTTCCATTTGAAGTGACAGAGAGCTGACAGTCTAAATTAGTTGGATTAACTTAAAAAATTATATTATTTAGTTACCTTGTGTCAGGTTTTAGGTTTTCCACAGTAGAATGGGTTTGATTTGTAGTGATAATTGATTTCTCCTTTTCACCATCACTTCCTCCATTTTCAGTTGACACAACCTCATACTCTGGAAAATTACAGTAAAGAAAAATTAGATCAAGTAACATCTCTTACTTGAACTTCTTAAATACAACCAGATAGTGAATCAGTATGCAATTTTACAGGAATTCAACCTTTCTGCCTTTTGCCAGCCTGAAGTCAATGCATGATGCAGACATTTTAATTCATTCAAGTTGGAAAAGAAAATGCAGGAAATGAATGAGCATACAAATATGTGCATGCACACACCAAGAACTACCAAGTCCATCCAGTGCCTGCTTGTTACTCAGTGCACAAGGCAACAAACTGCCCTTCATTTCTGTGGCAACAAAAATGAGCAAAGCATGAGCAGAATGGTTTTGGTTCCTGACACTTGCAGTTTTTATGAAAACAAGGAGGTGAGTGTGATCACTGTTTTGGTTATTATTTGTCAGACCTTTCCATTATGCTTTGGTTTTGGGCGTACCCAATGAAAGCTCTTGTACACAGTTAAAGTCAAGCAAAGTAAGCATTCAAAAAGCAAAATGATGCAACAAACTATGATTTCTGTTTCACCTTTCTGTCTGAAACAGCGCATTTATTTTTAAAAAAGAGATGCGATGCCTAAATAAGATGATTGGAAAAACATGCATAAACTACAAAAATAGAAAGAGATGGCAGCAAAACTGGTTTAAGCCTGTCTAAACAAGTAATGTTGTACTGGTGCCAATATGAAGCAATCACTGTTTTCAGAAAACAGGATTCAATGCCTTCTCTTGAATTCAGAATTGATTTTGGTGAGTCATTAATGGAGTTGTTAGTTAATTTCGATGTTCAATTTTTGTCAGCCAATGTTGAAACACAGAAAACGATGGAAGAATTAAGAATGGCTATCTTGCATGTTTACCTGTCTGTGTGCTGAGCCCTGCATGACTCACAGGCATTTATTCTTAATATAAACCCCTTCCTTTAGAAATGAAAGAAAAAACAGATTCTTTTAACAGAGTTGACCCTATTGCAGTGGGTCATAATACTGCAAGTATTATGCTGGCAAAGTTCTACTGACATACTAGACGGGTGTAAGCTTTGATTGTGCCTGGCCCACTGTGAAACAACAGCCTCAGGTCAAGAAAAATGCCTACATTAAGTGTGTGCATCTAGATATGCTGCTGTATTGTTGGAACTTCTTGACTAGATCTTACCAGATCCTGTACAGAGAGGAGCCAGAAAACTGGAGGAAATTTGAAGTCATATTTCTTAAGTATCTTTACATGTCATCATTGACTCCAATGATCCTTGTTGTGTAAATCTTGTTATAATCTAGAAGCATTTTCTTATCCACACGGGAGCTGACAATAGCACAAAAATACCCCAAACCACTGGGCTCCTTTAATCCCTGGGGATTAAAGTACTTTTAAATGACAAAAAACTACTGTGAAAGTAAATTAAGCTGGAAATACTGTACTATCACATAATGGAGGAAAGAAATCAAACCAACCAGTAACAGTGTCATTATCTGGTTTTTCCCAATCCAATATGACAAAGGATGGACAGCCCTCTACAGTCACCACTGTGAGGTTGGTTGGAGGATTCTGTGGAGGACGAGTGGGTTCTTCCTTGCTGCCAACTTCTTCTTGGGGAAAATGTTCAAGAGAGCTTGTGATGGAGCAAGGCACATCATCATCTTTCTTCATGTACTTGACATGGGGGGCTAAGAACAATATAGGGAAGAGCTGTTATTCAATAGAGTGTATTTAAAAAATGGCAGTGCCATTTCATCTGGTGCACAACATCCGTCTCAGCACACCAAGCAAAAATCTGCACAAGCGAAACACAGAGCTTTCCGAATAAACCCCATATATTCAATATTAAGCTGCCTGTTGTCATCTTTGTTTGTTTTGGATTTTATATTTTCGTTGGGTTTTTTTTGTTTTTTGCTTGTTTTAAAAATTTTACTTATTGATGTTTGACCTGGAATCTGCACTGCTTCACCCCCTGGCACCACTGATGAAATGGCACTCTGAAGATATTAGCAGGTGATACACACTGTTTGAAAGAATTAAAATCTGTCACAAAATTTAAAAAATCAACTTTATTTCTTCTATAGTAAAATGAGACTATTATTCTACTTTCAGATTTTGAGGGTCATGCTAATACAAAGACATACACTTTTGTTTCACAAGAAGGAGCAACAACTTTAGTCCAGAAAATGCTGGTTTGTACTGCAGCTCTTACATCCGCCACTAAAGTGACACAGAATCAAATAAAATGTTGGCCTTTGAATAACCAAATAAGATAATTTGATGCAAGATAGCCCAGACTTTATATGCTCCCTGAAATAAAAATACCATAGCTATGAGTATCCTACCTTGGTACCTCGGTTTTCCTGAAGAATCTGTTTCTGATGTAGGACTTGAGCTGAAGACTGTTGCATCAACTGTAGAAAACACATTTATAATTTGCAATAACTACAAAGTTTCACTGTTAGAATTGCAGCATTTCACAGTTCCTTTGGCATTTAAAAATAATTATAAGAATAGATAAATGGCAGATCTTTGCTGGCAGATCTGGCTCTTAATTTTAGGTGTTTTTTCTGTGATGCTTTGTAAACCCTGTACTTACCTGCTAGTACAGCCAGCCATAATCAAAATGACAGATTTCATGACTGCAGCTGGATTCAATTCATGCAATATATGTAAAATACTTTTAGACCATTGTCTTGCATTTGCTTTAGTTTAATTTTTTGGTAAGGAAGAAAAAGGTCAGCCATGGAAAAAGGAGGTTTTAGCACTGTGCTGGCTGTTTAGCTTGGAGCTTTTTTGATGTTCCTGGGATATATAGAACTATTACATTGGCACAGTAACTTCTCTAAAAATAACCGTAAGGAAATAAAAAAAAAATTTCTGTCTTCAGAGTGTACACTTCCACAAAATTTGAAGGAAATTGAAAGCAAATACACTGGTGAAGAGAAATGTGCTAAAGCAGTCAGGATTCATGATACAATGTTGTATTAATCAGCCACTACACTGAGCATGATGCAAATATTAAAATGGACCTCAACAGATAAAACACAATGTTTCCCAACAAGCATTTATAAATAAATCTAGCATCCAGCATGCTTTTCTGGGCACTGTGGGTCACAGTGAGTTCCTACTCATTGTAAGGAGACAAAAATTTAAGCATTACTGTAAGTCCAGGAAAATTAGAAGCAGCATCATTCATGGCAATATACCAAGAACTGCACATTTGGGCCCAAAAATTCTAAGCACATCCTCCTCCAAACCCATTACTGTATGCCACCTTGAAAAGACTTAGCTCTGAATTTGTAATCAACTCCCAGTTTTATAAAGGGCAAATTACCCTCTGACCACTATGATTGCGCTACTACAATTTTTTCAATTTAAATGGTGGAAGTTTGCTCAAATAAAGGAGGCTAGTCACTGACAAATAATATGTTGAATTTATGTCCTGGGAAAATTGAAACATTCAGGAAAAGAAGTGTCTTGTCCAGCCTTTGCACAGCTTTGTGGCCACAGAGTATTATTGAAAGCCTACTAAGCATGTATGGATTTCTAGGAAGATGGAAGCCTTGTCATGTTCTCAATTACCAAGAAGAATATGAGAAAGGAGCTAGATCTCAATCAAATCAGAAAAGTCAAAGGCATAAAAAAAATCAGAATCACTCCAGACAGAATATTTTCTTATCTTAAATATACAATGCATCAATAAAGTTCAGGGAAGGGAAGCAAAAGAAAAATGGAAACCTTAATGTTAATCACAAAAAAGAAAAAAAAAAAAAAGAAAAAAGAAAAAAAGAACAAACCAGAACTGTTTGTAACATGCTTACCATAATACTCTGGAGTTGCAAAAGCTGTTGGTGTCTTATATAATGTTCCTGTCCTCACAGGAGGTGTTGGTCCAGCAGGCTTAGCTATAGTGACAGATGGAGGGACTTGTAGCAACAAGACATTCAGCATTTGAAGGAGTCAAACAGCTTTCTCATTTTCTAAGAGAACTCAGTTTGTGACAACTGCTTCATGCAACAAGTATTTTTCATTCAAATCCTAGTAATCCCTCAGCTGGATTCAGGAAAGTTCTGAACTGTGCTAGTTGCAAACATAACCTAATCCTGAAACCCAGTAAGAAATTTCTTTGCTACTTTGAGGTTGTTTTGGAGGACTTTAGTTGGCTAGAATATAACCTGGTTTAATGCACAGAACCATCCTACACAGACTGCTAAAAGGATGCAAAATGACCAGCACTGACATTGCTATTCCTTGAAGAAAGAGCACGTTTCTTCCTGAGTTGCAAGGCACAATAGCTGAAGTCAGCAACTGAAACTTAGATTCTTCCCTCAAATATAGGTAAGATTAATTTCTGCTCTCAATACAGCACATACATTACTGGTGCTGGAACATTTCTAGTGACAAACACCAAGTCCTTAACTGTGGTCTGCATTAAGAGTTTAACCACAGAACAATACTGGAGCTTACACTAAATGAAATTAAGATACACTTCAAATGAAAGCAAAGAAAATGCAGCCAAGTCCAGCATTTTCAACATTTATAGCACTATATCACTCAAGAAGAAAAGTTTTCTTGCTGAATTCTTTTCTGTAGTAGGTTCCATAAGTCTGGACAGAAACTAACTGATAGAAGCAATATTATCACCTATAATTAGACAACTATTTAAAAAAAGTATTTCAGATTATGTGACATTGCTGTTATTCTTCAGCTGTTACCACCTAATAAAGAAAACAGGTTTCTAAGAGGCAAACAATCCATGGTAAAGGTCTTGATTTCTTGCATAATAGCTGTAAAAGACAAGAATTAAATTCATAAAGCATGCAGATACTCCCAGATAACCATGATTTGACAGTGAAATCTCAACCCTGAAGAGTCAAGGACTACATAATGTAGTTACCTCCCCATCATATATGAGACAGAACATGGCAACTGAAGGCAGAACTCTGGTCAGCCAAGTTTAAGGCAACAAAAATCCCTACTTTCCACTAATTTTCTTAATGAAGTGGAAATCTGAAAGATTCTCGCTAGAGTTCAGTTTCACAAAGTTTCTGGAACTCTCATTTCCATTTCTTTTTACCCATTCAGGAGACTTTTAATGTCTGCATAGAAACCTTTCCATAATATCCACTGGATGAGTTAGAAAGATGCAAGTAAGGAATTATTCATGGTGTTAATGAGAAATAGGACAGAATTCTGACAGGAAAAATCCAAGAAGAACATTGAGGCAAATTTTTCCTGTTGGTACAGTGGAACTGTCTCTCTCTCCAGGGAACCAGAAGAAACAAAATTACAATGTTTAAAACCAAGCTGGATAAAACACCAGGAAACACAGAAGAAGGAAAATCTTCTACTGTCCCCACAAGGAAGAACCAGATCATTTAAGCAATTTATTCCAACTTGAAAGCCTAGGAAGGTATGGTAAATACTGACTACCACATAACCTGGCCTCCACTGTCAGGAAAATTTGAAAATTTTGTTGAAATTTCAAAACACTGGTAAATTAATTAGACACTTAGTGGAGCAAATTAGTATAGACCCCGATACAAGCAAAAGAAAATATATCAAGTTTAAGACTGATGAGGTCTTCTGTTTTCTGGGAACTATTACTAAGGAAACACCACCCAACAACAACAAGTACAGACACAGTATTTCAATCTTGGCTCTGCTGATGAATAAATATATAGATTGTCTCAACCATCCTGAAGATTCTTGCTACTCATCTGCCACACAAAATACTAAAGTATTATTTAGGTCTTTAGTACCTTAATAGCAGATAAAGTCCCAAATGAAATAAACAAACGAACAAAAAAAACCACAATAGGAAATCCAGTAGAGCTGTATATTCATATGTAGCTGTATATTCTAATATATAAAGACCTTTATATCTCCAAGGAACTACAGAGATCAATATGAAGAGGAAAAAAGCTGTCATGATGTTAAGCTTAAGGAGATGATAGGTTCTGACTATGTGGAATAATGTTAGCCTAAGGATTCTTATATAGAATCCACTGACAGAACATCCATGTGGATACTAAACACTTGTTTCAGGATTAATTTAAAATAAAATAGGAAAGGTGAAATTTTCTATGTCCTCTTAAACCAATACTGAGAAGCCGGAATACTTTAGCACAATAATCAAGCTAAATTCTGCACATGAAACAACTCAGTTGCTCTACTTCCCAGTATATAAAAGAGACTCCCAGTGCTGTCAGTTGTCTGGTTGACTATTAGCTCATTTTTGCAGTGGTTAATGGATGTACCATATATATGTATATATATGAGCAATTCCATAGCAAATAACCAGTTAACAAATAACTAGGCACTGAAGCACAATAGTCAACATCCCCCATCCGACATGCACATTAAATAGCAAAAAATTATATTAGTAGACAAGAAATATTCTTAAGGTTGATCTTAAAGCATGACTTGGAGTGTGCTATTTTGCTTTCAGCTTCCTTACTAGGCGTGATTTTGATATAATTAGGTTAGAGAAAAAGAAAGAAACAAGGTTTTTGTAAGAAGACAAAAACCACAAGGCCTGTATGTTCCAAAAACCTAGTTTCTATAGATACCACAGATTAAAGAAATCGATGCTATAGAATTCTCCTATACCCTGATAGCCAGTATTATCACACACAACAAAATGATTATGCTGAAAAGGCTGAAATACCTGGACTGCCTGGTTTACCAGTCACGGTGTTAGGAGGCAGAGGTTTTCTTCTCATTGGAGTAGGTCTGGCAGGAGGTATAGGAGGGCGCTGAGGGCCAGGTGGTATAGTCACTGAATGACATTACAAGACAGCATTATTAATTATTTAACCTCAAATTCCATCAAATCAGAAACACACTAGAAGTTGTATTCTTACTTCTCAAGCAATGTTTCATGTCTGATTTAATATCAAAAGTGGAGAGGTGAGATTAGGAGATGATCTGAGTTGTATTTTCAGCCTTAAATCTCTGAGAACAGTGTGCCATGAAGTTTTAAACAAAGTTTACACAGAAAAAATGTCATTCCTTTGAGATTTTGCACAAGTGTTTCAGTGACTCACTTTCTGTGTAGTTACTCGTTTTTGTCAACAGTAATTTTTTGGCATTCAAATGGATACATCTTCACAAACACAACAAACACCACCTCAATGTGCTAGGAAACATCTTCAGTATCCTGCTCACAAAATTTCTGACCTCTTGTACTTTCTGACTAATACAACTGGCCACCCTCAGCTTGAAGCAAAATATGTAAGAAAATGAAATTATCGTTAGGAACAGTTTATTCTATGTCATTCAAAACTGAAAAAAGTTACTGTCACCTCATACAATGACATGGCTAAAGACAATTACTGTTGTTGAAATTTCTGAAGCACCCAACTTGGTTATTTCAATGTGCAGCTCCAGCCAGTACCCATTACATTTATCTGATAATTTCTTTTGACAGTGAGGTCTAAAAGGAAAACCTAAGCCCCTTAATTCATACTTACAAATCCTTTTACTGTATTTTCCAGACAATTATGAAGGATTTTATTATGCAAAGGAAAGGCAAAGATTTTTGTTCCACTATTCACCTTTGCCCTTCTTTCCTTAAGAAAATCCAGGAGATATGTGCAACACATTTATGTAACAAAAGCCTTTTTGTACCTAAAAGGAGAAAATCCTCAAGAGTAGTATAATCCTCATAAGGCTGCCAATGTCAACAACTCTGCAAGTTGCCTGATACTGAATTACTGGCTCCATAAGGTACCTCAGGTCCTGTGTATCAGTCCTTGGCTCACCCTATAAATAGAGAGACTGTGGGCGAGAAGGGAGCAGATCCAAAGACTCATTTAGGAGAGCTTTTTGGCACTACTTACAATATACAACCAGGAATATCTCCATCTCTCTCTCTTCCCTTTTCCTTTTTGGACTCTTGTAGTCACTTATAAAACAGTTGATTTATTTTTTTTAAATCACTCAGATCAAGACAGAAAATAATGCTCTATCTAATTTAGGAGGATGTAGTGGTTTTGAAAATAGCATTTTTAAGTTTCATAGTAAGTCCTAATTTCCAGATAGAGATGAAAAAAATATGCTTAAGGCCAGAAAAAATAGAATAATTTTTTTATATATGTCACCATAACCTAGATATTATTATATAGTAGTATTCATCATTACTTTTCTCCCTGACCATAATTAGAGAATGGATTGTCCAAGGTATTTATGAAGTAAAAATGTGCAAGTATTGACTTGCCAGTGGTTTCTATCATATTTTCTGAGCAGCACAACTACAACTACAGTTTGCAGGCAAACTAAAACATTGCATTCAGAGTACTGGGTCACAATTGAATCTACTGTAGTGTACTCTGGAAAAACAAGAATTCCTACTTTTCCCTTCTGCTACTTCAGACAATGATTTGGGTGCTGGTTGATGATGCTACAAAATCTAATTACCAGTGTGTGGAGACTGAACTTGTAAACTAGGATGCACAAGATTTAGGGATTTCGTGAGTGTAGATTCTTATAAGGACAACAACATGATGAAATGTTCTTATTTGATTAATCTCTAGGCTTCTTTATGGACTGGGAGTCCTTAAGTCAGACATTCTTGATGAAAGAGAAGGATGAGCAGCCTCTTAGGGCAGACATCTTTATTGGTGGCATAGACAATGGGAAGGAGTGCACCCTCAGCAATTCTGTAGATGATACCAAGCTGGTTGTGCAGTGAACATTGGAGGGAAGGATCCCATCCAGACAACCCTGGCAGGCTGAGCAGTGGCCAATGCAAACTTCCTGAAGTCCATCACAGCCAAGCACAAAATCCAGCTCCTGGACTGGGGGCAATCACCAGTCCCAGCACTGGCTAGATGAGAGATTATAAACAGCCCTGCTCTGCAGGTATGGACTTGAGGATACTGGTGGGTGAAAAACTAGAGACAAACCAGCAATGTGGGCTTCCAGCCCAGAAAGCCATTTGTATCCTGGGCTGCACCAGCAGGAGCATGGCCAGCAGGGTGAGGGAGGTGATTCTACCCCTCTGCTGGAGTGCTGCATCCAGCTCTGGGGTCTCCAGTAAAACAACAACATGGACCTGTTAGAACAAGTCCATGGAAGGGCCACAAAATCCATCAGAGAGCTGGAGCTGTTCTGCTGTGAAGAAACTCAGAGAGCTGGGGTTGTTTAATGAGGAGAAGAGAAGGCTCCAGAGAGACTTTAGTGCAACTTGCAGTACTTAAAGAGGGCTTGTGAGAGAAATGGAGAAAGGGTTTCTAACAGGGCCTGCAGTGGTAGGACAAGGAGAGACAGTTTAAACTGTTTAATGGGTAAATTTATAATAGGTAATAATATATACTGGAACAGAGTTGGTTTAGACTAGATATTAGGAAGAAATTATTTACTGTGAGGGTGGTGAGGCACTGGAATAGGCTGCCCAGAAAATTGTGGATGCCCCATCCCTGGCGCTGTTCAAGGCCAGGTTGGATGGGGCTTGGTGGAAGGTGTCCCTCCCAAGGCAGGTGGGGTGGAACTCTGATCTTTAAACCTTCCTTCTTACCCAAACCATTCTATGATTCCATGAATTTTGATATACGTGTTAAGGCTGCATGAAGAGAGATGAGACTGCAGTTATATGAGAAAATTATGAAAAAGTAGTAGCTAATTTCACAGCCATACCAAACTGCCTTTTACGACTACAGTTCAAGGTACTGACTGACCTCAAAGCTCTAAAAGCTTAACTTTGAACATCAAATGTCATAAAACAAGTAAAAGTTGGTCTTAATGTCCCCTCAAATTTATGTGAATAAAAACCTTCAAGTCTCTCCAAATCACAAGTTGGATTTACTTAAGGAAACACCACTGCCTGCCATTCAGTAACTAAAAGTGCAGAGTATCATCCTTGTTTTGAGCTTACACTTTGCCTTCAGCTGCTACTAATAGTACATCATGCTAGATTTAATCTTTGCAAAGTACAGTGGTTCAGACTGAATAAACTAAAAAAGGATAAAACATCAGAACCTGGCCATCAAGCTAGGCTCTTATCTTTGCAGAGGTAAATTAGGTGCAAAGGAAATCCAACAGGGATTAGGAACACACAGCAGTTTATAAAATAGTGCTTTAAAATGCAGTAACATATTATCAAAGAAGAAGCTGCCTAAAAAGAACATCAGCAGCTGAGTAGTAAATCCAAGAGTAAAAAAAAGATTTCATTTTCAGTCAGTTTCTATGTCAGTAAAAACCACAGCTAAAGCAAATTTTGTTCTTGATTATGCTTATGAAACAGAGAAATTCTTTACACATCAGGGTACTTACCTGTTGTATGCATGTTTCAGTCAAAATATTTTGATTGTTTTGAAAACATGATTGCAAGACTTGCCAGAAGAGTAAACCTTACCAGTCTTGTATTACACATGTAAAAAACCCCTGTAACCTGATTTACTCCACATTATTTTCCTTCAAGCCTAGTGTTCTAATTTTCCCAACAATCCCAATGTTCAATGAAACTTCCTCATACATGGGAGTAGAAGTTGGTTATGTTTTTATCTGATTCTCCTTTGCTATATGGAAAATATTAGCATGAAAAAAAATCAGTGCTTACAGTATTGTAGCTGTTAGATCATAAGGATATAGCTCTGGTGGTGAAAATTTCTACCATATGTAGTAACTAAGAATATGTAAGTGACTAAGTAGTGGCTATAAATTATTCTTATTTTTATCTCTTTTAGTAGCATCCTGAACCCATAAGAATGTGTCTTGATGAGGATGATAATGAATTATTTTTTCTTCTCAGTGGACGTGCTTTGTGTGCAGAAAAGGCAGTGTTTTTATTTTTAATAACAACTGTTAAAAATTGCTCTATTGTTTACTTTTATTAACCTTACCAGAAATTGGCCTTTGCCAGGTGTCAACATATTCTGGAGGTCTTTTGACATCCATGTCAATTGGTCTGGCAGTAGCCTCAGGTGTATAAAAGTCATCTGTGAAAAAAAACCACCAAAATAAGTATCTACAGTGTGGCACCAAGTCATGGTATACTTGTGTATTGAATATGTTCAAACTCCAGCTGACATCATGTGCAAAACCAACATGTGTCTCATCTATGTTTTTACTGATAACTTGATGATATCCATTATCTTCTTATTCAGGTAAGTGGAAAGTAATCTGGTTCTACGAAGTCTGCAGTTTAATTTTAAACATCCCTCGAGTAAAGTATATTTGGAAAGAGAAAATTAATAAGATGAAGAGGTAACAAATGAGTTAAACCAAGATTATATGTGGAAAAATTAGTTAAGAGAACAATCTAGTTTTTCAGTGTAAAGAGTAAAATGTCCACTGATTCTTGCAAAGTTCTCCTTCTCCCCATTATATGATCTCTGGTCATCTTCCATACTAAATGGTTAGAGCAAGTCTGGACCAAATATATTCACCATGTTTGGAGTACAGGAGACAAAGTACACACAACATCCAGTTTGTATATAAGAGAAAGTCCTACTTAAAAGTTATATAAACACATTTTTAAAAAAGTAAGTGGCATTAAAAGATCAACACAACTCCTGGTACAGAACAACTGTTTCACATGCTGGTATTTATAGGACAGCCAGAATGTTAAATTAATATCCTGTCTCTACATAAAGTAAGTATATTTGCTTTATAAGACTGTATATACAGTAAAGCAAGAAGATGCATTGCAACTTCATCATATTTGTGGGAAAACCCCCTTGCACCCTTGCTAAGAATGTAAGACAAAAAACCCTAAAATTTGTCATATTAAAAAAAAAAAAATCTCAATATTACTGTAATTATCAAATTCCAACCCTGTTCCAACATGATCTAATCACTTCAGCTAAAGATTTCATAGATTTATGATCTGGACCTCAATTTGTTTTGATATTTCACTAGTATTTTAATGAAGCAGATAATTTTTCAATTACTTTACTATTTGACCATTTTTGTTGCATGTTCATTACAAATCCATAGTCCATACATGATAAATAATTTACTGAAGATTAAAGTAAGCTGGGAGTAAGATTGCAGGAAGCTGGGAAATGGACACAGGTGACCTGGTCCCTGTGTCTAAAATATCTGAACACATCATATGGTTTTATATAATTGCAATTTTTCTTCAGGTAATTAAAAAGATTAATTAGATCTTCAGATATATAAAGCACCAGAGTGATAATCAATGTTTCATGTGAATGATGTTCAAGGAAGAAAAAGCATGAGAAGACCAGCACCAGCCTTAAAAAAAATAAAAATAATCTTGTACATCATGAGGTATAGTTAGCGCAAGTTATAGTTTAGTTTAGTTTCTCAGCTCAGCTTTAAGTGAACATATCAACAAAATGTGGTTCCACATTGACTAATTCACACTAAATCACCCAAGTTTGTATTACAAGTCTAAATTATTTGTGCATGTTAAAGTCTTTACAGAAAACCTATCTCTATTCTGCTTCTTAGAATCAAATTTAGATTAATAATCTTTCCTGAGTTATGTCAGCTGAGAATGAACAAAATATTGCACATGTTCTAGCTGGAAGAAGTAATTTTGTTTTCTTTTCAGAAACATGCACTGCTGTTCTGACATTAGTAAAGTAGTAATGAAAAGTAAGTCAATGTTTCAAACCACAATACCTTCATGTTGACAAAATCTCCTATTTTGAGTATTTCAAGTTACATAAAAGTTTGTGTTTTCACACAAGGTACCTGCACAACCAAAGTTTGCTGTATTTGTCATAGTGTTTGCCTTATTCTACCTCATGTAACTTGCTTATTAAAACCACTTATCACATTCATCCAAACTTTTAGCCAGAATTTAGAATAGACCTATTACTTGCATATGTCTTTGTGTCTTCTTTTAATTCTATATTTTTTCCTGGAAACACTCATGGGGTCTGGAACATGTTAAACTAACCTCTCCTGGTTCTGATGTCCTTTAATTGTAGGAATACTATTAGGAGAGTTGATCATTTAAAGGGAAATAATGGAAAAAGTTCCCCTTGATAAAATAAACTGAAATACCTTTATACTTGAGTTCCTCTGGAACTTGGCTATACACACACAGTTTGTAAATAAAAAGAAAATAGAACACAAAGTTAATGGTCATTTTAATGAAAACCATGTATGCCTCCCTTTCACAAGGGAAATAGGAATGTTGCTCCAAGTTAGTTTGCTGATATTTGTCAGAAAGCTCAGTACATCAGGAGCAGTATTTACATGGTTAAGAATAAATTAAAAAACAACCCAGTAAGATAAGTTAGGTACACCAACATGAAAAGCCATCTGAATAAAATGGCATTCTAGAGAAAAAGGCTAAAACATGACGAAAAACTAAAAGGAATGCTAGTCATGAGGAAGCAATCCCTGCCTCTTCTCCACAGTGCAGTTAACCACCTGGCACTAGAGCTGGCCAGAAGGCTGAGGAGCCTGCCAGGAAACCAGCCACAAACCCTTGTGCTGGTGCTGGAAAAAACAAATTCCACTGCTTATCATCTGGGCCCTGCAGCTGCCAAGCCCTCCCTGCACGGGGTGAAACATCTTTGCACTGAGGCTAACAAGCCCAGTCAGGAGCATGAAATGGAGTACAATCAACAGTCCAGCAAGGAATTAAAAGATCCAAACTGGTGTCCAAATAATGGAATATCCAAGAATAAGTGATGTAATGTCTAAAGGTAAGTCTGAAAACATATTGTTACACATATAGAGCATATTCCTAACAGCCCTCTTAAAAATTCTGATCATCTTAGGTCAAAAGTTCAGGATTTTGATAAGCCAACTACAGAAAATATTGAAAAAGGCATTTTTTTTGTCTTTGCTCAGCTGGTAGGATTTGGGGTTCCAAATCCTTATAGAGTCCTTTCCCAAGTCTGTTTTGCAGACTTAGGAATTCTTTTGCAATAGAAAATTAACTGCACATTGCTTGGGAGAGATATAGAAGATTTCTTTAATTGGTTACCTGAATTCCTTTTTGTGTGAGTTTATTTTTGTGGGCACAGTCAGCCCTGTGTCTCAGACACTGGCTCAATACTGTGATGTACTTGCCTTACAGAAGACTTGGGATTTCACTTACTGGTCATCAAGAAAAGTACAGACTGAAAAGTTGTGACAAGCTGCAGTCCCCTCTCAAGATGACATAAATGTATGAAATTCATTGGTGATTTCTCTTACACTTCTCAGAAGAAAGGTGCAGACTCACAGAAATGTGTCAATGAGCTGTTGTGGGTTGGAGGTACAAAGAAGTGGGCAGGAGATAACAAAGGCCTTTGGTACTTTGGATACTTTGACTTAAAGGGCTTACTTGGCAGCACTAAAATTTAGCTAAGAGACATCTACAGCATGTTCCTTTAACTTAGAGAAAAAATATACTTATTTAACTTGACAATGGAAACCACTACTGGAAGTATCATTTTTCAGAAGAATTCTAAAAGAAGGTACTTATTTACCAGTGAGTACACATAGCATGCCCAGTAATTAGTAGTTTTGTGGTGACTTCTGACACCATCTACCACAATGAAACTCTAGTTCTTCCTGGCAACAGGCACTACTATAAAGGCATGGAAATAATAACAAATGATGGGCACGCCAAGAGGGCCACTTACAATATGATTGCTTAAAACAATACTTTAACAACTTAAACCAGCATTAAGCACATAAAACTCCATGTAGCAGTTTACTACTATTATATTTATACTATTGATTTACTTAGCATGTGTTAATTTTTGCTCGTGTTTTTAATAAGCTACCAATACCTCTGCCAAGGTTATATCTATAGGGGAAAAGAAAAGCTCAATGTGCTGTGTAATGTAATTGTGTGCCTGGGCATAATTTCATAATGTGATCACTCCTGAACAATACCTGTGTGTATTCTCCCATTCCAGTAATCAGACATTAGAAAGCTCACTTGTATAAAGTGATTTCCAGTGCAAGTTAGCAACAAAACCTTTTGACCCACAACTACTGAAATTGGGTAATTAATGCTTTAACTGGCTCTGATGTCCTGGAATTTGATGGCCTCATTTAATTTAACAGAAGGACTATGAAAGGTCAAAGAACTTGTACCTCTAGTGAAGGCATTCACTCCATGTGTAATACAGAAATGTATGCCATACTCTAAACAGGTTAAATTTAATTAAATTTAAATATTCATCCATCTCTGCTGAGTTTTTACCATTTCTAACAACATGGTGGGTTTGTGAAAATGTACAGGAATGAGTAGCTCAAGACATTCTATGATCAGCAACAGGTATTAAATTGCCAAATATAGCAGAATGAAACATTACACAGGCCAAAATGTTTAGAATAGATGGAATATCACTCAGGCTATCCTAATCTAGCTAGCATAGAAATAATAACAGGAGCCAGCAATAATATGGGACAATAGAACTTTTAGTGGGTGGTCAGCCAAACATTTGCCTTGTGTATGTACATTATTTATTTATTTATATTATTTATTATTTTAAACTTGAACTGTTGGTGAAGAATCCCAAAAATATATATTTAATTAACCAATGGCTGTATAAAAAACAATCCCCAATGCTATTTGTATTGATGTGATAAATCAATGCTCTATGAAATAAAAAAATATGGATTCATTATGAATTATCACTGAAAATATTATGTTGATTGGATGGAAAAATCAAGTCCAACTGAAAAAGGACAAATTATTTTTCCCCCGAGAAGACATGTACTTTTAATAAATCTTTGTGGTTAGGGACATTTGTTATCTGTTGGTTAAGGATATGTAAATTGAAGATCTCACTGTTGTCTGCCATCGACCAACATGGAATTTTGTGGTGCTGAAGTATCCAAGCCTGAGTACTGCACAGTCCAAATACTGCATGGTCTGAGTGTGAGTAGGTCTGATGTGAACACACCATGGGCATAGGGAGTAACTAGAGAGATACTTGGCTTTAAGCTTCCCTACCAAGCCTCCTGACTTGGACTCCTACAAATGGGTGATCTTTTTCAATGAAGCATTTTCCAGTACTTATTGTGGATCTGAGATCAGAAAACATTCGTAAAGAGTAGCCACACAGTAATAAATCTGTAAATTTACACAGACTGAGTGCCAATATAATTTCATAATCACCCTCAGGAATTGTATAACAAGATCAGTAGAAACACATGGCACTCTGAGGAATTAGATTCTAGAATAAAACACAGTGAGATATTTTGCAGGGCTCAAGATGACTTGGGGAAGTCACATTTCTGTCTTTTATTGATAAATTATAAAAAACCACCCCAAACCCAGAACTCTACCTGTTGTTGGCATAATCCACTTTGGCAGTCCAGGTGCTTTTGTTCTGACTGGTGGTAGTGTGGTTCTACTAAGAGCTGTGAGAGAGTTTCAAAAGAAAAAAAGGAAAAAGAAGAAAAAAAGAAAGAAGTTCCATTAGAAGAGTACCCAACAGACTTCTATGTGATGCCAAGAATTCCACACTAGAGAAGAAGTAACACCTGCTGTGATGACACACATAGTTTTGGTTTATTTTCTTTTTTCTTTTTCTGATTGGAATTGCTTTACCACTAGACTTATTGATTGAAAAATATCCCCCTTTTTCCCTCCCAGCAATACTTAAAATCCCACTAAGAGTAGATAAAATAAATTAACTATTTAATCTCCTCCCCATCCCAGACTGAATAAACATTTATTACCAGGTCTGGTCTGTGATTTATCCGTAGGCTGTGGTCTTGCAGAAGTGAGACGAGTTTTATGAGGTGCTAAAAGAAATAAGGTCCTGTTTCAATGCTCTGTGTAACAGAACAGGGACAGTGCAGTGCAATTTGCCAGACAAAAAGGTCCATGCACCAATGTGATACAGCAAAATGGACACATGAGAGCTCTATGAGTTCTAATCCAAAATGCATGTGGAAAATGCTAGTTTCTTTAGTGGCCAGATGGCTCCATCATGCAGTCTGACCAGTTACATTCATATGTAGGTTTAGGAAAAAGATGTAAAATATTTACAGCCAGTTACCCAACTGTATATGGATACAGAGTTAGCTCTGCAAGGTATCCATGGCCTTAAGACATTTAATTAGGTTCTGTAAAAAACAAACAAACAAAAAACCTCAAAATAAAACACCGAACTGAACCCCCCAAAAACAAAGACTTAGATAAAACTATGAAACATTAAAATATTTCTGAGAAAACAACTGGGAGCATTCAATGCACGCACTGTGCAGGGCAGCTGAAGATCAGTGTCATCAGCAAGGTTGAAATCAGAAACCCTTAACCTTTTTTTATTGTTGCCTTTCACTTGCAAAATAGTTTTGATACTCTAGATGTTATGGGATCTCTGGAAGCTGAAAGCATAAGCAGTAGTCACTGTTATCTTGTGCCCAATTAGCAATGTCTGTAAATCAGTTTTTTAAGTAGAGCTGGCTATTTGATATTCAAGACAAATAAATGTTCGACCCATAACACTTAATCCAGCCTCTCCAAAGCATCAGAGAAAATACAGGTCAGAACATATTACTCATTTTTAACATTTAGATTGGGGAAGTTTTACAGATTTTGATTTTGTAAGAAAAAGTTGGAACTCGGTTACATCGATGTTTGCAACACTATATACATATGACCATCCAATACACAGCTCTAATACTGTTTAAAAACTTCACATAATCTTCAATATTTGAGGCAATACCGTGCAAATCCCATTTTCAGAGCAATAAACTAAAATATTTGATAAGGGGAAAAATAAAGGTTTATATTATGTATTTGAAACAGTTTTAAAGGTAATAATGAACAGACCATTAAACTGTACTGATTTTACTTAAGATCTACAGACTCTCAATACAACAACTTAAGAAAATCTTAAAAAATTACCTGTATCAAACCAAGGAATTTCAGTTGCTTGACCAATTTTGGGCTTGGGTGAAATGTGGTATGTTTCATTGGGAACTGAAAATGGACATATTACTGCTTAGCAAATGCAAATGGTTTTCTTTTAAACATAAGACATCACAGATGGAAAGGAAATTCAAACTGTCTGTGCAAATCATAAACAAAAGAGTCAGTGCTAGAAATCTGGCTGAAAACCATGCTTTTATACATGTAAAAGACCTTTCAAGTCTGCAAGATATATATTATTAGTAAGTCAGACAAAACCAGAAAAGATGATAAGGCAATGCCTTTTTACAATGACTCCTCAGCCTTGTACATGTAGTACTTATTTCTATAAAGAATTACATTAATAAGAAAAATGGCTGGAAAATTAAAACCAGCAACATTTTGTACATGCACTGGACTGTAACTAACAAAAGAACATGACAAAGATATATGAAAGTATTTCTGTTGATTAAAGTGTAGGTTTAGCCATATAGCAAAAGCAGAGAAAGTAAAGATTGATGAAAAATAAACTGATGCAATATTCTCATTACCCAAAGCTATTTTGGACCCATCAACAACATGAACTGTTACAAGGTTAATTGATCCCAGGTGTGTTGCCCTTGGAGCTATAAAAAATAAACCATTGTTCTGTGAGAAGGCAAATTAAAGAAGCTGGGTTTCATGAAGGATCTGTCTCTCCATTGTTTCCTAAAAACCTATCTGCACATCTGCTAGGACAATTTTAACAGACATGAGACAGGCACATTCTGATTAGTCTGGATGTATTTTCATGCTGACAGCCAGACAGTGCAACTATTATGCTGGGCCCCCACTAACTTCAGAACACTTGCCCTAAACCTGGAGTTCTATGGTCTTTCTCATACTTGTTGATTAATTTACATGTCTCAAAAAAAATTCTAGAAGCTATGAGTAATGTATTTATTTTTCAGATCTCACTCAAGTTTGAATGAATTAATTGAAAGGTCTCTAAGTTACTGGATGAAAAGGACAGACTGGCAGGCGGAGGCCCACACTACATGGCTCTTTGTCTTTCAATAAATAAGAAAATAAGGTGAAATAAGGTAAAAATATGGAAGCTGGAAAATAAACTACTTACTCACATAAGGAGCAGTTGCTAAAAGGTGCCATTTATATTTCACAGTAAATGTTTGTTTACAGTTTTTCCTACCAGTAGTTGGTTTTGCATATACACCTTTACAATGATTTCGACTTTTATATATAAATTTTATAGTGATTTTTAAAAGGCAAAAAATAAACCTCTAAATTCTGTTCTCTAAAATTCTTTCCCTAAATCTAAATTTGTAGTGGTACCCAAAGATGGCATTTGTTAAATATGGCATGGTTGCAAATAGCTCTTATTCAACTGAGACTTAGAATCTAACTTGGTTATTGAACAGCCTTTCAAAACAAGGTATTTAGGAAAGAAATCTTTTTCCTGGACTGTTCAGTTTGATGTTCACAGTAATATATAGGTACATATGGTGAATGTATAGATAGAATATAGTTCTTGAATGAATAGGGTCTCTGCTTGAAATCTCTTTGGCCATAAAAAATGGGCAAGGAGAAAGAAGTGATGGAGGGGGAAATTACTAAACTATTAATTAAGCTATTTGTCTAAGAATAAAATTTTATCAATTGAGAGGTTAGATCAGAGAGAAGGAAAGATCAGGAGCTGCTCTTATAGACATGTAGTCTCTCCTCACCTAACTGTATTTTTCTCCTTCCTCCTTAGCAATTTTTATTGAAATCGATCATCTCATGGTACAGCTCAGATATCACCACCCTTCACTACAGATGTGCATCCCTGAATCTACCATGGTTACTGCAAAAATCACTGGTATTGAAGGCACTTCTACTCTTAGCATGTCAAATATCTTGGACTGAAACTCTGTAACCTGATTTTCAAAAGTACTTGAGAAATTGAATCAAATGTATTTAGAATAAAAAAATCTCCAAAACAAAAGAACTTTTTGAATGTAAGCACAGAAATACATTTTTATGAATATTAATTAAATTTCTCAGATTTTTTGATGACTACTAAACCCATCCAACTGCTTTCCATGGAAATTGATCCAATTCTTGGGCATTCACTTTGATATAATTTATGAACAAGTTCTCAGCTGAAGAATGATACAAAATTCTGTCTACTTATTATGCATACCCGTTGACCACAAAACTCAGTGACAGCAGAAATATAACTAAGGCAGTGCCACAGTAACACTTCTAAAGTTAAAAACTGTAAATTACCAGGTTTAGTTTGTGGTACTTCTGGCCCAACAGATGTTTTGGATTTGGAAGGAATGAGCAGTGTTTCTTTTGGAGCTGAAAGAAAAGGAAAAAGATTATTATTGTATTCTTCAGGAATCATGATCCAATGCCATACTTAGCCCACAGAAAATGCATGCCTCAAATGCCTGAAAAAAAGACAATAACAATTCCATGGCTTTCTGGAACCTGAAACAAAACGACTAGCCAAAACACTGTTAGAAAAGTCCCAGCAGTGTGCTGTAGGATAAGCTGAGTTGGGGGCTAAAATTCTTGCTCTAAAAGAAAAATTAGGCCACTGACTTCTGGTTTGAGATCTGAAAAATACAGACTTCTGATCAGACATAAGCTGTAGGCTATTTTTGCTTTACTTGACAAATAGAAATGAGAATCCTCTGTATCCTAAGATACATACATGTAGCAGCAGAATGAAGGATAGTGGAATGGTGTTACATAAATACCACATTGGAGCATGCTCTCTAGAAATTTCTCTACTGAAAAATGAGAAATACCTGCATCTTAATGTTAAGGAAACTTATTTACCCATTGTTGCCCTTGAATGACCAGTGGTGGTAGAAGATTTTGTAAAAATTGGTTGCGGAGTTGTCGGATATATTGCTGTTAAGGAGAAAATGTAAAACTCTTAGAATATTTATCTGTAATCCAAAAAAAGCAGCATTTGCTAAAACCTGCAAAATGTCCCAAACAATGGAGTAGCAGAATATCTTGACAATCAAATGCTGACAGACATAATTATCTCTCTATTAACTTCTGCTGTACATTTATGCCAAAAATGGGAAAGCACACAGCCCTCCATAATTATTTTTAAAGCTATTTTTATTTCAGTACAATGTCTGTGGCTAACTGCACAAGCACATTGTAAAGAAATTCTGTTGCATTTCAAGAAAAGATTAACAAAAAAATGTTCACAGAGGAGTACCCAAGAGTACCAGTAATCACAGAGAACTCAGTCTGCCTAGGCACTGAAATTTGTCAATACCCACATTACTACATTCCAGTCATCATTTGCTATGTGTAATAGACAGAGGAATACCATTATATATATTATACATTACATATATACATACATATTATATATTCTTACTATTATTTGTAGTGCAGTTTTGGCTTATTTTGGAGTGATCATCTGAAGTGTAATGCATTTCTTTCACCACAAAAATGGCTAGGAATAACCCCATTAAGAAGCACAAAAACCTGAAACTTGGGGAAAGAATAATTAAACACAAAATTAAAATAATGCCTCCATTACCAGGTCTGGTGTATGGCACTCTTGGTCTTTCAGTTTTTCGTTTGGTATGAATGAATGGTTTTTCAGTTGGAGCTGGAACAAAAACAAAAAGCACCCAAAACAATAATGAAAAAACACACTGCTTTTCACAGCACAGGAGGAACATGAGTACGATCTGATCTAGAATAAGGCAAATTATGTAAGAATAAGCTGAAAGCTGGAATTCCTGCAAAGAAAGGAAAACAAGTTAAATGGCCACTTATACAAGAAGACTTCTAAAAAAATATATACAAATTTGTAGTTCTGCATCAAGCAGTCTGGAATATAGTCATTAACATCATCATATGGTAATAGGACAAAAATAGACAGTGGTAACCTGTGCCTTTCTCATCTGCCACACATGAGTAGATGAGAAAAGGATTTCTTTTTCATTTGTGTCAAACTTGATTTTTAAATTATATTATTTTGTTCTTATGTTGGAATGATTTAATACTGTTATCTTCACACTATACAGATAAAAAAATCTTGTAAGTAAAAGTAGGAATAATTTCCTGGAAAAGGTCATCTTAGCCCTTTTTAGTCTGTGGTCTGCTCCAATGCGAGAGGTCCAAAATGATCTGCCTTAGCCTGTGCAGTTTTCATCCCCCTTGCCCTGAGGAATCATTTTCTGCATGTGACTATTGCTCAGGTGTTTACAACAGGGCACCTACTTCATAAAGCTAGATGCACAGATACTGAATGAATACTAACCTCAGTATCATTGCATACAGGGAATATAAATGGAAATAGAAACATGTTTAAAAGCAGTTTTAATTTCCTCTTTTTCAAAAAGAAAAGAGACATAGTTTGAAGATTATAAAATGCCTATTAATATTTCATTCTCAGAAAATCACAGTTAAGGTCTGTCTCTGAAGCTGGGGACAGAAAGCTGGTTGAACAACAATTGCTCAAGCAATGCTCTTGCTCCTGGATAGTGCTTGGGTTCAGTGACCCTTACTTGGTCCACATCTGACAATTAATTTAAGAAGAAGAACACTCAGCTAAGGTTTCGTATATTTAAGCAAGTCTTCCCAACCTGGATAACTAGAGGAAAGCAGAGAGGATGGTTTCAAGTAGTAGAGTGGGATTTAGATGGTCACATATCGGGTCTGGAGACTATGCCGTTGTTGATATATTAGAATTTTTTTCTGTAAAATTAAACAATGAGGAGTGAAGAAGAAGAGTATTTTAGAATGAAATTATCCACAATTCACATGAAGAATAGGGGATTAACTCAGTTGGTTAGAGCATGGTAATAATGCAAGGGTTGTGATGGGCCAGTTTAACTTCAGAGTTGGACTCGATGATCCTTGTGGGTCCCTTCCAACCCAGAACATACTGTGACTCTCTGAAGCATCACTATCTGCTCTTTAAATAAAGTCCCCTTTTACTGGAAAATAGATAACCTGGAGGAATTGCATCATCCTGACTGGAAAGGCTAGAAGAGGATGAAAAGAACCTTTGAAAGTAAAGAGTCCATGCATTATTACCCTTATCAAGACCAAAGATCAAGTAAGTATCTACAAGAAGAGCAAAATTTCATTATTAGCTTTTAATAAAATATAATAAGCTCTCTCTAAGATGATATTCTCTAAAAAAGGTGTAAAATAGAATAATTATGAAATAACAGTTACCAAATATTGCCTTTGTTCTTTCAGGAATATGAGGGATCATAGTAGTATCTCGTTCATCAAACGTTGGAAAAATCTCTGTTGGAAAAATTGTCAATAAATTATCTGAATAATGAAAACAATCTCCCTTTCCTCCTTTTCTCAAAAATCCTTTCAGCGCTATTCTGTATACAACAGGAAAGGGATGTTTTAAAACAGCAATGGGCATTTACCCTCAGAAATTTATGGTTAGGAAACAACACTAACAAACCTTCAGTGAAATCACTGATTATATTACACAGGTCAGTTGGATTTATGATGGGGAGTCACCTAAGCAAAATGTAATTAAAGGGAATCCTCATACTAATCTGGGTGAAATGCACATGTAAAGAAAAAGCATTACAACAGTGTTAGGAGGTTTCTCTCATAAATGCTTCAAAAACATGGTGCACACTATTAAAGTGTGTTGCTCAGATAGAAGCTGCAAATAACTTTTTATCCTTGATTAAAACATATAGGCTGATTCTATTTCTTCTGTTAATATCTGCATAAAATACAAAAACCGTTGAACTGTTGAAGTTTCCGTCAGATTTAATTGCATCCCTGCAGAGGTTTCTTAACCTAGAATAATAACCAGGTGACAGCTGATGCACTGATGATTATTCCCCCCCTGCTTCCACCCCAAAAACAATTGTTCAATTATCCACCGAAGCTTCAAAAAGACCAGATAATTTACCAGGCCTCCTGTATGGAGCATCCGGGATGGGAGTTGCTCTAGGTTTAAAAGGAATATGTTGTGGTTCTTTAAGACCTGAAAGAAAAGATCTGTTTTAAGGGTTTATACTTTGACAAATTTAGGCTTGTTGCACAGGCACTGCATATCTCATGCTTGCAAAGAAAAACAATCTCTGCATGACAACCTGAAAAACTGAGTGTCAGATATGCATCAAGAACAGGTCAGATACATGTCAGGAATTCAAGAGAAAACAAAATCCTGAATGAAAACATGAGTGGAAAATTAATCAGATAAGCCAAATCTGGAGTCAAGCAACAAAGCCAGCTAGAGCACAGACAGCTACAGGGAATATATTTCTGTCTGTATTTCAGAACCCATAACTGCAATACCCATGGTGTGCTGGCTTCTACAAGTGTCAAAGAATTACAACATGTGTGACAGGGAAAGAAATTTTATGTGAAGACAACAAACCAGCTAGGAATCTTTCAATACCTGCAACAGAGTAGAATGTTGTTCAATTAGTAGAAAAGAAAATAATTCAAAACCACAAACAGATTATGTGAAAAACAGACTAGTGATATATAGACATTGGCCCAAGGAGTAGTGAAAAAATAACAATGACCAGCTCAAGGTAACAAATTTATCTGCTGCTGTCTTTTGTTGTTCAACTGTAAATGTACTAACTCCCAAAACTCCATAAAAACAAGATACACAGAGTTAGTGGTGAGTATAAGTTAATGGTAAAAATACTCCCTTTGACATGACTGGTTAGTTTTCAATTTGGAACACATTCCTTTTTTTTTCCTTTTCTTTGTAAAATTAGTGAATATACACTCACTTAAAATAATGTTCAACGGATACTCTCAGAACTCTTAGAAGTTACAGAGGTTTGACTGTTCATTAGTATGCAAATCCCTATTAGTTTATTTTTGAGGGTGACATTCCATCACCAGGTCACACAAACCTATGAGTGGTTTCAGTTAGAGATATTTGGAGTCATACATGAAGGCCCTCAAATAGGTTTTTCTCCAAGCATCTTTTGACAGGCACAAAAGATGGCAATTTCTTCCAACTTCTCGTGATGTTTCTTTGTTGTCTACCCTGCTCTACAGATTACTCAGCTGTGATAGATGTTATGTGGCTGAAAAGCAGAGGCAACTACTAAAACTCAGACATTAAAAATAGAAATCACCTCTGTTTTCCTGGAAACACATATTTAATGATCATCAGAGAATGTATTTGTAATATGAAGAAATGTTAATCAGCACTTGATTCACTGACGAAAGACAACCCAAAAGAACCCCTGGATATTCAAGCACAACAAAACAACAATCTGTACCAGGTTTTGTGTATGGGACATCCGGACTTGGTGATGCCCTGGGCTTGGAAGTGACTCGCCGACTTTCTTTGGGACCTGTGGAAATGAGCAAAGTTTTGAATTTATTATTGAGGATGATGATTTTTGGTCTTATGAAGATGGGCAAAGTTTTGAACACATTGTTGAGGATGATGATTCAACATATGTATTTCGATTTTTCTGCTGAATCAGAGGATTTGTTTTCTGCTAAGAAAATTTTTAGGGACTACTTCTGTCATTTTAAAATAATCCCAAAGAGATCTCCTGTAATCAATACAATGCCAGTGCACTGTAAAAGTCACTTTGTAAAGACAAAGTGACTTCTACAGTGCAGTGTCAGATCAACTTTCCACTCCTAACAGCAATAACAAACACAGCTTTCTACAGAGTAAACTGCTGTAGTTCTAACACTCCCTAGTTGTGCTTCACAAGTGTTTCATAATCCAAAAACTTGCTGCTCCTTTGAATCAACTCTGCATTAAAAAAAAAAAATCCTCAGCAAAACAGTCAAAGCAGAAGAAACATGGAAATTTACCTCTAATTTTCAAATTGACAGAGCTATATCCAAAGTTTTGGGAACAGAAAAGTACTGTACTTTTACACTTTTACAGAAGCAACTCAAAAATACAAATATTTTCTAAGGAAATCAAGATTCCTGTGTGCAAGGGCTAAGGATGAGTGTTAACCCACACATCTCCATTGTGTTTCATTGACGTATAAATATCCAGCAGATTATGTTCAATGACAGCTGTATAGCAAAATTTGATTATGACAGCGAAGCACAGCCTGGAAAATAAGTACCTCTGTATCTTCACAGAACTCATCAATTTTGAACATTTTCAAAGTGATGAAATTTTCATGCACTAAAGGGCAAAATATTGATAAACTTACTTGCTCTAGTTGGAGGAACACGTGGACTGGGTGATGTTTTAGGTCTGGAAGGCCTGTGATATATATCTTTAGAAGCTGAAAGAAAGAAACTGGGTTAAGCATTATTAAAGTAATAAGTAGCTTCAAATACAAATAAACTATTCTGTAACGGGTGTAGTCCTGGAATGATTCACAATATCAAATTCAAGTGACAAAAATGCCTTAGTCAAATGGATCTGCCTCAAGCAATCTTATGACCCAGGATTAATGAAGTGATTGTGCTCTGACAGTGAAATTGAGGTTTGAGTGGAACAGAATTATTTTCCAGCCCACTATGAAGGACTGAATTTCATTTCATAAAACTAGAGGGGGAGGGAAGAAAAAGAAAGAGGAAGGGAAAGAAAGCTTTCAGGATGCAGCTCTGCCCACCCATGGTGCTCTGCACCTGCAATGGTGCTATCTACACAGGATGACTGAAAACATATAATTAGGATCCTGTTCTGATCTGCCCTCTGCTTCTTACCATTAGATGTTGAAGGAAATTTTCCTATCTTAGGTGCAAAACAACTTGAAAAAAACAAGGATTCTCCTCATTTGTTTCATAGAAAATAAGAAGATACCGAGAACTTTGACAGTTAAATTATTAAGGAACATGCAAAAAAAGGTGACAATTTTTTTCAGGTCTGCTTTTAACAGTTTGTGCTGAAGAAGAAAGACAATGTGACCTTTCAAACAATCAAGCATCATTACCTATTGTTGCCTTTGGTTTCTCAGTTTTAAATCTAATTGTTTCCAGAACTGCATTAGCATAATAAAACAACAAAACCAAAGTATTACCAAGAACAATCACTGTCTCCACAATACTCATACCATCCCTGCTAGGGCTGATGACAGATAGTCACTCCTCCCTGAAACTCAACATCCAAGTATAATGTTCCACAGAATTTCCTCCCGTTCAAGGTAACAGCTCTAATACAGAACAGATCCCAAATATCTGAAGTTTTTGTAAAAGCCACAAAGAGACTGTGGGTGGTTTTTTTTTACCTTCAGCTTTGTACACTTTTCTGACTTATTTCAAGGGTTTTTTTCAAACAATAAGTGCAGACTTACTGGGGAGAAAAGGAACCTGAGTTGTCTTTCTGCCCATCTCTTCACCAGCACCATCTAATACTCCATGTACCTTGGATACCCATACTGGGTCTGGCTGGAATGGAGGTTATTTTCTTCACAGTAGCCCCTGTGCTACTCTGTTTTGGACTCATGAGCAAAGAAGTGTTGATAAAATACCAATGTTTTACTTGTTGCTGAATACGCCTTGTCACAGCATCCAAGAATTCTTTGTTTTTCACTCTGCCCCCAGGCAAGAGGGCTGGGCTGGGGGTGGGCAGGAGAGGACACAGCCAGGACAGCAGGACCACCCTGGCCAAAGGGATATTCCACCTCACATAAAGCCATCTCAGCACCAAAACTTTCCAAAGCACCCATTGTTCCTAGACTGGCTCTGCTCTGCCTGTGGGATGTGGTGTGAGGTTGCTTTGTGCCACTTGCTTTCTCCACCTCTTTTTATCCTCCCTTATTAAACTGTCTTTATCTTGAACTATGATTTTTTTCCCCTATATTTTTTTCCCCTTACTTCTGCTCTCCAGACCACTGTGGGGTGGAATGAGAAAGAGGTTAGTGTGTGCTTAGCTTCTGGCCAGGGTCAACACACTATGGTGCCTCATACATGCAAGTGTGAGTTGCATAATTTACTTTCTCCCTCCTTAATTCTCCTAAGGTTGTTTATCGGTATAACAACCTATGCAGACACAATTATAGGAAGTATTACACATTCTTAAATTTCTGAACAACACAAGGGCTCTGGAAAAGTGAACCAACAAGTTCACTTGAATGAAAGCTTGTGTCTGGAAAAGAAGAAACAGGCACAATTTAAAAAATACAGAGCAGAATCCTTCCTTTCTGCAATGACACCCCTTGTTTTCACCTTTACTTTACTAGAACACAAGTTACACAGAAAAGACATTTTCACTGAGAATTTTACAGAAAACATCAATTTCTGCAGTGACTTACAATGTAATAAAGAACTGAAGATATTTTCAACTTACCAGGTTGCTTATAAATTCTATATGCCACTGGATTTTATGCCTCAAGGAATGTTCTAAAATATATGCCCGAGGAATACACACAAATCTGAAGCTCCAGTGATCACAGTAGGATCCATAAGACACGTGTCAGTATGAAAAGGTAAAAAAAAAAAATGAACCTACCAGGTCTTGTTCGTGGCACCTCTGGGCTTGGTGATGTTCTAGGCTTGGAAGGAACATACTGTGGTCCTCTAGGAACTAAAAAATAGCAAATATTAGAATTTTTTGGGAACAGATACTGACAGAAAGAATAACATTAAAGAAGAACATATGCCTTTGGGACCCTTTGGAATCACAAAAACGTGAGTAATGGAGAAATATGAACACTTAGTACATAACAAACCCCAGTGCTGATGGAAAACCTCTGTAACAGGACAATATAAAACAAGGCCAGTATTGTTGCACAGTATGAAAAGTGAAGCAGCACATGATAGAAATGGAGTATAGTGACAAGCAGTCAAAGGTAGGTTGTAGTGCTTCCATCCCCTTTGCAGAACACATTTGTGTGAGGAAAAAAAGAGAAAAAGATGATTATGAATTGTTAGTGAAAAATCACAAAACCACCCCTTACAGGATGAACTTTAATGGTAAAAAAATTATGAGAGTGGAGTGCAATGAAGCAGTGCTTGTGATGGTCAGTGAGAAAAAAGCTAAATGTGATGGTCCCCAGGTGATTTACCCTGTAGGTAAAACTGTTACCTATTGTTGGTTTTAGTTGATCAGTTCTAAGTGTTATAGATTCCAGGACTGTATCAGAAACAAAACAGAAAATATATTTTGAAAGTTGAAAATTTACAATTAGCACTATTTTTTGAATCCTGTACTTTGTTTACTGCCTTATAGTGAAACAGTTGTATTAAATATCTGAGAAAGCAGTGAAATCTTCAACATAGTGTGAGCTTTGTTCTCCCATAGGCTTCAATGAAATATCCAAATATTATCATTCTGTTATTCAGAAAATGGCTTTTTAGGGACACAAATCTTATCCCTTGGTGATGTGTTTCAAATGCACTCTATTTACACAACTGGAATCAGACAGTACTTGCTTGTGTACTGAACACTTATTAAAGAGCATAACATGGTGTATTGCATTGCACAGTCATATAATTCAGCTCTAGACTGGAATGGATCTAGAGGCCATTGGTTTAGAGTAATAAGGATGTGAAATTGATGTGTCAATTCTTCTGTATGGATTACAACTAAAAAAAAAGAAGAAACGTCTTTGGATATTTTAATACAATCCACAAGATAAGTGGATGATGCTGTAGAAAATGTTCTGTACATTACAGATTCTTGAAGAAACAGTAAGTTGAAGAGGCTTTTGTTTGTTTGTTAGTTTGTTTTAAACACAGATCAATACAAGCTCATAATATCTGTGTGACAAAACCATAAACCATTTCTGAGAAAGCCAGACTACCATAACAATGAAAAATGGCCACAAAGGTAAAAAACTGAGTGTATGAGAAGTTGCATCTTAAGGAGTAACTTGGAAACAATGTTTTATAATCAGATGCCATCGTTAAAAATTTATGAGAAGACAAGGATTTTGACTGTTTGCTACATGAGGAAATCACACTTAACAGATAACATAAAATTTCAAAAATATTGGTCTATGTCTACAATTTAAAGATCTTCAATAAGTGTTTATCCTTAAATTTTTTACATTTACCAAAGGATAACAGATATTGATATTTGAGACCCTTGCATTTTCTCTTGCTATTACCAACTGGAGAACATGGGACAGAAAGTAATTTTTTCTGCCTCTCACATTTAATGACATAAAAATCCAGTATTTTGGAATACAATGGAAAGGATCATTAATGCCAATAAATGTTTATAAGCAAATACTAAGTATGCATGTATAACTAGGCAATTTAGGCCCTCATGCAGAAAATACTAATGACATGAAATTAACTGATGGTGGCTTAGAAGGGAAACATATTTATTTTAACAATGCCAAGCAATGTTGGAAAGAATTATACCCCCAAGTAGCCTCAGTACACGCTTTATTTTCTTTGTTTTAGTTAGCAAGGTTAATCTGAGTGTAGCTACACTATTCTCATCCTGTTGCCTTGAAGTAGCAGAGGTTTATTCTTTTGCTCAGTGAAAAATACCTAGCAAATGTCACTACTCATGAAAGCTGCAATTAAATTGCTGAATGGCACAGAACAGAACTTCATTCTGTTTTAACTGGCTCAGGTAACTAAACAGCTGCTTATAAACACATTTCAATCCAAAACAAACTGTACTAGAAACAATCACAAAGTAGTTTACCATCTTTGGCCTGCGGAACATGAGGTTTGGGTGAAGTTTTAGGTTTAGAAGGAACACGTGGAGTCACCCTTGGAGCTGGAAGAGAAAATGTGGGCAGTAAGTTGGTTAAATTGCACAGCAATTAAATCTGATACCAGCTGAACACACAAGCACAGAAATCTCACACCTGCAACTGAGAAGAAGTAGGCAATCAGGTAATACTCTCCATGTGTTTACAACAGTCTAAGCAAGAAAGTGGAATTTTAGTCATTTTTGAAGCTCAGTTTTTGTTTGTGTTTTTAAAATAAAAACTGGAACAAGCGCAAATAAGCATAATTATGAGAAAGGTGATTGAAAGCTGCCAGCATAATTTCTTTTTTCACAAAGGACACATTCCAGCTGTGGAGAGAGCAATACACTCAACTGTTTTGAATGCCAAGCAAGATAATTACCTAGAAGAAAAATGAGGTTAAATGAAACAATCCTGAGACAGGAGGTGACTAACTTCAGTGATGCTTGCTGTGATGTAAATAAAGCAAACACAACAGCTTGCCAAGGAAATATTATTACCTATGGGTGACCTTGGTGGTTCAGTTCTAAGTGTAATAGGTTCCAAGACTGCAACAGAAACAGTGTGACAAAGTGAGTAAGGAATGCACTTAAAAAACTTAAATACTCCAGTGGTAAGTAGAAAAGCAGGCACTAACACAACACCCCAGTAATATGGATCTTCAAGCTGACTTTTAAATCATGGGCAATTACAATTCTTAATAATACAGGTAAAATAAGAAATAAGTAATTGGACAAACTTGACGGCAATAGAAGCAAAATTATGTGGATAAAAATCAGTAAATCCAAGAACAAGCAAGAGAAGAGATTGCAGAGTTTAACTTAGAGACAGCAAGGGACTCTTGATATACAGAATGTCAAACTGAACTCTGTTATTTCAAAGTAGTGTGCTGACCATGACAAAATAGTTGAGTTTTTCCTCTAAAGTGAGTAATAAAGCAGAGCACTAAAAGGCTGCTATTAGGTAGAGCTGTATTTATCAGTCAGCTGAAAACAATTAGTTTGATAAAGCCTGTTATTTTTTTCTCATATCCACTTAAAATTTGAATCACAAAACCAATATATCATGCCCTTTTCCTGGTGACAAACTGTACCAAATGAGACAAAAAATTATGAGATGGCAGAATCTATAAAAATTTCTTGGCAATAAAGAAAACCTATTTTAATGCATTAATTCTTTCATCTCAATGCAGTAACAAGTCAAGTAGCATATAACACACAGATATACAACCTAAAGACAGAACCTGTTCTCTAACCCACATTCACTTATTTCCCAAACTCTCTTATGCATTTACCCATTTTGAAAATGGGCTTTACAGTCAATAACACTATAAAACTTTGATTGCAAGTGAGGGGGCTAATACTAAGGTATTTATTACATGCCTATTAACATACACAGTACATTATTCTGTAGTATTAATATTACTGGAAATGAAGAAAAAAAACCCCCAAAATAACCAGTATTAACTTCTACTGACAGTGGTCGGATACTCCATAGAAATGTCAGACCATCCACTAATTTTTCAAATGTTCTCACTACATATGCCTGGTTTGCAAAGACTTTGCCATTATGCAAGCTCATCAGTTACCTTTGGAATTAAAATTGAAAATCTTTTCCTAGAAAATACTAATTTCTATTTTCAGGTTGCTTTTGAAAAAATCAATCATTTCTTACAAAGAGAAAACCAGCTTTCAATAATAGAAAGATATTTATATTATTTTTTAGGTCTGCACACTGTTTTCTGGAGCAATATGGTTTCCTTTTGTACAAGTATTATCCAAAAAAAATTGAATGTCTTTTCTCCCCACCTAGAGGAAAATAAGAAGTTGTTCTTTACTTTCTGCACTAATAGCAAGTCTCAAAGTACATAATTTCAAAAGAAGTGCCTCATCAGACTTAGCCTGAGGTGTTTTGATCTTAGCAGGTCATTTGGGCTTCAAATGTGAGGAATGTGTATTTTGGATACTGGGAAATGTTTGTTTTGTGGAAACCTGCATTTAAGCTGAAAATAAATCGTCCCATAGTAAATCACATTCAGGTTCAGCAACAAAGAAATTAAGTCTAGGAAATGAGCCTCTGTCCCTCTCAATGAATAACCACAGAAAAAGGAATTGTACTATGTGTTTAATGCATGAAATATTGTTGGATATGAACAAAACAAGCAATGATTATCCATTTGATGGATAATCAAAGAGCTGGATGTTCTTGAGCAGCACAATTAACTACTCATAGTTTAGTCAAAAGCCAACAAAAAGACTTAACAAGCAATGCTAAGAAAAGATTGTTATGCAATATTGACCTTGAGAAGTCAATGTCATTAGAGGAGTTTTGAGAGGATTTCATGGTATAGAACTTGTTGCAGTTGAAAACTATGAGTTTAAGTGAGTTGCTGCTAATTGACCAAACCAAACTGATTCCATTTTATTAAATCATTTAAGTAAGGCTTAAAGATGTCCTTGTCCTGTTTCATGTATGTACTCAGCTTCATCCAGGTTTTAAAGACCAAAGCTAGATTGCTGAAAACATCTTGAAGCCCTTCTCAGAATACAGCTTGCACAGCAAATGTAAACAGTGATTTAAATTTTCCTTTCAATTAGATAAAGCATTTCAGGGTTCACTGCAAAGGAGAGCCCCTTGTTCTTTGTCTGCATAAAAAATGTATATATTAAACACATCACTTAACATATATTCCCATACTAAAAAAAGGCCATGTATTATTTTATATAAACTGTGCTCCTCATTAAAAATAAAATCTTTTTTTTTAATTTTAAATTGAGCAAAAGTTTGGATGTATTAATTGAAAAAATGCAGTATTTTCCATACATTTGAGAAAATATCAGCAATATGCCACAAAACTCCTTCTGCAGGAAGTGTTTACTTGTGTGTAGTTTTAAATGTCATTTTAGATTATGTTATTTCTATATTCCATAAAATCTTTATTATTGTAATAATTCTTATTCTTTCCTCTTCTAATATAACTGAAACTTTCTGGTAAATACCTTTTAAGTGATATCCTGTCTTTTAGAAGACATCTCCATGTTAGAAACATGGAGAAATAATAAAGTACCAAGATCATATTTCCATTTGCTGGTTTGGACCACACATGAATAAGCAAGAAGCCTCCAGGAAATGCTGTTTTCAACTGCACATAATATGAGACCAGTGAAAAGAAGAATGACTAAGGATGACTCATAATCATTACCCTCTGCAGTCTTTGGACGTTCATATGTGTAGGGACTCCTAGAAGTGACTGACACTGGGATGGTTGCTGTTGGAATAAAGAGAATTTTCTTAAGAGAAATACAGGTGCATCTGTATCTGTTTTTTTAACTGCTGGTACAGCTCACCTGCTCTTGCTTCCCACCTAAAATCTTCAAAACTCTTCAAAAGGAAACACTGAATGAATGATAAATTTACCCTATGTGGATTTTGCTGCTTTTGAAAAATAAAAAGTGCATTTATGCTACAGGAACACACTGAGACAGGAGCTCTCTAAAGCTTCACCTTCCTGTTTTACTGATTTTTTAAAAAATCTCTTTATGGCTGTAGACCACTGAAAAGAAACAGCTCCAGAGAACTCCATTTTCTTTGGCAAATCTTTCTATTAACTTTCCTGGGTTTCTTCCATAGTGATACAAAGGATAGATATGAAAGGCTTCACGTGTAAATAACTGTAAAGTCCCAGAAAGCAAGGCTGAAGGTCCCAGCAGATTATCTAGTGCCACTGCACATTAGATCATCAAGTTAACAAGCTTCCCATCTCTATCTAGAGTACTTAATTGGGTTTGAAAGGAACAAACCCCAAACACCCTGAAAAATATAAAGAACTTTGAAGTCAAAATTGGTAGAATTGTTTGATAGTAGTGTGACTTTACAAACAGAATCCAATTTCATTCCTAAACACATCTACAATAATTGAGTAATCTTTGTGGTTACCCTTTAAATTTTGCTTTGTTTCTCTGTTTTGACTCTTAGCCTCTGTTCCTCCCAAAAGATTTTAATTAGGAAAGAAAAGGTGATGGATAAATATTGTATGATGGGCCTCAAACTATATTTTTGGACATACTAACAATTTGTCATGTTGTAATTCACAAGCATTTTGAGACTCACAGGAAAACTTATTTAAAGGAAGTTACCTTAAAATTTTGAAATACAATAAAATCTGAGACATAACACTTCCAAAATTCTGTCAGTTTAGACAGAAAATCACATTGTTAATTTAAAAGTCTCTATTTCCCCACATGAAGTTTTATGGTGGTTTACCTGAGTGGAGGGTGTTTAAATTTAAAAGACTTAATTATTTCAGATTTCTAAATTTTCCCTCTTTTCTTTTCTGACTTTTTTTATAGCTTAGACAGCTTTTATATTTGATAATATTGCTACTATTTTAAGAAAGCAAAATACTCCAAAATGTCTTCAGTACAAATAATTCGTGCATTTAAGTAAATGCCCAGATAAGTTTTGGAGTCTCAATCCCTGGAGATATTTAAAAACTTTTCTGTAAAGAAAGTGTGGCAGCGTATTTGTGTACACAATACAAAACACATTATTATTTCCTTTCCTGAAAAATGGAGAATGTTTAGAGAGAGATATTCATTCTAACAATAATAAAAGTGAGGACAATGGCTGGGCATGATCACATTGGCAAGAAAACTTATTTTTTTCATGTAGGCAACAGATTCAGTTACCCAAATGCCAAGAAAGAGAATGAAACTGTGAACTTTCACGAGAATGTACAGTTTGTTAGCTGGAGAATCTGAAAATCATTTTAATGTTTGGGGTTTCTTAAATGAGGATTTTTTCCTCCACTGCCAAAAAAGACAAATACTTTACCAGAAACAGCACAAAAATAATATTAATAATGAGAGCCAAAATTAATTGCTTAACCCAAAGGCAGTTATTTGGCAGTAATGGCAGTAAGTAATTGATTAAATATGAATTTGGCATATATTGTTCATTATTTTGATTTACTCTTAGGGAAAGGTGACAACCACTATCTTGACACAAGTTTCTAATTTAAGCTGAACTTCCAGGTGATGCTGGAACACAGACAGGGCACTGCTCTTTCACCATTTTGCCACCTACCCAAAAGCCAGCTTATCCCCATGCCCTGCATATTTTATGGCTCAAATAATATTTTCTGAACAAGAATATAATTTGTCACATTATAACACGCCAGTTTCACTACCTACTTACAAGAGAATCATGACAAGCTTCATCAAGATTAAAAAGTGTGTTTCAGCATTCTACCTGATTGACTCATGAGACCACCACTGGGAAAGAAAAAACCAGAGGCTGGTGTACAAATATTTCAAAATGCCACTTTCTTCTTAGGCATATAGAAACTTGCTATAGAAGCACTCAATGTGGAAACACCAGGATAAAATCTTGATCTTGGCAGTCCCAGGGTGTAAAACAAATCTATGCAACAGTTTCCAAATGAGTTGCTTTTATTTTTGTCTCATGCAGAGAAAAAAAAGCAACTCATGCATGAGTTGTGCATGAGTTGCTGAATATAAATCTGAGTCCAGCATGTTGTTCAAAAAACAATAGGCAGGACTCAGAATTATATTCAGACATAGACATCTACAGCAGAGACAAAAGTAATGATTCTTGTAATACAATACTGGATTTCCTACACTTAAAATTATGCAGGAGCTGTAATCAGCATAAAAACTAATGATACTCAGTATTCTGAGACAATTCCAAGTCATAAGTGCCATTTCTTTAACAAGCTTCACAGGGAATAATTTGGTCTGAAGAGAGTTCATTTCTTTTTATGGGCAAAAAATAATTTGCAGGAATCTGGAAGGAATTTAATAAAATCATCTGATCTCTTCCAGCATTGAGTAATATATTCTTACAATAAACAATTATGCAATTTCAAGCTTTATAATTTCATTATAAACCATGTAACAATAGAAATATTTTTACAACTCTATTTATTTATTCTCCATGTCCAGAAAATGCCAGGTGTGTTTTACTCTCTGCCATACATTATAGATGAAATTTAACATGGTGTGAAGGTGCTATTTCATTTGGGATCATAAAATATGTCTTTACTGAATTCCAGAATAAAATTCCATTCTTACTTTCACAGTTTCAGGTAAGTCTATATGTGCTCTAATGATCACTGAATCAATCAAATCCTATGGTTCTATGTAAGATCTTATAACCATCAGCAAAACAGTAGAATTTGTGTTTTCTGGACCCTATGCTGAACTAAGTTGGAAAACTTGTTATTCCAAAACGAAAAGCAGGGAAATAATTTGCTTTGATATCTGGATACGTGAGTTGGTGACTTGGGACATAAAAGGTTTTTTGCTTTGCTTCTATTTTTTGGGGGATCCAATACAAAAATATTATTCCTCAAAGAGTAATTCCTCACCTTTCTGATGATTAAGTGCTGAACTTCACATTCACACAGAAGAAATTCAAGCTAAAATGCATGACTTAAGTGAGATACTATAACAAATGTTTGCTATGGAAATTAGTTACCAGGTTTAGTTCGTGGCTTTTGGGGTCTGGCAGATGGTCTAGGTTTAGATGCAGAAGTAGTGAGCTTTGCTTCTTTAGGAGCTGAAAGAAATATACTGGATTATAAATTTATGCTTTCCACTGTATCACAAAAAAAATGATTAAATGAGGCAATGAATGGCTACAGGGAAAAAAAGCAAGTGGTAGGATCAGATATGCCAAGGAGGCTTCTCAAAAAATCTTCCTGAGAATTCACTAGTCCAGCAAGATCCCTGTTTGTCTTTCATTGTAAAAGTGAGTAATTGCATTTAAATATGCAGTTGAAGCTTGCAGTCACATCCAAATGTTCTTCTAATTAAGTTAGCAAATTAATTTTCGCAAGATACCTAAGAGATAAAATAATAATGCTTTTTATAATTTTGAATTCCCGGTCAATTTGAAGCCATAAGAAGACATATATAGACAAAATATACAGAAATGTCCTCATTTTTTGGCATGGTAAAGAAATTAGTGGCAAACAGCTGAAAGAACATGGAATCAATAAAAAAAATTGAACTTCTTCATAGCTGCAGTCATTGAATTCTGCTAATGGAATAGAAGTAGCTAATATAAGTTGAGTAATATAAGTAGAATAGCAGTATCATGTAAATGGTAAAAATTAAGAACAATGAGTTCCAGAAACCCTTTTCCCACCAAACATGCATGAGTTGAAACTGTAATTAGTTAATCTGCCTCTTAGTTTGACTCCAGACAAAGTGTAAACTCAGTTTCAGGCAGAGGTAAGTAACTTTGTACATTTTAAAAAGCAGTGCTATGAGATTGCTTTCCAATGAAATGTTTCATAGCAATTGATGCAGTGAAAAATGTTTGACGTCTACAAAAAGAGCAGAGAGGAGTGAGCCATGAAGTGACTGAGAGGTGCTTTTCAAGCCAAAATGACATTCAGAAGGATTCATAAAGCAGTGGAATCAACAAGTTAACCTGGTACCACAGGAATCCTTCACTGAGAGTTCTGGAATTAACACCCACAATACCACCTTTACACTTGGCAGTTCAATTGTATTTCCAATGAGTTTTCTGAATAAAGAGTGTTGCCATAGAAAAGCTCTCAGCAAAATGGAAGACAAAAATTCTTACTGTACCATAGAACTCGAAAAACTGCGTGAAAAAAATGGTTTCTTTTTCTCCTAAGTTTAGAAAAACATTTCTAAATGCTTATCTCCTTACTTTCTTCTTCTTTCAGAGAAATGGATTAAATGCAGTGAAAGCTATGAGCTAAAGTAACAGAGTACAAACTGTGGCTTGGACTGCAAAGAAGAGTGATTAACAGCTACAGAAACATTTATTACCTAGGGTTGCTTTTGGTCGTTTAACAGTCTCAGAAGTTTTAGGCTCCAAAAGTGGTGGTTTAGGGGCTAGAAAAGAAAAATTCAAGTGTAATCAAACCAATCATAACCAAGTTGAGATGGATGAGTTAGTCAGGATGTCCATGTATTGCATAACTCCTGTCCTTTTTAGGAAGTTTTCCTTAGATATTTTTAGAGAATATATCTCTCTGCAAACCAACTTATGAAAATGATGTGCACAATTACCAGGTTTCACATGTTGTACTTCTGGGGTAGCAGATGGTTTCAGTTTAGAAGGAATAAGTGGTATTTCTTTTGGAGCTGAAAGAAAGAGCTCATTTTGCAATGAAAAATTGTTTAACAAGCATTTCCCACAACAAACAGCACATGTCACATGTTTATATTGAAGACAACTTAGTATGGAATGTCAAAGCCAGCTGATGAAATCAGATTTTGAAGTGTGGAATGGAGATGATACTGAAATGCTGTACATTGATCAGAAATAAGATTCTGTGAGCCCAAAAGAATGAAAATTTCCATTTTGAAAGCTTTACATATCAGACACAATCAGCATGTGCATTGGGAGTAAAAGAGACAGAACACTAATAAAATGATGATGGTGTTTTATCATGCAAGAGACAAGTTTTATTTCTCTGAGACAGTAAATCCACCCAGAAGCTTGCTCTCATATGCAGGTATGTCAAGAGCAGTCAATATAACAATGATGGAAGAACAAGACTCTCTAACCAGGAAGAAGAATGGTTATGCATGTGAAAAGATACGTGGAAAGAATGCATTCATATGGGATGGAGTGCTCAAAACAAACACAGAGTTTTTCACTGGGTGAAAACAACATTACCTAATGTTACCCTTGGCCATTGAAAAGGACGGGAAGTTTTAGGTGTGAAAGATTCCAGAATGGATTCACTTGTTGCTGCTGGAAGAAATGATGACAGTCATAGGAGAGCAAGGAGCTAATGGAAGAAACTCTTCCTTCATGAACAAAAATAATTTTTTTTTAACAAGAACAACAAATATTTCACTAATGTTTGGACATTTACCACTTTAGTATGCATTAGGGAGAAATTCAGAACTGCACAGAGCTTCAGTGACTATAAATCAGCACATCTGTGATCCACAAAAATTCTGGATATTTATTTCCTCCCGCTTCATTGCAACTGGTCTGGACCTCAACCACTGCCAAGTCAGATTTTAAGTAGAGCTCTTGAACATTTTGAGTTTTGGTCCAATACTTAAGGGAGGTGGTACAGTGTACAATGTGGATATTTAATGAAGAGGACATGTTGAACAATCAATTAGTCACACATTAAAACATATAAAATTTGGAATAGAAACCTGACAACAGATCCAGCTGTGGTTTCAGCCCAAAACCACTGAATGTCTGTAACTGTTAACCAATTTCACGCTGCTAAGGATGCACTAATGTTAATGTTTTTACTGATGCTACAACAATAAAATGCAACCCACAGTTCACATCACAATGTTTTCATCAGAACTGCTCTAAAAATACTGTTTTCTCAATTTTCTATGTGGCACATTTTTTAACATACTGAATCATATGACTGTGAGTTGCCATATGCATGTGAGAAAACACCAAGTTCAACCATTAACAGCAACACAAATTTGAAATCAGCTCTTAGGGGCTAATCCAAATGTCCACTGAAAATAACAGCAGTGTATTAATTTCACTTGAATTTCAGAGCATGGTTTGAGCTGCTGAATTAAGAACTAGGTAGAGATTATTGTACCTGGTCCAGCTTCTGCTATTTCAGGCTTACTAGGTGCCACAGGACTTGAAAGAAGAGGCTGAATATCACTGAAAACTATAAAAAAACCATGTCATGTTAGCTGTGATTATTAGTTCTAAACACAGCTTTTTTTGATTATAGAAAAACAACCAAAAAAAGTGATATGTTATGGCACACCTAATTTGCACTTCACCATAAGCACACCTTACCTCAGGAATGGAGCAGTATTGGATTAGAATGTAAGCTGAAGGTAGTGCTTAAAGTGAGGATTAAAACTGAATTGTCAGCCAGTCAAAGCTAACGTTGCTTTCCATCACATGGTCCACACAGCTTAAAGCGAACCAGAAAATACAAAGATAAAAACTTCTAATACCACAATTATAAAGTACTCAATCCTCCCCCAGTCCAAAAACTATAAAAACTAAAAAACACTGCAAGTTTATTTCCATGAAGAAGAGCACCTGCCTTAGTTCTCTCCAGCACTTTTTGTGTCAATACTTTTAGTGAATTTTAATGTTATATAATCTGTCATACACACATGAAAAACAAGGGTGAAGTTAAAAAAATTGTTAAACAACAAAAAAATAGTAAGAAAGGAGCTTCCTATGCTGTCAAGACAATATTTGGTATAAAAACATGTGTTCTAACTGAGCATATAACAATTAGGCTTGTAAGAAAGCAACAAGTAAGTTAAGAATTCTTATTAAGATTTAGTCAGTAGTAGTATTAAACATAGTTTAGTAGCATTAAACCAGGTTTAGTTCATGTAAGTATATCTCAAAATAGCCCTAGAAGCTTTTTGAGAAATGAATGTGAGATCAGAAACTACCAGGTGAGTTTCTCAGCAGAAAGTGCAAGTTTTCATGTAAAAAAGGATGCTTTCAATGATCATGACTCTCACAGGAGACAACATGGAGGATGATGAAAATGCCTAGGATTAATAACATTTCAGAAATGGCTGTCCAAACACCAAAAGGGGTTTAACTGAAAAGCTAATGCATTACTATTACCCGCAGTAGTTGTTAGCACATGAGGTGTTCTGGAAAATGGAGGCATAGGTTTTTCCAGGTCAGCTGAACTTGTAACTGTGGAAAAATGTAAATATCCCTGAGACAGGTGCACATTGATGCAGACATAGCAAGGGGGGCAAAAATCAGAAAAAGAAAGATTGCTTTACAGTGCTTTGCAAGATGCCAACACCATTATAAGAGAGTTTCATATGTTTCCAACTTAAAAAGAAAGTAACAAAACTTCAAAGTTTTGAAGATGTCACGTGTACCTAATAGACACAACCTGACAGGAACTGCAGTCCCCCTAAAAGCAGATTTATCAACAGGAGTCAATTGATCTGTACCCATGTAACATGAAAAAACCCCTGTGCTTTTGACTTCATCTGCACCCATAGAAAGAGACCTATATACTTTAAATACATGCAAATATGAATTTGTAAAACCAGGTATTACTATTATCAAAGCTTAACATGTTTCAATATAGCAAAAGCCAGTATTTTGACTAATGGATTTTAACATACTACACATCATGCAATTTGTCATTTGTGGAATTTTACCTAATTGACATAATACAAATTTTAAAAACTTCTGTGATAGATAGAAGAGACAGACTGAGGCATAAAATCTAACACACAACTGTTGAAATATTGACTGCCAGGTTTAGGATAATTTTCCTTCTTATCTATTGCACATTCCTACCTCTGTAATGAATACAAATATGTTCTTGAATACCTATGACCCCAGCAATAAAAGTTTCAAGGTGCAATAGAAACATAATCTGAAAAAAATCTTATGAATAGAGAAAACTGCAAATTAATGTGTACAATATGGCTAACAGAAAATCCCCCGTGGTGAAATGCCCCAGTCAAGAACATATCTTTATAACTGATAATGAACCCATCGAGCTATTGGTCCTTTTGGTCCTAATCTATTGAACAGCTTAAAACCATACAAAAAAATATAAATTCCTGTGGTTTCATTTGTATCCGATCCTATTCCACAAAATATCACCATGTAATTATAGAGCCTATCAGACACTGCAAGCAAAATTCTGCTTCAGACACCAAGCAATCAGGGCAAACAGCCTGTAACTGTAACATCCTTCATGCAAAACCAAACACTAAGCAATGGAAGTACCATAAATACAATTTACCAGTCTCTGTTTTTGATATTTCTGCAGATGCAGAAGTTTGGGACAGGAAACTAATATGATTAGAGTCCAGTGAAGCTGGAAAAAGAAAACCAAAACAAAACATTTTTTGGCAAAATCTGAACATATACACTGAACAGGTTTCAAGACATGACTAAGAAACTAGGGATTTGGGAAAGGAAAACATCTCAAATGAACATGCCATGGATTTCCTAATGTAAATGTGTGAAAATGCACTGATGATGAAAATGATGAAGAAGCTGCTAAAAGAAATATGAAGAAGAGATCACATTACAAGAGAAGTGAAATTGCCATAGCCAAAGCCGGAATTAAATGTGGTTTTGCTCATGTGGCCCCTTTTATCTCCACACTAAGCTTTACCAAAATCTAGGCCCAAGAGAAGGAGTAGGTTGGCTAAAAACACAACAATATCTCTTGGGACAATTCCTTTCCCACATCACTACCAGAGCTGCAAGAAATATTACTGCCACAGACAGCTGGTGTCTCCAACTGTGAAGAAACATACCAAGATTCACCAAAAGCTGAAATGAGGTTTTGATCTTAGTACCCTAACATGGCCTCAAAAGCAGCAGCAGGGCAGAGCATTCCCAGTTCCAGGTGATGGCAATGGAAAGGTGGGTTCTGTTGTGCCAGCCCAGCTGGGTTTGCCTCTTAGGAATGCTGTCGTGTTTGAATACATCAGAGAAAGCAAGACCCACCACCCAAACACAAAGAAGCAGGGGAGTGGAGCTGAGGGCCAGATGCAGCAATGTGGTCTCTCTGCAAAATGTCTCATGCTTCCTGCAGAAAATGCTCACGGGCCATGGAAAAAGCGTGGGATCAAACAAGAGAATTGCAGAACCGCTGTGGCCAGTGCTTTGGCAAGCCAAGCTGCACCAAAGAGACTCCATCCTGTCCATGGCAGATGACAAAGGATGCCAGGTGGTTTGGGGTGGGAGATGTGATGGGCAGTGAAAGAGATGGCAGACAATGGGGAAAGGAGGCTGTTGCTAGTTACCCATGACAGTTTGTTGAGTTGCCGGGGAGGGAGGAGTGGTGGACTTCGGCCTCGGTCTTCGAGCAGCTAAGATCAAACACAGAAACTGCCTTCAGCTCCTCTCACAGGCTGCTGTCACACAGGTCACATCAAGACAGAGCTACAAAGAAGGGGACGTGGCCTTGCTTGGGCCAGGCTACCATGTCACAGCTTCACTGCCCACGGTGGTGGCACAATGCTGCCTTTCAACTGGCACTGGCAGCCAAGGCACGAGAGCAAACCTAGAAACAGTTCCCCAGAACATCTGCAGGTAGAATGATTTTTAGTAAGGAGCCATAAAGGTCCAGCCACATCACTGAGCCACTCTTTGGGCCAGCAGCACATCTGAACAGGCTCATCACTGCAGAGAAGAGCATGGCCAAAGGAAGCAGTGAAGGAGGGAATTGCTGGCTATTTACCCTTCCTTGTGGTTTCCCGTGGAGCAGACGGGGTCCATTCCAGGTCTGGTCTCTCGGTTGCTATGGTCAGACACAGAAATGATCTTGAGATGTGCACTCAGCCTTGCCCCAGCAGTACAAGCAGCACCAGCAGTACAACACCCTAAATGTCTGTATTTAGGGCCACACCTGCCCTTTCCTGACAGCACCCCATGACTCAAACCCACAATCAAGTGTCTTGCTGTGGTTGCAACCAGCACAATACTCCCTGAGCCTCAGTAGCTAAATGGCTCCACATCAGCAGAAAAATGCCAAAACATCCAATTCATCAAAGTACTCCTTACACTTCCTTGGAAGATGCAAAAGCAGCAGGAAATGCGGACAGAGCATGAGCCAAGACTCATCTTTGAATTCAAAATTCAGGATGACAAGTGCGGGGTATGTCTCCAATGCAAGCAGCTGCAAATGCTAATTACTAATTTTTCAAGCATGAGAAATAAACTGCACATTGTGCTATCAGTATGCGGTCATAACTCCAACCTTTCTTAAAAGTTCAGTAATTTATGGAAGTATTTTCTTACTGTTTTCTCTATTAATGTTTTTTACATGTAACAGCATATATAAGCTCTGATCATTCACATGAAAGGCGTTGCAATTCCCTGTGAAATATAATTCCCCGTGAAATATAATTCCCCTTCTTCTTTACAATTAGTCTATAAATCATTGATTAACATGCCTATTCATCAAGCTTGAACTTTAGTCCTCATTCAAAAAGATTTAAAAATGTTCTGTATGCTAACAAATCAATATTAGTAAGAAGACACAAAATTATGTTTCTGCTACATTGGAATATTTCATTCTAAAAAGAATTTTCAAAATAACAACTGTGTATAGAGTCACACAGGAATTCTGTGACAAATTCTTTTTGTCACTGGTCCATTCAAAACTGACTTTTCAAGTGATGGAAAAAAACATGTTCAAACATCATAACCATGTCATTAGTATGGCAAATGTTCTAAAGTGCATTAACAAACCACAGATATTGCTTAAAGCAAGTGAAAATTATGTCAAACAACATCAAGAAAAAAAGAAAAAAACTAAAATATATTTTTACCCTCCACTGTTCCTTGGCTTGCAAGGTAAGAAGAAGAAGATTTCAGCTTTGGTCTCTTAGTAACTAAGATTAAACCAGAAAACTTTTAGAAATAGTGACTAATTTATTTTTTTAAAGATGAGTCAGTATAGGACTGTGTGATTAAAGTCCATATTACACTCAGCTTTTTTACAGAACTATTTGCATTCATTATAAAGTTATTCCACTTCCAAATCTGGAGGGCTTAGTTGAGTTAGTGTAGTATACAGACAGTTAATTTTTTACTGAACTAAGTCTATAGAGATGAAAATGAGGAAGAGTAATTGAGAAGCCTAATAATTGAGTATCTCATCATTTACATAAATGACTGATGACCTTGCTGGAATGTTTGGCATTGTCACTATCAGCAAAAGAACTGAAATGTTTGGACTAAATTTTAAAGTGCAGCTTTTCTTATTTAAGTATTGTGAAATGATAGAAATTAGGATGGAATCACTGTTTACCCATTACTGTCCTCGTGGTTTTCAGGAAAGGAAAAGATGTGGGCTCCAGAACTGGTCTTGGGAGAGCTAAGGTTAGAGATGGAAACTATCTTGAGATATTATGGCAGTCTCTCAATGCATATGAAAGCATTACTTCAATCACACCCAAATAAGTCAATATTTAAATTGTGGTTTCTCACGTATGCTCTTTCTACCAAATAAATCCTACATCAGTTCATAGTCACTTGATATTACCCCAAACCCCCAGCACTAGCTAAACACTGCTCCTATTGCACAATAGTGGCAGTCATGATGCTCCAGAGCTGCTTTTAACTGCAGTAAATGATACATTCCAAAATCCTTTTTCAGGCATCAAATATTTTCCAACTATAAATTGCAAACTAGTCAATGAATATATAGCCAGTACTTTTGTTTGCTCACCTTATATTTAATCTGAAAAACTATTAACTAGCTCTGATTATTATATACTTCACCACACTTAAAAATGAATATGGCCTAAACTAATATATGCCTGTAAAAAAAAAAAAAAGAGAAACAATAGGTTCTCCAATGAAAAATGCATAAAGGTGAACTTAATAAGGATTTCCATCATGAGTTGGGCACCCTTGTAGAAGAAAACCAACTTGTGCCTTCTTAACCAAAATCCATAGGAATCTCTAGTAGAACAGCTTGATTAATTTACAAGTTTTCGTTCTGAACAGGTATGAAGTACTATGAAGTACTTTGAAAAGACAGAATTTCATATAGACCCTGGAAGACAAGGATAAGTTACAAGAAGAGTCACATTTACCACACAGTAATTAGTGAACAGATATGGAAATGCAAAGATCCCAATAAAAATCCCTTCTCTTGTCTAAGAATGTATTATTGAAAAGCATAGAACAAATTCATAAAAGCACAGAACAAATTCCTAACACAAACAGATGATAGTCAAACAGTTTATCTCAGAAAATGGAATCAAAGTTTGGACACTGTCACAACACTTGCAAGAACACAGTACAGAAAAAGTAGAAGAGCACAAATCTGATGGACCAAAAAGAGAATATTTTGAACAAGGAGCTCTTGTTCTGAAAATTCTGTTAGACTCCTCCAGTCTTAGCAAATAAATTCTTTCAAAAATGCATCAAGTTTGTAGGGTAAATTGACCAGGGGGTGGATTGAAAGAGTTTTAGGAATGTATCCCTTTTCACCTGACTACACACTTCTCTGTGGCACAGGGTTACTTATTGTCCTCTCCATCTTAATTTTGTTGCTGAAAAATGGAAATAATATGAGTTTCACAAGTACATTTTCTGAATATTTTCTCCTTGTCTACCACTGGTTTAAAGAAGTGTTTAGCATAACTGTTATGATGGCAAATATAAAAAGAAGTACCTACTTGTTAATGTACAGGGGGATACTATAGAACATTTACAAATATCTATACAGATCTGCAGTAGAAGACAAGGTTCAGAGTATACCAGGAGAAAAAAAAGGAGAGTTCATGTGTTCAGCATTAAATTTGTCCTATAGAGGAAGAAAATATGAAAGAAATTGACTGGATCATTTAGGACACATGCGGAAAGCTGACAAACCTTTATCTTTCCAAATAAAGGGGTTTTTTCCCCCTAGATATAGCTAGACTATCAAGTCTCAAGCTGTTTAAAAAAGCCCCTAACCCTGAACTTGGGTTTGCAGTGTTAACTATGCTACCTTTAATCTCCCTAAAAGGATTTTTGTCATAGCTGGATAGTCCTCCTTAATGAGAAATATGCTTGAATATTCTATGCAACTTCAGGATTTACAACTTGAACAACCATTAAGTTGTTTTAAAACCACAACTGAACATAAACAATATTTATAGAAGACAAATCCACAGAGAATTTCCTGCACATGTCACTCTCTGCCCCTAGCACTAAGACCAGGACAATGTCTTAAATGTCAATAGCTATGGAAATACACTTTGGTAATGAGAAAGTAATTAGAAAATAAAAAAGAGTATGACTTGAAGCAATACTACAGCTATCTGTATCATGATACACTGCATATAGTAGAGAAATTAAAGTTTGGTTACAAGCCCCACAGTATCACATGGTAAAGTTCTATGACATTAAATAATACATAACTGGTCAGTGACAATCATGGCTAGTACCACCAATTAGTACTGTAAAGGGGAACTCAGAATTTGGAAAGAAGTTCATAATCCAGTATTTTAAACATCATAGATATTGCTTTAAACAAAAATAGCACTCGATGCAGAATTTTTATCTTGCAGTTGTTCTTATCCCCAAAGTAAAGGAAACCAACATTTCACCAAAAGCATCCTGGGAACCCTTCAAGAACACTCAGTTTGCAAGAAATGTCAAAAGCAGACTGAGCTGATGGTATTTCCGTGACTCCAGATGCTTTAGATGGGAATTGAGAAAACTGTCTGTGTTTCATTAAGAGCTGCACAGAAAATCTGGATTCAAAGTGCTGAGGAATCTGACTGTTGCTGGGATAGCAAACACACAAGCTGTGTTGTTCAGGATGATGTCACTGCAAGCACAAGCAAGATACTGGACACTTCAAAGTCCTTTCTGTATTATGTGAATAAGGAGAAAGACGTGTCCCAATATGGTGACAAGCAGATCCAGTATCTGACACTAGAGTGAACTCCTAAGAATCTTCTTCAACCCTTTCTGGAGTTTAAATTACACCAACACAAGGAAGAAATTCATACCAGTGGGTGAAAAAGATCAGTCTTTTTGCACCTTGAACCAAAAATGCTTTCTAGCTGCTGATCAAGAAGTGAAGATAAAAACCTGTCCTTTAATAGGCTGGCCATTTGGACTTAGAAGAAAATGTGTTCACAGCAGAAAAAAGGCAGCAAGTGGCAGTGTGTTGAAAATTAAACCTAACTCCTTTTTGCTGCGAGAGGGTTTTGGTAACAACTTGAAATCGACTTTGGAGGAAATTGTCATTATTGAATGGAAATTAAATATTTCTTCTTGCAGGGACACAAAACAGAATCTTGAGCACTGATAAAATTGCATTTGTTCAGTGTCCCATTTTGTAAGGTATTGGTAAATTAGATTATTTTATGAATTGAGAAAGTAGAAGAAGCCTAAAGGATAAATGCTGATAAGGAAGAACAGGAAAACTATATAGATTATTACATACTATTAGGTGTAATTCATTTAAATGTCAATAAAATACCATTAATCCACCAGTTCAATTTCACTGGGACCTGGTATAACAGGTTTCAAGGGTGTTTGGAAGCATCAGATCTACCATGGAAGTGTCTGGTCAAGAGCAATTTGTTGCAAATGTTTTCTTTAATGACAGTGTTGTGCCTTTTATTTGCAAAGCTGTACTCAAGCAATATAGCAATACACTTGACATTGCACATTTTTGTTTCTATTAGCATTGTGCCTATGCAGTCTCCCTTTCTTGCAGCCAAATGTCTAACTTAATCACTGCTTTAAATATATTCAAATTAAAGCATTTTAGAGTCTAATCTCCACTATTTTGAACTCTCTATGTTCATTGCTATTGTTTCTGCTATTTCTAAGGGCTTACTCAACAGTTCCAACTTAGAATGGTTTCATTCAGGGATTTATACAAAACTTATATTACCTTTCACTATACTCCTCTGCAGTATTGCAACTTAGAAAGAAAACTCTACTTTATGTAATAAGACATGCCCATTAACGCCAAACACAGCAATACAGACTTGTAAATATACCAGGAATATAAGCCAAAACAAAAAAAAAAAAGAAAATTTACTGTTTCATGCAAAATTCCCTAAATTAGTCTGGTATTTGAGAGAGCAACCTAATTACAACAGTTATGAAGGTATTTTGAGTAATATTAAACTTAACTAACAATATACAATTTTTTTGATTAAAATTTCTGGGGAAATTTCTATTTAAAATCACATTTTTCAAGTATTACCAGGTATAGCTGATGGTATTTCTTGGATGCCTGACGTTTCAGGTCTTGAAGAAATGTGCTGATTTTCATCAAAAGCTGAAAGAAAATCTGGAGTTAAAATTAGAACTGGCTTCAGATCCACAGTATTTGGCTATTAGCTATTGGCCAGCTCAAGACAACATTGATGTGAGATCAAGCAAGGTGACAGCAGCTGTAAAGATCAAATGAGAAATGAGGTGTTACATGAACACTGAAGCTGGTGTGAAATGAAGGAGAATCAATTCCAGTAGCTCATGTGAGGCAATCTTCTTCTCACTGGCCTCTTTTTTAAAGCATTTATTCTTTGAAAGAAAACTGCAGTTGCCAGAAGAAACCTAGAGGCAAAATAAGCTAGCAGAGGTCTATTTGTGGATTGCTGTTCAGTCACTGTGGGGAATTATTTTCCAGCTTAGACTGCACAGAAATGGCTGAGTTGAGCAGGGGTGTGGGTGGAGTGTGGGGAGAAAGCCCAGCATCAAGCAGTCTTTGGAGCAACGTGTCTGAATGAAGCTTGGCACTCTCCACAGCTGCTGGAAGGGATGGCAAGCAATGGAAAAGCTAATGGAATTATAAGCTATTTACCCATGACACTCCCTCTGGTTTCCATGGAGGGATGAGAAGTGATCTTCAGGCCTGATCCCTGGGTAGCTAAGATCAAATATGAAAATAATCTTGAAACAGTTAGTGAAATCAGCCTTTAGATAAGGTGATCTTCAGCCCTTAGCAGGTCCAAGGGACATATATTTATTTTATGATCTTGTGTGCACACTTCTAATTGATATTTGTGGTAGCCTACTACATTTTTGTCTCATGGGGTAATTTTTTTTTTGGATACATAACATCTAATTTTAGGCATTAGCTACGAGGCCAAGTGTCTGCATCTGATTTTAAAATTCCATCCAATAGCAACAGCTGACAGTAGACCCCTTCTCCTCTACATTTTAGTTTGGATGTGCCAGAAAAATCTTTTAACTAAGGAGTTGCAAATGCCCAGTATGATTTTGATACAGCATGCACACAATTTTCACACAGGTGGTATCAAAACATTTTCCCAAAAATTCATATTTTGGCCAAGAATCAGATTTTCCCTGCAACTGCCACAAAGCTACTTTGATAGAAGCAGACTTTTTGAGACAGGCCATCCTTCACCAGATAAAGGCTTAAAAATATTTTTAGGTTTTTCTGACAATATATTAATAAAAACACAAATTTAAAAAAACCTAAAACCCAAAACCCAACAACAACTATCAAACAAAACAAAACAAAACGACAAACAAACAAAACACAAAAAACCCCAACAAACCCAGATTCTATCAGCCCCTTAGACAACCATTTCCATTAGAGAAATCATGCAGCCTAGAGCATGAAAGAAACATTTCTATGAGTGGTATTATATGAAAAAATGAAGAGTGGGTACTCTTAATGTTAAGAACACTCATGATTTAATAACGTGTAGGGCCAAGTAATAAGTAATCCAAGTAGCCCAGTTCTTTAAATCAAGAGAGAAGGCTGTGGTAACTTGGTGAGAACAGTACTGAAGGCAACAGCAAAGTCATGCCTGATAAACTGCTAAAAGTTTTCTGTCTACTGAAGATAGAAATGACCTTGGATAGATAGAGTTCTCAGCTTCAAAAGAAAACAAAGGTCTTGTGTTCATGCAGAGGCAAGATAACTGTCAGCACCACCCACTGAGTATTAGTACAGCTGCATCATGTTTTGTTCAGTGTGAATCCTGCAATAGATAAAAGCTTTTCTAAATTTATCTGTGAAGGGAAGCTAAAAGAACACTGACCAAACTGTAGCCAATTAAGACCAGAGAAAACACAAATAATGTATGCATGTTGTAATTACCTAATCTTCAGATGATGAACTACGTCAATGCTCATTTACCCAGTTCCATTTGATTGGTCCCCAGAAAGAGAGTGATGTTTGATACACTGATGTAATAAAATGCCACTTTTTAAATCATGCTAGCATGAACAGAACCAAGGATGAGAACCTCACAGCAACCTTCTACTATTTTTTATTATCAGAGTATCAGAGACTACTTCAGTAGTATCAGAGACTACTTCAAAAGTATCAGAGACTACTTCAAAAAGTTGTGAACAGGAAACCAAAGACCAACCAATGGATCTCTTTAAATGTGTCTACTAGGTAAAGAAAAACTTTCCCACTTCAAAGGATAACTGTTATGCTGATATCCCAAAATTCATCAAAGCCTGAGAGTTTCCTCTTAAGTGCTAAATTCTGCCCCACTGACCACATCAGAACCGTTCAGTAATACCATACTAGCCTGAAAGTGCCAGGTGGCATCAGGATCACTTACTTGAGGCTAGAACTACTAATTATACACTGGTGATTACTACAAATAACATGAAGCCATAATAAACAAATGAAAGATTACTGGAGATAACATTAAAAATAGAGGATATATAAGAGACATCAAAATTGTACCACTCAAATATCAAGAAAAATCAAGGATAGGGTACAAAATAAATGCCATTTACCAGTCTCTCGCTCTGACATTTTTCCAGATGTAGAAGTTTGGGGAGTGGAAGTAACATGAAGGAAGTCATGTGAGGCTGGAAAAAATGGTGGCTTATTATTTAAAAAATACATGATCATACCATCATCATACCATGGCATCATCTGCAACCATGGACTCAATGGTTTAGAGTACAAACAATAAAAAACAGAAAAAAGATATATTTTGCAAAATTAGCAGAATTTTAAAAATGAATATGTTAATATGCAAAGATGTGTAAACCCACAAAAAATACAATGCAAAAACTTAAACAGAATGACACAAAGAATATGGAAAAAATTCCCGTGTGGTTAGAAGGAATGCAAGACTGAATAAGTACAAGAACACTGGCCAAGAGGAGTCAAGGAGAAAGTGAATTTATGAGATGAAGATACTGGAAAAAATCCAATTTAAAACTTTGGCAAAAATAAGAGAATATAAAAAGTGATTCAGACAACATCACCAGGCAGGGAAACAGAAATTAATATCCTTAGCCCAGCCAAATTTATATGCCTTGTTATAATTACAAGTATCTGATTTCTCCACTGTAAAAACAAGAAACCCCAGAAAATTACCTCAAGTAATGCAAAGTAGGGAATGTAAATTCCCTGGAAAAGATCCTGAAGTGTGTGAAATATCTCAGTTGATATGAAAGCAAGACTACTCCAGACAAAAGTGCCAAGTCACTTTTTACTGTTCATTACATTTTTAACTCGCACTCAACTTCAGGTTTTAGGCACACCAGCCTGCTCATGTAATACTTTATTTCCCCATGGGCCAAAAATACTGCAAGGACACAGGACTGGTCTTGCACACCTGCAGTGTGAAAGAAGCTGTTGCCACAAGCATCTCCCTCACTGCTGATAAGTGCCACAGGCAATGCCTGAACTAAATAGGGCTTGCATGTATGGCCCCATTTATATCTGCACTGAAGGTTTATCCCAATGGAGGCCCAAGAGAAGTAACAGGTTGGCTAAAAGCACAACAATATCTCTTGGGCACTGCTGCCTTGCACAGTTGTTAGATCTGCAAGAAAAAATGTTAGTACCAGAGGTTGCCAGTGTCTTAAACCATGAAGAAACATACCAAGATTCACCAAAAGTTGAAATGAGGTATCAATTAAAAAAAAACAAAAAACACAACCTCAAAAGCAGCAGCAGGGCAGAGCATTCCCAGTTCCAGGTGATGGCAATGGAAGGGCATAGGCAGAAGAAAACCAGCGGCCTTGAATGTCAGTGGTGAGGAAACCAAGAGGTGCAGCCCTGCCCAAGGAATGCCTGGAGAGCGGCTGAGCTGCTGTGGTGTGTTCTTGTGCATTGTGTTTGAATGCATCAGAGAAAGCAAGACCCACCACCCAAACACAAAGAAGCAGGGGAATGGAGCTGAGGGCCAGGTGCAGCAATGTGGTCTCTCTGCAGAATGTCTCATGCTTCCTGCAGAAAATGCTCACAGGCCATGGAAAAAGCGTGGGATCAAACAAGAGAATTGCAGAACCGCTGTGGCCAGTGCTTTGGCAAGCCAAGCTGCACCAAAGAGACTCCATCCTGTCCATGGCAGATGACAAAGGATGCCAGGTGGTTTGGGGTGGGAGATGTGATGGGCAGTGAAAGAGATGGCAGACAATGGGAAAAGGAGGCTGTTGCTAGTTACCCATGACAGTTTGTTGAGTTGCCGGGGAGGAAGGAGTGGTGGACTTCGGCCTCGGTCTTCGAGCAGCTAAGATCAAACACAGAAACTGCCTTCAGCTCCTCTCACAGGCTGCTGTCACACAGGTCACATCAAGACAGAGCTACAAAGAAGGGGACGTGGCCCTGCTTGGGCCAGGCTACCATGTCACGGCTTCACTGCCCACGGTGGTGGCACAAAGCTGCCTTTCAACTGGCACTGGCAGCCAAGGCATGAGAGCAAACCTAGAAACAGTTCCCCAGAACATCTGCAGGTAAAATGATTTTTAGTATGGAGCCATAAAGGTCCAGCCACGTCACTGACCCACTCTTTGGGCCAGCAGCACATCTGAACAGGCTCATCACTGCAGAGAAGAGCATGGCCAAAGGAAGCAGTGAAGGAGGGAATTGCTGGCTATTTACCCTTCCTTGTGGTTTCCCGTGGAGCAGACGGGGTCCATTCCAGGTCTGGTCTCTCGGTTGCTATGGTCAGACACAGAAATGATCTTGAGATGTGCACTCAGCCTTGCCCCAGCAGTACAAGCAGCACCAGCAGTACAACACCCTAAATGTCTGTCTTTAGGGCCACACCTGCCCTTTCCTGACAGCACCCTGTGACTCAAACCCGCAATCAAGTGTCTTGCTGTGGTTGCAACCAACACAATACTCCCTGAGCCTCAGTAGCTAAATGGCTCCACATCAGCAGAAAAATGCCAAAATATCCAATTCACCAAATCACTCCTCACCAAACATTTCCTTGACAGATTCTAACAGTTCTTGCAGAGGTAACATGGCAAGAATCACACCTATGTATTTAGAATTCAAGATCTGATTTCACTTTTCCCTACAATCAATGAAATCATTCTATGGGTCAGAAATTACTGTCCCTGACTCTAATAAAACACAGTGCAGAGAATTTATCTCTCTGTATTTAAATGCTTGCAAGCAGGTGAAAAAGAAATATTTTCCACAGAATTCTAGCACATCTTACAAGTTACACTTGTACAACTCAACATCTCTTTGTGCACTGAAGAACAAGTCTATTTAATCATGTCATTCCCTCATACCCTGTTATCCTAATTTTGCACAGGGAGAATGCACAACCTAATACATAAACTAGTCTCGAATCTGGACTATGTGTACTCACTACTACTATGCATATTTACCCATTGCTTTGGGCTTGGTTTCAGGTTTAAGGCAGGCAAGACTTGTGACAGTTTACAAACATGCCCTTGGATGCAGCTGGTGGCAATAAGAAAATAATGCTGAGTGATTCCTCTGGGATATGTTGATATTCCCAGTCTTTGGAAATGGAAATCCTTCTGTTCAGTTTTCTTGGACTTGATCCTTTCCTAGCAACACTCAATGACTCACTAACCAAAATGTTTGCACCTGCTTAAGAATTGTAGCTAAATTTTTTTTCTGCCAGTGGAGGAGATTTTCCAATGTGCAAAAGGAGCAAATTTGACATGTTAACATTTATTTAATCATTCCTAACAATGATGGGGCCTCTACACACATATAAATATATCTATCTATACAAACAATCTTTCACAAGAAAATCCGGACAAGCTAATTGTTTACCAATATCATTGCAATATATCATTCCAAATGTCTCAAATGTTGCAGCAGGTGCAACTAGTTTCTGCCTCTCCAGCTTTAAACAGAGCAAGTCAGAATAAACCCTTCATTTAGCAAAGCATTGCTGTGTCTTTTGAGAGGCTGCCTAGATGTGAGGAGAACTACAAAGACAGATATCGTTACCAGCTGAGATTGGTGGCATTTCTGGCATGCCAGATGTTGTGACTCTTGAAGAAAGAGGCTTCCTTTCACCTAAATCTGGAAAGATAATCCTGTGTTAAAAGGTTTAATCGCCTCAGAGCTACCTGAATAACTCAGGACTTGGCCAACAGGTGTGGTTTTGTTAAAATGGAAGCAGAGGGAAGATTGCTTGCAAGTCAGCTGGGCATTACTCTGTCTCATGGACTGTTGGGCTGGTGTGGAAGTCAGTGTGGGAACCATTTTATTCATACTAATGAGAATTCTTATTACCTAATAATCTTAGTAATAAAACACCTTTGGATCCAGAAAGTAGTTAGGGGGCTTGCCTTTTAATGGAAACATTACACAGAAATATGTGTAAGCTTTTTATTCCCTCTCAAAACTAAGTTCTCTCAGCACAGGAAAAAACTCGCAAAACTAAGAAAGGCAGGTCCACAGCTGGGAATCTTAACAATGAGAAAACCAAACACAACCAACTAAAGGGAACTCTCATCTTTGCCTCTGATCCTTCATCTACAAAGATGAATGATAAGTACAGAGGAGAATCTAGTTAACAACACCAGTAAGTGTATGAATTATTATGATGGTGACAACTAAAGCAATGGAAAACTTCCAAAAATAGCAGCAAGGATAAAAAAAAAGAAAACAAAATTTTGAAACTATATTGAGGTCAACTTTTGAATTTTACTCCATGCCATTCTAACAGTTGAAGCTCTGTAGTAATTACAGGCATGGATATTTCCAAATCAGTAGTATCTCTAGCTGCTGTTAAAAAAATACCCAAATAAAACAACTAAACCTGAGAAAGAATTTCATGTAAATAAATTAAGAAGGCACATCTGGTGGAGAGAAACTTTACACTACTCTGCAAAGCATTTACTATTTTTTGTCTATTTATTTAAAAATTAACCTCCTTTTCCATTTCAAATATTATCACTAATTACTAAGCTGAAGATGTCAACTTGGGCTTCCTCACCTACCTAAGGCTACAGGAAAAATAATCTATTCCCAAAGCTATAACTCAAAGTATAGCTTAGTTGGAAAGGTCTGGCCTTAGTTGTGTTGACTTATTTTAAGATAATACATAGGAAAAAAATCACAGTAAACTGTATGTGAAAAATTGACAGGATAAAAGAAATAAAAATATCTTATCACTAAAAAGCATAGTATTTTACTTGACTGGAACAGCCTTAGGCCTTGCAAAATTTAAATCTATCCCTGACACACTTCTTTGATCAATACTGCATTATTCTACAAGCTACTTGCAGTCTTGCTGTAAACTTGTGCTGTGCCTGATCACAGGAATGAGGATGGTGGTACAGGAGTTGAAAAAATAAGATGTAGGGCAACACCCGTGGCAAGCGATATGCAATGGCTGTCTGAAATCATCAACATGGAAGCAGCAAAGAACTTTTCATCACCAACCAATCAAAAGGGTATGAAAGGCTTCTGAAAGAATATTATTAAAATTTACCAGTGCCTGATATTTCTGAAGATGTAAAAGTCTGGGGAGTAGAAATAACATGAAGAAAGTCATGTGAAGCTGGAAAATAAAAGCAAAAATAATGCTGTATTGTTTTGAAGTGATAAGAAACCTTCTGCAACATCATATTCCTTCATAAGATGAAAAAACTTCTGGGTAATACTTAACATAATGTGTTCCACAGAAAGGCAGAGTCTGAAATGTACAATAACTGATTAAGTGTGACTTAAAAATGATTTTCAAAAACATGCATTAATACAGAATGCATTTTATAACCAAATTTTCATCAGGCTCACATAAAAAGGTGAAATACAGAGTTAAAAAGTGAAAATACAAGGCTATTCAAAATAGGAGAACATATTATTAATAAAAAGCAGCAAACTGTGACTGCATGGAATTTTTTTTTTAGAATCAGGAAGGACAATATCTTGGTGCTAAAACTGGAGAAGGAAAAAAGATGACAAAACAGGAGCCTGACAAAATGAAACATAGAAACTGCCTTTTGTCAGACATGTGAACAGCTGACTATTGTAATCAATCTCCCCCTCAATAATGGATTTCCTTCAATGCTAATTTCTTCCAAAAACATATGCATCAGGCATTATACTATTGGCATGCTAATGAAATGAAATCTTTCCAACTGGCTCTCATCTTATTATTTGTTTTTCCTTATTTTGGAAAACTGTCAGTTGCCCCAGGCAAATAACATCTATAAAATAATAGAAGCACATAATAGAAATTTTGTAAGGACCAACTAGAAAGCATCTGAATCTTCAGTGATATGTTTTTATAGTGCCAGTTTAGAAATCTGGGCAGAACTATAACTACGTTTATACAGAAAGGCTAAAAGAAGAGTGATAATTTCAAAATATGTTGGAATTTCTTTGGTTTCCATTAATCTCTTACAACTCAGAATCCTTCAACAAATCAGGATATTCTATTTATGAAACTCGGGTGTGGACAGTATTTAAATCTGATATTTACAGTAAGTCCAATTTACTTTTAAAACTAAGAATTACATGCTGTTGCCAAACATGGAAAACCCCCTGAAGTACAAGTTTAGTATTTCACATAGAATGTCATAAAGAGACCTAATACTTGATACAGCGCTTTCATATCCACAGTTATTCTTCATTTATGTTAAACTGAACAAACTATTTCATGAGGGGCACTGTCTCCTCCAAAAATTCCCAACTGTCAGGAGGATTAACCTCATGAGAACCATTACCAGGTCGGGTTGGTTGCACTTCCATGGTACTGGATGGTTTGGATCCCGAAGAAACAGTCTGTTTTTCCTCAAGAGCTGAAAAAAGAATCTAAGCTTAAAATGCTGAGAGAGCTGTGACTTGATGGATTAGCATCAAACACTGAGCAAAGGCTGTGCATTTCCAGAAGATGCCAACGCTAAGCTGAGCAAGACGGCAGATGGCCTCAAGTGAGATGTGACACAACGGCTGCGACAAGGGGAGGGGATGGCTGGAAAATACAGGTTTCTAGCCTTGGAATGCAAGTGCTACATGCTTGAAAGAACTCTTACCAGCAAGGAATTCTCTCTTATTAAATTTTCTGGGTAAGAGCTGCAGCTATACACACAGAAATGAGATGACGATGAGATATGACAACACTGTGTTTGGGCAGTTTTTAAGCTGACAACAGATACATTCTTCAGGTGGTTGGTTACACAGACACACGAATGGTGAATAAGCAGCTCTCTGTGAATGTTGGTAGCCAAGATTAAAATTTGCAGATCTATATGACACCAAGATGAAAAAAATTCGTGGAACTAATCTGTTAATTACCCATTTCCATCTCTTTTTTTTCTGTAGAAGGTAGAGATATGGATGCCAAGTCTGGACTCTGAGTAGCTAAGAGCAAACATGAAACAAAATTTTGTCATTCCAAGACAGACTCTTCTGGCAAGTGATACAAAATCTATCTAATTTCAACTGTAACTAACAAGGATTTTTTTGTTTGAATGTCTCTTTGCTCCATTAATTTCTACCCCATTCATATTTAGCATACCCTACCTAATCAAGCTGAACCCTTATTTCTTAAGAGGATTTTACTTACAGCAAGGCAGCTACAACACAACATTTGATATTCACACCACTTGCAGGTCACTAGTCACTACAGCAACATGTATAACTATTCTTAAAGAAATTGTAATGGTAAAAGATAAGAGTAGTACAATGAAATCAGTGAAATAATAGTTGAAGTTAGTAACAACATCTACTAGCTGTTATCTGTGATGAGGATTATTACGAAGACCATCTGGTTTCTTCACTTAGAAGTATGGATAACCTGAAGTGTGCTTTAATGAAAATGGAGCCAAGATGGAATTGGGCACTCTTACCCAAAAGCCATCTTGAACAAGCTTCCACCATGTGCAGGTTTTGCACTGCTGTGCTCCTACTCATCCTACTTCACAGTATGAACTGGTCAGTAAGTATTTTTCTTTCTGTTAAATCCCCCATTCAAATAATTAGGTGTAGTGTTCATTTCCAGTAGAGGAAATATGAATATCCATGCCAAAAAGTGAACAGCTTTTTTTCACACATTTGATCTGCTTTCCCATTTACTTTCAATCTACCTTATCACATTAACAATTTGGATCCCGGGTTACTATCCTGATATAGTTGGCCTCAGCAGCTGGACTAGATGATCACTGCAGGTCCCTTTCAAACAAAACCATTCTATTCTATATGTCTAGAGAAGAAAACACTGCCAACAAAAGCCATACGATTCACAGCTTTTGGCAAAAGCTTCCATTGATCCATTTACACCCAGAAAGAACTATAAGAGATTTCCCAAAGGCATCAGAACACTGGAGGCGTGTTCACAAAGCTATCTTTTCAGAAACATTTGAATCCAAAAATATACTGACCACACAGGAAGTCTACAAAACAAAGGAGAGATCTCCCTCTAGCACAATCCAGATGGAAAAATAAACAAACAATTCTTCAGGGGAGCTAGGGCAGAATACAGGTCACACACAGTTGAATTTCATAAACTAAATTTTGCTTACTTTGCTGGTTTTATGACAGCAGGTGACCAAAGCATGCAGAGGTACAGTGCAGAGAAATCTCCTCTGTATAACCATGCCCTGACTCTCACAGAATATCTTTGACTTCAGCAGTGATTTCATGGAGAGCACAGATGCTCCCTTTGACCCAGTGGCTGGGCCTAGCCTCTCATAATGAAATCCCACTTTTTTCCGAGTGAAATTATTCAAAGGGAATGGAGGACATGAGAACAACATCATAATAAATACTTGAATGAAACACTTATTTTTTCCTCAAATGCTATTCTTCCACCTTTACCACTGAGGCAAACATAGGATTAGATTATTCTTTTTTTTATAGAAAGAAAAAATATTTTACATCCTTAATATTTTCAGTTTTCCAACTACATTTATATCAAATAGGTTCTTAAATCACTGTGTTTCTCTTTTTCCAGTGCTGCTTCTAATTGGATTTAACAAAATGTCTCTCCCCATCCCCTCAAACATATCTGGAAAAGAGCTGTCAAGAGAATCTAACCAATTAAGAACAGATTATGAAGATTATTTTCATGTTCTTGAGAATCTACTTCAAATATGCATTTCAAGAACTAAGAGGCATTCCTGGAAATTATTTTAAAATTTTGCAGACTAGATTAAGCAAAAGTAGGCCATCCTAATAAGTCAGCCCTATTCTATAATAACTTCTTGACTAATGCTTAATGTCATCGAAATGAATGTGATTCAAGGGCCCTCTAGGTAACCAGTGTAATAGCTGTTAATACGGAAAGCAGCAGCAAGCAATAGTTTTGCTGGGATGAGCTATTTTAACACAAACACACAGAAAATACGGGCCTGTTATGAAATCAGAGGTCTTGAGCAAGGGCGACACAGGGTACAATATAGAAGAACAGAGGCATGAGATGGTGAGAGGTGGGACTAAGGCTGACACTGGACACCCCCTGCCACAAACAGCTCAACAGCATCAGTTATAAAAACTGCACACTTGGAACTGGACAAAAATTAGTTTAGGTTAACAACAAGGACACAGAAATCATATCTACCATATACAAATGGTCCCCTATGTGATGAGCTCACATCTGAGATGTCTCCCAGCAGAAGAAAGTAAGAGAGAAGGGAGGAAGAACAAAGCATCCACACAAACATCATGTTCTTCCCAGCACAGGACTCCAGATGCTCATAACTTGCTGAAATATCCCCACTAATCACCAACACAAGCACCAAAGCACCAAGCTTAGAGTCCAGTTGTGCAATGAAGGGGTGTACATAACATCCCAAAAAGGGCACAATATAAGATTGTGTTACTGTTTTAATTACATTACTTCTCTTATGGGAGCAAGCTTTGTGAAGATAATTTTTTCAGTAAAGTTTACTCATATTTACAAAGAAAGTAATTACCAAGTTCTGTCAATGGACTTTTTGGAGCATCAGGGATTCTGTATCCAGAAGGAAGTAGCTGTATTTCGTTAGAAGCTACAATAAGAAAAATAACCAAAATGTCTCTTGATTAAGAATAATACAAGGCACAGCATGGATTTATATTTGGCTTCTGGACCACTCCTGAAAAAATGATAATTAATAAAAAAAAAGAAAAAGTAGTTCCAATCTAGAGAAAAAAAACACAGAAATTGTCACTTTAAAAGGTATGTGGAATATGAAGGAAGCCCTTTTTTCCTTAATTGTTAGACAAAGATCTATCAAGCATGAGAATTTGACAATGAACATCTGCCAGTAACTTCAAGCACCTAGTTTAAAATTAATCAATGATCCATCTTGATTAGCTTTCATATTTTAATCTTTGAAACATAGCAAAACCAAGGAAAGTTGAGTATGGTTAAAAAAAGGTAATTAGAAATTAAAATGAAATTAGATTGACTGCTGGTTTCGCTTCAGTAAATTCTGGGAATCTGCTGTCAAATTTAAATGAAAAAAGAAAAATTGCAAGTAAGACATTGATGTAAATCCATAAGATTGTGTAAAATGCATTTATTGAGAAGCATTAACAGTTGTCTTCATGGGAAGATCTGCATTTCAGTCCTGCAAGCATTCCTGGTCCTTTCCTTCATCATACATCCTCCTGAATGCAGACTAGCTGTGCTTTAGAAAAATCTAAGTGATGTTTTTAAAAAAATAGAATTAAATACAACCTGAAGTTTAGATTTGTCCTCGCAGTTTTGCATGGCTCAGGGAAGAAAATATAAGCAATAAAATCAACATTAGGGAATTTAGAATTCTGAAAAACAGAACTAAATAAGTGTTACACCAAATCACAAAACTAACCATACAATATTGAGATAAAAAAATTTTAAAAATCAGTAGAGCTTCTCTTTCCTTTAAGGCAAATACAGTTATATCCCATCACGTGCTATATAAAATTGTTCTTACTCATTGCTGTTGGTGTTACCTAAAAGAATCTGTAATCAGAAGAAAATCAAGGAAGTAATTATTTAAAATCTATCACTGAGGTAAATTTTACAGATGGAAATTTTATGTTATGTCAAACATGCAGATCACATAGACAGAAAGTATTTATTTCAAAAATCAAATTGAATCACGCAGTGAAATCCGTGAAAACCACAGTTCAGTCAGAGCTAGGCACATCCTGCTTTACAATTCATTCCAGTATTAGTCACTGAAACCACAAAAGAAACCAGAATATTTTAATCAGGACTTCCTTGGGAGCCAACACAAAGAGGATGCAGCAAGTAGTAGAAAAATTCTGCGGAAGGTAAAAAAGTGTTTAATGCAGAAAGAATGTAAAAAGCAGAAAAATTAGTTACCCGGGATGTTTTGAGCTTGCACCAATTTGGGTTTAGGCGTCGATCTAAAAGCTTCAGGTCCGTGTGTTTTCCCAGCCTGGGCTAGAAGAAAGAACCTTAATGTAATTTAAAATCCCCCTGAACTTCTCTTCGTCTACTACCCAAAGGCTCATGCTTTTCTTATCACCATTTCATGTCACATGATTAGAATGATTTTTACAGCAGCTCAACTCCACCATGATTAATATTTACTTTTGTTTTCACATGTGAAATCTATATGATGTTTTGGATTTATTTTGCTGCAGTTTTATATTAACAAAAGAAAACAGAAGTCATGAACAGCAAAGTTAAGGTCACACTGTACTTCTGTTACAGCCTCTTAAATTCATTACAATAGATTATAAACAAAATCCATTACATTACAAAGCAATTTGCACAAAATATTTACAAATATTTTCCCTGTTATTCAGAATGGTTTTTAATCCTTTTAATATAAAAATTTTCAGGAACGTAAGAAATACTCACCTGTAATATCTCAGAATTATTACTAATCTCAGAAAATTACTAATTTTCTAGTAATTATAGAATTTGTTATAGAATAGGTTTTGATTTCCATTCATTCTTCTAATTGTACATTTTTAGAGTAATACACAGGCAGTTTATTAAACAGCAATTAAATGTACCTAAACTGAATTGCTGGCCATATTTTAATAAACCACTGCATAACTGTACTCTGCAAGCTGTTTCATATAACAATTGATGCCAATAGTAAGTCAGTGAAGGTCAATTCTTTCCTCTGCATCTTGCTGGAGATCCCAGAGGTGTTTAATCAGTCATGCAGTACCCAGAATTGGTCATCTAAAACTGTAAAATGACAATGGCTATGGAGCACAGAATGGTAAGTTCTCAGCCTTGAATGCCACAAGCACATTAATGCCCTCCACAGAGCAAATTGCACAGTATTTAGTGCATGTAGCTACTTGGAAGAGATCTTTAATATTGATGGTTGGCATTAATATAGCACTAAGTTTTAGTATTAATTTAATAAAAGATCGCTTTCTTTTTGAGACACATTAGAAGACATTTTGGTTTTTCCTGCATGCTCTCCAAGCTTTTTCCACAATCTATTTAACACACTTCAAGCAAGAGCTGATCATGGATGTTTATAAGCTTCTTACTTCATTTAGTGAAAAAAAAAGTGCTGTTTCCCACATTCTAAATAGTGGGATTCAGATGCTATTACAGTTACACTATTTTCTAGTTTGGAGAATGTGTCACACAGTCTGGAGTCTTTACAGATGCTGCTTTGTTATGGCTCAATTCATCTTCCAAGTCAGTCACTGTGCTGTCTCTGCCATCAGTGCAAGGAGCAGTTCATTGTCCAGAGAAGGAAGAGAAATTTCTCTCTATGAAACTTCACTCTTACGAAATACTGAAGCAACAACTAACTACCTGTACCTCAGGAGCAGTACAAAATCTAACATTTCTTGTTGGTGAGGTGCAATAATGAAAAGAAACTCAAACACAAGCAAATACAGAACTCATGATGTCAGAGGGTTTACACTCAAGTGAAATGTGTCTTTGCTGAGCAAGCTGAACAAGATAAAACACCCCTAGAATTAGAACAAAAGAAACCAAGCTCCTGGTTTTGCACAAAACATTGTAGGGATGACATGAAAATAAGACAGATATTTTTGTTAAAAAGAAGATACAGGAAGAAGAAATTTTAGGCCATGAAAGCTAAATTAGAGAAAAGAGAAATGCCTCTGATTATTCCAGGGCAGCAGGTAAGCTAGGCCTATTGTAGTGGTTCAAGGCTGTCTGCAAAGTAAAGCATTACACAGCCAAGTTATTTTATCATCACAGCCTGGAATACAGCAAGAATGCACCTAGGCAATGTTTCTTAAACTGTTTCCTCTGATTTCTCTTGATTCTCTTTTCATCTTCATGATGATGAAAGACATTATGATGAAAACATTAATCTCACTCCTGATATACCCTGTGAGCACAAGGGGAACTCTTCAGGGGGCAGAATGAGGACAGGAGGAAGAGAACTTGGGAGACATGGCAACAAAGGAGTTATTTCAACTGAACATTAACCCTGGTTGATGGATTCACAGGTGGCACTTCTCATTTCAAGTCTATTCCATATTTCAAAAATCTAATTCACTAAATCTGTAGTATGACCTCCCACATAAATAACTAGCTCTCTTTTTTTGCTTTTCTTTTATTTTTTTTACAGAGAAACTAGTTCTTTCATGTTCCAGACTAATGTGCTCATATTTCTAAGGGTTGGTGAGCTCCAATTTCCCTGTAAAGTTATTAGAAAGACACATTTAGCAGAGAAAAAAAGTTGTAGCAGTAGTTTGAGGTATATTAGACAACAATTCAAAGATTGAGGAAAACACAAGAGATTTGAGCTGTTATGTTAAGAATAAATTAGTCCTGAGTGGAAAATATTGTAACAAGCCTGGCAAAAACAAAGAATGAAAGAGCTTACTAACAAGTCTTTCCATGGAAATGCATGCCAAGGGAGGGGAGGATTGAAATTAAGAAAATGATGGGATTCCTGGTAGACAAATACATGAAAAAAAGTTACTAAACTGTGTCACATCACAGAACACACCCTTTGATGAAGAGCCAGTGGAATACAAGAGCAGCCCAGCTCACAGAGCCTTTCAGATGGACTGCTTGCTGAAATACTTGGAGCTCCCTTCCCTTCTAGTATGGCTGATGACACAACAGCTGCTACAGCACAGAGCTCCTGCTAAATCACTGTGCTCTTGCCAGTCTGGCACCAGTCCTTAAACCTGCCACAGCAAATAATTATTATGCCTTACTCAAAGAATCCAGTATGATTTTTCAAATAGCAATGTCTGATTTAAATATAATGAAGTAGATCCTATTGCTAAACTCAATTAATTATATCTATATACTAAACTGTTTAAATGCAACCCTTGAAAAGGCTTTGAGGGTTGGTGCTCAGATCTCTCACCTAAGTTACTCATAAAAGAATACTTCAGCATTTTAGCCAGACAAGTTCTTTTTCCATGTTCCATGGCATGACTTGAAGAACATTTTTCTTTTAAAGGATTAATTTGCACTTCCCTGTTTCCTGACTTCTTTTTTTTTTTTTTTTCTCTTTAACTGAAATAACCACAATGGAGTGTGACATACTCTTACTTTAACATGAGGCACTGGTGCTGAGATCAACAAATAATATCTGAAAGGAATGGTCACCACAGGGAAAAAAGGCATGGAAGCAAAACCACAAAGGAAGCTTGAAATGGAAGATGAAAATTCCAAATATATCCATAAGTAACTATTGGTGTGAGAGCAATAAGAATGTGTTTAGTTGTAACAAATTGTTACTAAATTGTTACAAAAAAAGAGAGTACTTGCCAATTATTATGAGAGTAATGAAAACTTCTCCAACTTCATAAACATACAATTCTGTGCCATGTCAAGACACGGCATTGTTTATGGTTAGAAATTCTACATGTTGGTACATAAATATAATTACAGAGCACAAAGGAAAGGAAATGGAATGAACCAATGCTCTCCTCCCCAGCTGCCACATTTCACCTTCCTTAGCTGACTGACCAATACATTCCATCAACAAGGAATGACACCTTTTGATTAGAGGAATTCAAGCTTGAGGGCTGAGATTTGAGGACATGGATTCTGATGGAGAACCAACCATATAAATGTATTCAGTTCTCACTTTCACAAAAAATGGCAAAGTTCTAGAAAACACACTTCCAGATTGCCAGTTCTTGAACAGCAGTTACTTAAACAAGGTAAATAATCTAGTAACATAGTAAAAAAATTTAATTCCAAAAGAGACATTGCACTGTAAGAGAAAACAAACCAATCAAACAACCTAAAAAGACTCCTTACAGCTTTCTGAAAAGGATCCACACATTTTCAATGCGTCCTTTGATAATAAATTCTTGTGAAGAGGCATTGCTTTTTCCCCTCTTAATATTTAGGATGAACAGTAAAGAGCCATCCCTATGAAGGTTTTACAGACAGGAAGGAATGGTTTAAAGTAGAATTTGGAAAATATATTTATCTATTGAGTAGAAAATAAAGTTCTAGCATTTTCATAGAAGAAAAAAAGATGGATTAGTTAGTCTGAAAGATTGTTGTCAATGATTACATGACATTGCTGCATTTCTTTACACCTTTTCAATTCCCTATGTATTTTTTGAAGGGTTTTTTTATTCTGCTTTGGTTTTTTTTAAGACTAAGGTGCTATGATGAAGTTAAGCATAGCATTTTTTTATATACTTAATGAATAAAATAAACACAATCATATTTAAGGGTAGTATCTGTCTGACTAGTGTGATGTCAAAGAAACCACATGCTACACTACTCCATCCAGCCAGGAAAGGCCTGACAGACAGAAGAGACTAATGCCAGCAAGATCCATAATATGTCTAAACCAAACCAAAGCAAACCTCTGGTTATTGTTTCCTCAAATTACTTTTTAGTTTTAAAATCTTGCCACTGTTCAAGCATCCGTTCTTCCTTTCAGCAAAGCAGTTGGCAGAAGGCAGCTATTGTCTCCTGTGACAGCAGAACCAAGACTTTCAACCCAGTTATAGGATTAGGGCCAGACAATAGAAAATGAAGATAGGCATATGCCTTCTTAAGCAATTCTGAAATGTGGGTCAATAAAGTGGATGATAAGTTGATCTTCATCATTCGACTCTGAGCAATTCAGCTCTTTCCAGTCCTTTCCACCCCTGCCTCCAGACTGAAAATGTTCAAACATATGACTGGACTTGTCATACAAATTCATAAAGTAGTCTGCGTTACACAAAAAAACCCTCACTTTACCATTTTTCAAATTTCAAGGCATGCCGCAAAGTATGATTCTAATTCTAAGTAGTTTTAGAAACCTAATAATTATATCACCTGAAACTTTTGTCCAAAATTAGATTCGGATTTTTATCCACATTACCACTCCTTGCTAATTCAGCCACTATCCTCCTGTTTTCCAGCTCCTATTTTAACTGTAGAGCACAAAGATGGGTTTCATTTTAGTTTATGTATTTGGCAAAGATATTCCACAGAGTTTCTAAAAACAGAATTTTCATTACCTGGAAGGGACTGTGGGGAGATTTCTTGAACTTCTGGTGTTTTGGATTCAGCAGGCCATACTCCAGTTTCATTCTTAGCTAAAAGAACAGACATTAGAGAGTAATTACAAAGATGTATCTGCTCTCTTTTACCACAGATTTATTTCTGTCCCACTTTAGTTTGACTAAGTAAGCCAACATGGACAGCTGAGTACCTTTAGGACCCAATGAATTTCCACTGCACAATCACTGCAAGCTATGTTAAACACATGTGGTTTTGGTTTTGTTTTGTTCATTAAAAGATATTTTAAAAATAAAAATTTACAGCAAGGATTTAATGACTTATGAATCATTATTTTCACAGTGCAAAATGGTTTTCAGCATTTCTCATTTGTTTAGCATTTCTGCTTACCCAGTTTTTTCCTGGATGCTTGAGGTATGTCATCTATTGTCAGGAGAGGAGGAAGTTTCTGCTGACTTTCATTGAGACCTGGAACAATTAGGTGCACTACAGAGAAAGACGTATGCCATTAATTCCCGAAGACATGAAAGCACACAGTCTGCTCTCTGAGATGACTAACTACTACTAAACCACTGGGAGCTCACTCTGAATATCTGGAAAATGAATTTATTCTATCCCCATTTGGTGCTATTTGCCCTTTATGCCACTCCTTCTATCACCACCATCTCATGATTTATCAGAGGTGGAAAGCATTTGACACTGGAACACACAACTCTGGAATACTGCAGCATCACAGATACTGGGACAGATTCTGTCTGGTGGGCCAAGTGGGCTCAACACCAGACTGGGTTTGTATGTATGTATTTGACTCACATCAATACGCTGAAACTCACACAAAGAAAGCTTCAGCCAAAGTTATGCAGTCATAGAAAATATATAAAGGGATAAACAATAAATCCAGGAATAAATTGGTCACAGGGTACATGGTGCAGTGAGCCTTCATGCAAATTTCAGGCAGACCAGGAGTTCACCACCTTGTATGACAGACTTTCCCCTGGTTTAATGTTCTAAGCCAATATTGCATATTCTTATAGGTGAAACAAGAACAAAAAGCATGAAACTGAATGGCTTGGAGGGAAATAGTAATGTCCTGAGATCTAACATCAATTTCTAATTGCAAGATTTCTGTAGTTTAATATGTCAGGTTTGTGACTGTAGATGTGATGTTACTGTGCTACCTTAAAAGCCCAGTAAGAACAATCCCTCATCTCAACAAGATCTTTGCCATAGAACTTCATTTGAAGTATGAAAGAACTCCTTGACTTAAACAGTCACAATTTCTTCTTTTAAATACAATGACAATGAAATGATTCTACTTCAATTAAGTAACAACATTCTTGAACCATCTGTACCGCCATAAAATGTAACAAATATTGTCTGCACCAGCTGCAAAATACCCTTTGATATGCAAGGAAAAACAATTAAGATCACGGAAAATTAAAAGCATTTGCACAATTCTAAGTTTCAACCAGGGGTTAAGAGAAATAATAAAAATATCTTCTAGTCACCTAATATTGCTCCTGGGAGAGAAGAACTATCTGGTGCTTTTGACTGCGTCCGATTTTGAATAACTGTGGAGACAACACAGGGATATTAGAAGCTAAGTAAAACAACAACAACAAAAAAACTGAAATAAGAAACAAAACCACACCTGAAACAAACCCCAGCATTCTAAAAACCTTTCCTCAATATTTGCAGATTAGGACACGCTCCTAAGCCTTTCTGTATTTATATTCAGTTTAAGAGACTGCAAACTCTGTTTTCTCTACATCATCTCCTAATTGTGCATCTCCCTCCCCTGGCATATTAATTTTGCTGAAACTGAAATTCTGTGCTTATGTTATTATAGGGCCAGCTGCAGGACATCCCATTGCCCTGACACGCATTTTAGTCTCAAGTTACTCTTGTGGAGTAGAAGAATACATTTTAAACAATGCACAAACTTACTTTGTTTGATTATTGTGACAGGGACCAATTTCTTATTATCACTCAGTATAATCTGAAAAAAGAGAAAAAATGGATAAAAGTAGTGCCTTGGGAGAACTGCCATAATAGTAATTGAACTGAGTAATAAAAATAGAGGGTTCTAATCCAATACCATGCCTGTTCCAATTAAACACTGGATATGGCTCTGGCCCTGGTCCCTGATGGTTGTGCTTCAGTTCCCACAGGCTAATGTGGTAATATTGCATTTTGATCTCCTTCTATCAGCTTGAGAAGTTTTGCTTAATAAAACCACAGTATTCGACACTTTAGGAAACCCCAATTCTTTTTTCTCTCAAGGATCTCTGGAGCACTCACTGGGGAGTAGTCCAAAATGCTGAAGAAAAGATGAAATTTAACTACAGCAAAACATGTGAAATATATGCAATTACAATTTGGTCACAGGACACAAATATATTCTCAGGAACACTATATTTAGAACACAGACTATTCCAGAACCAGGTGCACATTTGTAAACCATTAGCACTCTTGGGTGCATAGCCTGATTAAAGTAGATCAGCTCACAAAAATCTTATTTAGTGGACTTGTTTCCAAAGCACAAGCGGCCAGCCATCCACGTGATTCTTAAATTTTTATGCTAAATACTTGGACTCTTATGCTGTTCATATCTCTTTGACCCAGATTGCATCTTGCCTAAATGTGAATGTGAAATTATATTGATATAGTTAAAAAAAAAAAAAAGGAATACCTGAATGGACCCCACAGCTATTAAAAGAAAACAGTTGATAACAAAGATAAGAATTATGAACAAATTCTGAAAGCTTAATAATAGACTCAAGTGATGAGAGAATGTAGACTGTAAAGCCAACGACATAAAAATGCTACATATATTAAAAGGGAATTGTTTTACTTATACTTGAGTTACAAGAAAGAAAATAACTCCTTCCATGCTAAATACATTCCGCTGAAATCAGAACCAGAGAATGGTAATTTTATGCTTTATGCCATCTGGCCTACTTGATGTGAAAGAACACTTGCACACTTGAGAAGTCAGCATTTGATGACAAAGTGCTAATCATTTACCTAAGCATAACTATTTTTGTTCTATTTTAAATACTTCTGAAAAGCTTTAAAAACAATGGTTGGGTACACATTAAACACATACCAAAGTTTAAGAAGCTGGAAGAAGGCCAATCTCCACAAGTAAGATGAACCTTTTCTTGGGGAAATGGATGGAGGCAACTTACTCTATGATCACTGTCTGCTACCTAATAACAGTTTTGCATTGGTGAGAACATGACTCAATCATTGTCATTATATGAGGATAAAAATAATCTTCCTTCTTTATTTTTCCTCTTTTACATTTCCATTTTGTTTTCTAGTGAAAAGATTGTGTTGCAGATGATCAGCTTTTGAAGTAGCCCTCCTATTCATGTGACTAACAAAGGGGATGGAATGCATTTTTTAGAAGAAGGTGTCCATTTTATTGCATTTCTCCTCAGCAGCTTTACAATTAAATGAACAGCTCTGAGGTTGTAGTGAGTGCTTGTGTAACCTCTACAGTATAACTTCTAGTCATAATTACTATCAGCCTTTTTACTAGTAAACAGTTCTTAGATTGACAAGAACATTCTTTCTTTGTTGACTAATAATGGATGGCTACAATGATAGCACTATAAAAACTCAAAATACCTTAAAATATATTAAAAATGCAGTTTTTCACTCAGGAATGAATAATTGACATGAAATCCATGTTCCCCAGCTGCTATAATTAGACTGCTCACCTGTACAAATCTGTAACTGCAGCACTTGAAATCTACCCATGATGTCAAAGCTTTCTTCTCAGTTTTCACAAAGTGACTAATTTAGATAGTCCTAGTAATATTTACTACTTATACAAACTATTTTGGAAATGTCAGCCCATCATCTGTAGGAATGGCACTATCAACCGTATTTTTCAGATAGGGAATATAAAACATATAGGTATTAGGAACAGCAGTTATTTAAACAGATGCTGCCATCATGAAAGAAGATGGCAAATAATATATTCCTTATTTTCAGAGGAAAATGAGAGATGTAAATCATACCATAGGTCAGGCATCTCACTTCTTACCATATACATACAGCATATTCTTACAGGACTGCAAATCTCAAATGTTCTGTGAACATGGTAACATTACTTTAAGAGACTTGTTCTTTCTTTCTGTGTTGTATTCTGATACTTCAAAAAGCCAAAATTAACTGGCATGCACATAATAGATTCTTCAAGGAAGGATCATGGTCAGTCTGGACTGAATAAGGTTTGGAAGAGCAGGAATGTTTCCTTCTAGAGTTTAACAAATGGTAGAAGCTGAGTCCTTTTTGGCTAGAAAATTGGGAAGGACTCCACCTTCCAGGCCGACATGAAACTAGAGGAACTTAACCAGAAAGAAGAGGAAATAAATTTCTACTGCATTGTTTCTGCCCTACCACTACCCATTGTTTATGAAGGGAAGAAGAATGAGCATTCTAGAACACTCCTTTTCTTCCACTCTCTCCTGAGCTGCTGCTTACACAGCCCTGGGAGCTTAGACAAAGTTAATGGATGAAACTGCCAAAAGAAACACAAGATGATATGTGACTGATGTTGAAAGGGCAGAATGACTAGATGGGTTGGTAACGTTATTTTCATAAACAGCCTTTAAAAATGTCCTTACAGAGAAGAGTTAGGACCATGTTGATATGAGTCAGTTGTGTCTTTGGAGCAAAATAAAGAGCAAACAAACTTGGCCTAAATCACACTCATTCTGGCTTTGCATCAATGATCTGATCACACCACTGAACCATACCACACCTAGTGCTGTGGAAACTGAAGGAACAATGTGAACTATCTGCTTTTTGGCTTTTTGCACCACTAAAACAAGAGTGATAAGAGAACATTTAGAATAATCTATGGTATGTTTTCATGATATTTCTCTGGAGGGTGATAAAGCAGTGCTGCTCTGGAGTTGAGCCCTGTGAAGATCACAAAAAGACTAGATATTGGCTCTAATCTTCCTTTCATACTTGAGCTGCGCAAATATTTGGAGAACTGGTTTAGCTCATTTTCTCAGGACTTCTCCTGCATAAATAGAATCCCTACTTGCACAGAAGCAGCATAACAGTCAGGGTTCTGGCACACAGGGTTTGCTAAGAGGAGCAAAGGAACTCAGCTTGCACTCCATGGTCCAGGGTGAATTCCCTGATCCTGGGCTGTGCAACTTTAAAGATGCTTGTGGGACCAAGGGGAAGAACAGTAAAGGTGACTTCAGTAAACAGTAAAGCAACATAATGAGATCAGCACCCTCCTGAATATCTAACCAACTGGATTTATATTACTCACAAATAAAACCTTTTCTCCTGAACTCAAGACATATGTATATTTCCAATAATATAAGCATTCCATTGATCCTACTCTGTATGTAATGCAATTATTGAAATATTACTGCCCTAAGTGAATGGACATGGCCTCGAGTTGCACTGTGGAGATTTAGATCAGATATTAGGAAAATTCATTTTCACAGAAAGGGGTATCAAGCGTTGGAAATGACTGCCCAGGGAAACGGTAGGGAAATCATCATGCCTGGAAGTGTTAAAAAATACATGGATACAGCACTTGAGGACATGGTTTAATGGTAAACATGGTGGTGGTGCTGGGTTAGCAGTTGGAATTGAGGAAGTTAAAGATCTTTTCTAACCTCATTGATTCTATGATTCTGTGCATACCTAATTATTTCTAGAAGGAAATGTATTTAATGAATTATGATTTGATTCCTGAAGGAATTCCAGGTCTGATAATTACAGACCATTTACAATATTCTGAAATATGAAAAACAAACAATGAGAAAACATGCATTACCATTTCCTACCATGAAAACATTTGGAAAATCTCGGACAGAAGAGAATTGTGAAGAATGGTTTATTCTTTTGTAATAATTAACACTCATGAGTTAACCCTCTAAAATCTTTAAAGTAAGAGGGATTTCTACAACTTTTCTTGGGAAGTTGTCCCATAGTCTGCCTCAGGGATAGTAACCTAAAAAGAAGCAGAACAAAAAAAATCCTCCAGAAGATTAAATGCTGAAAATTGCACTTTGATTAAAAAATGAGGAAAGGAAATATAAAGAAACCATTTAATCTCATAGTAGAACTGGTAATGCTCAAAAGTTATGACTTAAATGTCTCTTTTTCACTGTATTAAAACCCACTAGCTGGCTTGATTTAGAGAGCCTTCATTTATGCTTCAGCTCTTGGAAGAAAAACAAATCTGGGTACATGAACCCATAAACAAATTAAATCTATCCATACTTGTTTGAGAATGTTTATGGAAAAAGTCAAGTGAGGGGAAAAAAATCTTTATTTATAAAAAATCAATTTTTTAAAATTAAATGGTAAAAATTTTACCATGCCACATAAAAGGATTTAATGGACAGCCTAGCAAACTTGATTAAATTGCCCTTTCCAGCTTCCTCTGGTTCTGCAAACACTTGCCTCACATATGGGAACTATCAGTGAATTCAGTGGGATGACTAATTTAGAAAACTTGAGTATATACAAAATTACTCTATAAAATCACATCACCATGTTTTCCCTAAGTTAACTAATCACAACAAATATCACAGTTTAATAAACCTGACTTCTACAAAGGAATAAGCAACTTCTAAATTTTGAATCTACAGCTGGAAACCATCAGATTTATCTGAGATAGGTTGGAAAAAGTGTAGGCAATCATCTCAGTTACAGTTCTCAATTATTTTGTCCATCAACACATTTAAACATTTTCCACATAGTGCATTTAACAGATCGTTTTCTATATTGGCAGTTTGTGGCCTTGATAATTTCTTTCTCACTGAACACTAACAGAGAATAAAAAATTTGATCATATGAAACATGAACCAGCTTCAAAAAGAGACTGTTTTGCATACCTGTGTTTGGGAATTAGGTACCAACTTATACATATTCTGGAGTTGCCCATTTACTTTTTTACCTGTTTTGACAGAAAGAAAAATAAATTCACAGAATTAAATGTTTTTGTCCAAAGCAAAGCAAACCAAGTTTATCCACCTTTTATTTGTCAGCTTGGAAAGTTAGAAGGCTTAATTAAAAGCCTGTATAAAAACACACCATGGAAAAATTGTTTTGTCCTGTGTCTCCAGATCCATTAATATATCTGCAAGTCCCTCTCTTCACATTTTGACAGCAAGGAAATGAAATGTATTCTTCTTGTTTTGTTTATGGTTTTGTTTATCTCAGTGTTTCAACAAACTCCCAGACTTAAACTCTGAATTTTTTTCTCTTAAGTTTTCCTCTTAGTTTCTAAGTATTAGAAGTTTCTTGTGATGCAGCTGTTGAGTAAGTCAAGAAACAGTCCTATTCAGCAGCTACTCAATTCTAGCATGCTGCTTCAAACTTTCTCTGCATCTTCCACCTTTACATTTTTCTGCTGCCCTTCCAACAATGGATGTGCAAACAAGAGTCAAGCTACATGTTTCCATATTTTTTTCCAAATTTCATCCTAAACAGATGAGAAATAGAAAAAAATTCAACTCTAAAGAAATGTCAATTGAGACACCTTTAAGTTGGAAACAAGTCTTTCAAAGTGCTTGATACTTCTAAATAACAGGACTTACTATTGGCCTAAATTCAAGGGAAAAGTGACAGAAGTTTTTGAATGACTTCATGAGAAAATCATGGCAAGACAGTCTGAAATAAGCTACTTTCATCTCTTCTGAAAAAAATCAGTTAAATAAATTTGAACTTTTGCCATGCCTTTCATGTGTTTTCAAATTATGAATTAGAAGCAGATTCTCCTCCCAGCCCCTCCCAACATGTTTAGTATATAACAAAAGTTTGGCCAGTGGATTCAACAAATCCAGGAACATGCACAAGAACTTTCAGTTTGTATAATTGATATACTCTTCAGTGGGAACAAGAACATTTACAGTGAAGCATGTTCGGTTTAGGTTGAGATGCTTCTCCTATATGAGAAGAACTTGACACAAAACAAGAAATTAGCACAGAAAAGAAGTGTCTATTTGTGTTGATTGATAAACTTTACAGGCATCTGGTTGTACATTTATTATAAATATGCACTCTCTGTTTACTAGCCACATTTTCAGTATCTACCATGAAAAACATGAAAGGCTTGAATTCAAAAGTGCTGACAACTTTCCCATTATAAGATTCTTTATCAGTAGACCAGAATGTAGACATGCAGGGTAATTACAAACTCTTGGGATTTAGCTGCTGCAGAAGCATCCACTGAATACACAAGTCTACACTGCAGACAAAAGAAATCTTATGTAAATAGAATATGAACTCTTAGAAGAAATAATCTTTCAACCAAATTCAATGGGTCACCATAAACTAACATGAATGATTCTCCTGACCTATTAAAAATGTAAAATGTCTGTAAGAAACAGAATTTAGAAATACATCATATAGAAAGATAAAATTTGGTGGTGTTTTCACCAGTCTTGAACAAGTAATAAACTATAAATATTTGCACTCATCACTCCCTCTTATTCTAAGTGCTGAAATAAATTTCATCATTTGCTCTACAGATGACTTTAAGATGTTTGAAATGTAGAAAAAAACAGAAAAAAAACCACTTGGTAGGATATCTGTAAGGCTGCAAAGCAGAGCTTTTTGTGAATCAGGTATAGATAAAGGCTGCCACCATTATCTTCTTTAAGCTATGGTATATCCACGGCATTATTCTGGACTGCTAAAAGAGCTCCATGGACACTGGGCAGGTGCTTCAAACTTACAGCTTTGTACTCTATAATTAAGGCCAACAAAACTGTTTATTAGGGAATATGAAGGTTTTCCCAGTGTTATAAGCCACCGTACTGCTCCTTTCCCCTATCCGCAAGTATATTGAGCTCTGTAACTCACCTACAAGTCAAAACTGAAGTCCAAATTAAATTTCAGCTGGAAATCTCATATGAATAAGGCTCTCTAATGAGAATTCCCATTCTTTACATTTTGAGTCAAGCTAAAAATACTAAGCATAGGAGTTTCCACCATCTTCTGAGCAACATCATGTTTCAAAATACCTTTATACAAATACTTGAGGAAAATAAATAAAATGGGATAATCTGTTAAATCCTCTTTTCTTCTCATTACAAGGAGGAAAACTCGACTGATGCCTGTTTCCTCTACTGGTATGAGTGATTCTTTCAGCAGTACATGGTTTTACAAGGGTTAATTTGACATCACTTTTCCTGCATTGTCTTGGGATTTCAGAGGAGAACCTTAAAATACTAATGACATCCAGCCATAGGTGTTATACACTGCTCCATGGAAACAAAAACAAAAGCATACATGACACTGCATGCTTCAGACATGATAAATATAATACTTTGATTGTAAATTAGCTTCAAATTCATCTTTTGAGTGGAGTAACAAAGGGCTCATTGAGGCAGGACAGGCTCCATCTAACCCGAAGACCAGCTTCAATGTAAATGCAGGTGTAAAAGAAGATTCAAATAACACTAATAATTTCCATCACTCATGATGGAAAAGAAATTCAATGGATTAGTTGGGTGATGGTTGATGGATTAGTTCATTACTTGATCATCTTATTATTCATGGCCTAAGAAAAAGCTTAGAATCCAGCCAGAAGTATAAGTATTCATACTCAACACTTGATCTGTATCAACACTGTATCTGTACTCAACACTGTTAGAATTCTATCAACATGCAGCAGATCCTCTATTTGCAATGACAAGAGAGCACCTTTCAGAAGATTAGGTGGTAGTTTTTCAAAACCAAAATATTTCTAGTTTCAGCAATTGATAAGAGAATTTTTAGGGGCATAATGGATGGCATTTAAACCATAAAACCTTGATCAGTAACTTACTCTAATTAATACCATAATAGAGGAAAAAATACTATCAAAATCAGCAGCTATTTGATTAACTATTGTCAAATACTTACTAGAGAGAACTGTCTTATGATTCAAAGTCTTGCTCCAAATACTATCCTCTGCATTGTCTTTAACTCCAAATTCATAAGGTGTATTTGGCTTCAGATTGTCAATCACTGTCTCTGTAGCTGGGCAGAGCTGAAAAACCCATTTCTTGTCTTTGCCTTTTTCTCTGTAGCGAACTGTATAGAACCTGCTCAGGGAAAAAAAAAAGTCGATCTACTCAAAGGAATTCACTAGAACAATTTTTGTGAGAAAATAATAATGATGATGATGATGATGATAATAATGTTCTATTGTTCTTGTTCTTCTTTCTGGCTCTTTATGGTCACCAAATATCACAAAAGCCAGATTTATTCCACATATATGTGCCCAATCATATAGACCCTGACATTATGAATATTGTACAAAGATCAAAAGGACAGTTTCCTTATTCACAAACACCCATTCTATGCAAGGTTTTAACCACAAAGTGTAAGCTCATTGTCTGAGCAGTTCCTGTAATTCTGACATATGCCAGAACCAGTCAATTGAAGCATGAGCCTGCTAGTCAAGAAGCCTCTACTGATTTCTCAAAATCATCTATATTCATCCAGTGAAAGGTGTTCCTGTCAAAATTAGCCCAAAAACACTTTCCAGGGAAGACCAGTACTATCTGTTGTTCGTGTAATACATTCGTCATTCAGAGATCCCATTATGCCCCCACTTCAAACAAAAAAATAAACCAAGACATTACTTCCAGCAGTTTAATAACATGATGAATGCTAACAGATTGTGAAATTAGGAAACATTTCTACAGAAATTTCCCAATTCTGTCAAGGAGCACCACCCTGAAAAAGCATGACTGCAATGTTAACCAATCAAAAAAAAGGTAGTGGAAATGGTGAGAGCTTAAGCACAAGAACTCCCCTGGCTGACTATAGTCTCATTTTCAATATACTTGCTGAATCACAACCAGAATGGTGTGGAGGTTTCTTTTCTTGGAAAAGCAAATCTCAGAGAGATTTGGCAACTTTTTAATCCAAGTATTACTGAAAATTATTACACATAACATAAATAACTCATATCCATCATCCACATTTATCTCACATTTACATCATCTGAAAAGGGATGACTTCAGTCCAATTGTATTTTGCCACACTTAAATAGAACAACTTAATTCATGCAAATCAAGGTTATGAGATTATTACAGGAATTATACAGACAATTATATAAAGACAAAGGATCTCTTCCTTAAAAAAACCCAAACCAACCAAAAAAGGGTTCTTAAACAACTGAAAAAGTTTCAAAAGTCCAGACTTAATTAATTACTCCGTGGACCAAACTTAATACAGCCAATTCATAAATCTGCTTCTGCTGAAGTTACAGAAGAACACTTTCAGAGTACGGTTTAGATGAAATGTGACTGTTGAGTAGACAGAAATTCCTACTTCACTATTAAAACACAACCTAAGACAAGGCAAGTGTCTCTCATGGAAAATATTTCCATACATAATGGTTCACCTTGTTTACAGATTTTATCTCATAACTGTCAAATTTGTTTTTTGGCACCAAAAATATAGATTCTCCATGTAAACCAGGAGCTACAATTCAGCTCATTCAGGTACTTCACCAGGTTCCAAGATCAATATTTATGTTCACATAACTTCTTTAACTGTACTACTTTGTGTTCAAAACAAGATATAGTCTAACTTAAAACTTGAAAAGGAAAGAAAAAAAACAGTAAGGAAAAAAAAAAGACAGACAAATAGTGAGTATCCTCTCTCAGTTCCAGGACTACCAAGTAATAATCTGCCTCCTTAATTCTGTGGGCTGTGATCTAATCAAATGTCAAATAATAGACCTAATTGCAGTTAAACTGACAAAGAACATTTTAACCAATCCATTATTGGCAACATTAAAAGAAGGAAAAATTCTTCTCCTTTGTCCTCTTAATCTATTTGTATGTAGTCACAAAGCCATTAACCAACAGGAGAAGCTTATTTGAACTCCCTGTCACTGTCTTGCAAAGGATGTAACTTTAATAAACAAATTCAATCTTCAACACAAATGCCTCTTACTGGACCCCATACAGTTTTTTGGTGAGGGATTTGGAGTATAGACAGACATCAGATGTGAAGTGGAAATAGTCACCTTCTTCCCTTGTCTGAAAGAGGAATTTTCATTGATTTTCATCCTCATCCTTACCCTTTCCTACCTATTTTAATCCAATGGGATAGAAATAAAGCATTTGTATGTGATGGAAAAAAGAGAGTATACTGCTTCAGTTCAGTTATTGAACAATCTAAATGAACAGCTGCATCAGAAATGAGGAGAAAAAAACCACTAAAAACTTGTTGATAATGAATAGGCTTTTAAGTGGCTTTCCCCACTTGCTTCTAGTGGACAAAATGTTTTACTTTTTAATGCTGTCTCCACACCTGGAAATTTCTTCGCTCTAATATAAATTAAAATACTAAGAACACATGCACAATAAAAAAACGCCCCATCTTTCACTTAAATTCAAGACTATTATAAAACCTGAAAAGAGGATTTTCACAATTGTGCCAAACTATGCCATTAGAAAGAAAGAGAAACATACAGCACAGAAGAAATGTGCTCTCAATTCCAAGATTTCCAAGCCTATAAAATCTTCACCAAGGGTATAATTATTTCAGTGGAAACTTGCCATAGTGAGTACTAAAAACACTGACTGTGATGACAGAATTTCCTCAACCATTTCAATAAAAAGCAATAAAAATGAAGTTCCATTTAAGAATTTGCAGGTCACAATCATTTGACTATTAAAAATATCTAAGTATCTCCATGTGCTTTTGGGAAAATGCAATCATTTGTTTATAGAGTAAAAATTCAGAAATGCCATGTTTTGTCATCAAAGAACAACAACTCATTGTTAAACCAGACCGAAAAACTGCCAAATAAAATGCAATTTCAGTGTCTGCCTGAGAACACTGTACTGATTGAATATTGTTGTAATTTTAATTTCTCCCTTTTTCAAACCTTTCTTTCATCAAAAATACAATATTAAACAGTCAACACATATAATTGAAGACATGAGTAAGCAGTAAGATCCAGTCACCACTCACATCTATCAATCCCCTCGTGGCAGTGACATACAGGCACAAAATGAATGCAGCTGGCTGAACTGGAAACATTCAGCAAAACATCTGCATAGATCCCCTCCAGAACAACATAAGGCAGGCTGAAATAGAGTGCTGTCATACTTACATAGAAGGGAAAGCTACACTACATGTTTCTCAAATAAAACATTTCCCATTATCTCTGTGAGGTAAGAAAAGGAAAAACTGATTGCTCACCACAGGGTCCTAACAGCTAATACACTGTGGAATCCTCCTAGGAATGCTGGTTTGATGTTTCAGCAAGGAGATGGCACACCCAGCTACACTTGGTGAGAAATTATTTCAATCTAGATTCTCAGCAGGTATAAAGACCTAACAATATTTCACTTAATTTAACAATTCATTTTGATTAATTGATTTGTTATGTGTTTTGGTGGGGGACGTTTCATCAGAAAAATGTTTATTGAATACTCTTGTATTTATATTTACAACAAGTATTAATCAAATGATTGCAGGGGTTACTCTGTTTCTTTGCCAGCTAGCACTCTATAAAACATTAGAGCTCTTTTATCAAACTCCATAAAAGTTAGTACCTCCCTCTCTCCCACTAACAGGCAATGCTTCACTCATTTGAAGATACCACCAATGAGGCCACCCTAGGAACTGCAGAAAAATTTTACATTTTCCCTTTTTACTAGACAGCTAAAACTCCAACAATTTAAAACAAAAGGTGCCATGAGCAGGTGAGAGGGTTTTTTCACTCAGAAATAATCTCTGTAATAATGAGGGGAAAAAAAAAGCAAAATTTGCCACAGCAGAGGAATAAAGATCCTACATTCATCAAGAGAGCCTCTCTCCATATACATTTGTGCAAAATCATGGAATGTTTAGTGTCTACATTCTTGAAATTATGTATCTTTGATGATATTTTTACTTTGCTTGCCTCCACATATGACATACACAAAATGTGATGGCAGAAGTAAAATAAGTAAGAACAAGTTCATAATTTAAAGGAAGCCACAAGAGCACAAGATTACTCATAGGCCAACCACTGTAGTGATTACTGCAGCTGCAGATTCAATGTAAAATACTCTCAGCCTGACACAGAAGGTTGTTTCTCTTCTATGTTCAGCTTACAAAGTTTGTTTTTTCAAACTCCATGATGCAAGGCAGTGCTCAGTTTAGAGACAGCCTTTTTTTGCACTGGAAGTCAAAATAAAATGACCATTTTAAAGAAAGAGCACAGAGGGTTTTTGCTATTGAGATGAAGCAAATCTTATTCACTGTTAAAAGAGGTAGAATTCTAGGATGGATAGGCAAGACATTAAGTTTTCATCTATCTGTGTGAATGATACTGTTTTGCCAAGAATTCCAGTGCCATTTTTCCATTTTTTAACCAAATCTCATTTCAGCCAGATTCCCAGAACATGCTTGCACAGTCAAATATTCGGACTCAAACAATTAGATACTGGAAATCTTATAAGGCAGATTATATAAGGATGGTTTTGTGAGATTTCAAGACTAGGTCAGTTTGTATAAATACCATGGATTTATTTGGAACCAGGTCCCAACCAAAACTCCAAACAACTTAATCATGACTATTTTAGTCCCATGTAACACTAAACAAACAATTAAGCCTTGGAGATATAAGAACATTCCAGCTCTGTGATTTTCTGTTGCCAGAGACAATAGATTAGAAAGCTCATTTCTTTTTGTTCACAGAAATGTAATCAGAATTTTTTAAAAGAGACTATCAGCATAACAGGTATTTATTTATTTACAGTTAGACTTCATTAGAAGTGCAGCATCCATTTAATGCTAGAAAGCAATAAAAGAAATGGTTTGAACTATGATTTTTCATACACTGAGTGTTGCACAAATTGACCCATGAAGTTGATTATATTGTTTCCTTTTTTACTGCTAAGTTTACTTTAAAGTAACAGACACTGGCATATATAAAAAATTGAAAGAATGACACTAGTGGTGGTTACCAGTTAGAGGTTTGCAAAGCACTTTCTAATTTAGTTTTGACTCTTACATGATCACTAAAATTCACTTCTTCCACTTAAAACTTTTAGTAGAATGACTGAAATGAAGAGTGAGAGTCTGAAAAAGGAGAGACTGAACAAATTATTCCAGTTTAAACAAGCTTTAGCATGTACTCCCTCAGCAGCAACTCAAAAGCATCTGAAACTCAAGGAGTGTGTTTGCTGCTCTATGTTTTCCTTTAAGAAATTCTGCTATATTTAAAATACATTTCGTATGATATTTGCAAGACCAAGTATGACTTAGTTGGCAGCTGTATAATGATAGAAGTTTGTAAATAAGCACAGGAGGAGATATGCACATTTCTTTCTGAATTTCAGATTTTAAAAACCCTACTTCTATGTACTATGCAACAAAAAGACTAAGTATGGACTCTTCCCCCTGGTTTTCCCTTACTGCTTTTCTTACTTTTTTTTTTTTTTAAGCATCAGATAAAAACAAAATAAACCACAAAATTTCTGCTACTTGCAACTATGACATTAGGACATTTAAATTACAGGTAAAGCAATTTAAACAATGCCAATGTGAAAATGTCACAGCATTTAACTTAAAATAGACATACCTTCAGGTTTTAAATTCCTATTTTTGCATGTATCTGAAAGTGTTTTTGTTTTTCTACACAATCCACTCAATAGAATATTATATTTTACTGTATCTATAAATTCTGCTTTAATCTAATACAGAAAACAATGGGTTTTGTTCCATCCCCTGACTTTTCTTCCTAAAGAAGTAAAAGTCCAGCTTTTTTGACCCCCAGCTACAGAGGTGTTCTAATCAAAGCAAATACAAAGAAAGAAAAATCTACAGAGTACTCTCTCTTTTTCAGACCTGGATGGGAGAGTAAATGAAGCCCCAGTACTTTTATTTTGACAGATCTGTCCACTAATATTTGTTTGAACAGAGCTATGCAGAGAGGAAACAAACCTCTTACTCTCTTGGAAGTAAAAAAAAAAAGAGGAACTGAACGTGGCTCTGCAGCAGGATATTGTGATTTTGCCATCTTCCCTCATCAACTGTCTTCCACTGGTGTCAGAAAGCAGAGGATGCTGAGAAAGGTTCCACCAACTGTACTTTCTGGTGTTATGTAGTTTTCATTAGTTACATAAAACTAATCACTTGAGTTTTTTGATTTAGATATTTTTGGTTTATTTTAAATTCTAGTGCTAAGGGTCGGATGAGAGGTAATAGTCACTTCAAGAATGCTTCAAAATTTCACCTTCCATTTTTGGTCCACAAAAATGGCAGCGAATACTTTTGTTACAACAAGGGATTAGCATTTGGGGTTATCTTGAGGGTAATATCCAGCACTCCATTAGCTTATGCTCTTAATCTCTAGGGAGTTAAGCCAAAAAGAATGGTTTGTTGAAAAATGTCACAGTAAATTTTTTTCATTGGAGTTTCTTAAAAATCTCATCAATACAGAAGACCACTATGTTCCCTGAAGAAGGAAGCAGTAATCTCACTGAAGCAGTAAAAGATATTAAGGCTCTTTGAGAATATGGCAGCTCTTATTCCAAACTCATTTGCTCACAAAACCAGATCTTCCAAGGAATATCCCACTGAGGTCAAACTTGCACTGGAGAAAACCTTGGCCAGCAGAATTGCACTATTCCATGTGGTTTCTATCTTCTGACTCAGTAACACATTGAAATAACTGTTATTATGCAACACTTGTACAAAAGCCCAATATCCACATGGAGATGGTAAAATCTGAGAACAGTGACTCCATTTCAGGTCATGGGGAGTTACAACTTTAAACCTTGGAGGGACATTGACTGACAGAACTGAGTTAAGAGGTCCTGAGTACTGCTATGTACTGCCAATGCCAAAGGTTAGAGGTCAGCCACTAACAGCAATCTTGAGGATGATTAACAGTCACAGTGAGGAGAATATGACAGATGAAAAAGCATCAAGCCAGGTACACTGCCCTGAAATAGATTGAATTTTCGGTGAATCTGTTACTGGCTTTTTAAGTCTTGTACTTTTATCACAACACTGACTTGCTAAGAATGGACAACTTCCTATTTTTTTCTTATTGTACATTATCAACAGTCATTCAAATTAATATAATAAATTACTAGTTTTTCTTCTACACACTGAGTAGAAATATATGTGGCTCTAATCTCTCTTAAAATTCTAGATATACACACCATGGTCACATAGACAACTGTTCTCATCATTTATACGAATCACAAGCACTTTGGTCCAGTAAAGGTAATATTAATAAGAGCACCACTTAGGTGACTTTCTTTCTCTTCATTAACTTCCTTGTTATGCTTGATTGCAAAAACAAAATCTGGTTATAGGTATATACCTATCTTTGATAAGATAATTTGTAACTTGATATAAATGTTTTTAAACTAGCTACTCCTGTCTGACAATATTTCAATAAAATGTGCACTTTAATTCCTGAGAGGAGGAATACTTCAGAATATATTCTAAACATAGCAAGACACTAGTAGCACACTGCCCTAACTGAAAAACTGTGTTAGAAACTTTGTTCCCACTTTGAGTCAATGAGTGCCCAAAAAGAAAATTCAGCTACTGAGGAGAAAACACAGAATTGATGAAGGCATGCTGGTGGATACCATTTGCCTTGAATTTCCAGGTGGATTAATACAGGATATAGGCTTCTCCTGAAGCATTCTTCATTCCCACAACATTGGTGCTGACACATCACATAAAGATAAAACCACTATGTTAGAACACTTTACAAGCTCATCCAAGATCAGCTCATTTCTTTAGTTTCACAGAGTAGGAAAATATTTGCTTCTTCCTTTATTGAAAGAGCAAAATCTAAGCCTTAACCAACTTTTATTTCTATTGAAGAAAAATCTGATCAAATTTCATCCTTGGACATTTACTAACATTCCATAACTGTTTCCTAACAAACACTAACATTTTTTTAATAGTGTTTGAAATTCTGATTGGTGATGAAGATCCAAAATTTTTTCATGAGAAGTTTCTTATGCTTGAAAAGGACCAGTCCTTTTGTGAGGTATGAAGCTTTTGTAAAGGTATGAAAAAAGTAATCCTGGCTAAATGGGATGTGTTTTTTAACATAGCCTATATTTGACATCCAGTTTAATTGTGTCAGCTAGAGTTTTCTTATGAACACCGGAGTAAGAAAAGTCAAGTCTAAATTAGACAGCTACAAATTTGACAAATATTAAAGAGGTAAAAGAAATGTTCTGAACCAAAAAAAACCCCCAAAAGAACATTTAAAACCCAAAAGATAACAGTTGCAAAACATGTAGATGCATCCCATGGGTTCACGATGTTTCTTTTTAGTTTTACAAAACACTGTTGAGTATAATAGAGCTTCACATAATATAAATGAAAGTAAAAATATTCAAGGAAGAATATAAAGAGAAACACAAGTAGGGAAAACATCTGCATTAGCAATTTAAATAATTTTATTCATCTACAGAGGGTTGAGTAAACCATAATAGTGCACTTAAATGAGAAGCTCTTCTGCACTATGACTTCTCTTGAAACTGCTTCTTGGCGAGCCTTCCTGAGTTTCCCACTCACTGTGTCACCCAGTAAATGCCAAAAATACTGACATAAAAGAGATCTTTTTTACAGAAGAGATCCTTTTTTACTTACAACAGAAAAATAATGAAAGATGTACTGCATCAGTTTTAGAGATAAGAAATAAAGGATATTCCTTAAAAATAAAGGAAACAAAAATCAAACAGTGTTACAGCATCATTCCCCCACCTCAGCACAACAAAAGGCTTCTTTTACACTATTTCAGTCAACTCTAAAGTGAAATTTTTCCTGTAATTTAACAAAGTTTCAATTGGTTCAGATACAAATGAAGGTAGAGCTAAGGCCATTAGTTTAAGAACAAAGGATCCAGTGTGAGATAGCAAGATTTGTAATTCAGCATGTAGACATCTCACTAAAGTTGAGGTCAAGTAAAGATTTGCAAAGCACTAGCATGAGCAAATGAGAAAACTGACTTCACATTCAGAACTATTGTTTACCACATTTTAATTTTTACTGTAAATTTATATTATTCACAGCAGGGAGCTGCCCTGAGTGAACTCATGGTAGTAATAAAGCCTGTCCTTTTCTGTTGTTACCTGTCACTAGCACAGTTATTTGTTGCTGTCCAGTCATGTTGAGGGTTGACAAGGATGCCCCAAGAGAGGAACACAGAGGTTGGGGTGAGGGTGCCAACCACCAGCTGCAGAGGCTTCTGTGTCTTGTTCCGACCTACATAAGGAACACAGAAAGTTAATTTCTCTCTCCTGCATTATAAAGTTTTTGCAGATGGACAATTAAGTAAATCATGATCTCTTCTAAACTTGAAGGGAAAGGTACAACAGTTCTCTAATTTTCATGGTCACTATTTTTAACATGTGATTTTCAAAAGTGACAGTGTCACATCATCATTCCTTCAACCTAACATTCCAGTTAAAACTAGTTTTTGAAAATGGTCATTTGGTGGTTTAAGTACACTTAGTATAAGAATAAGCTATTGGTAAATTAAATTAAAAACTCTGGCTATCTTGGACTATATCAAGACACGACAGAGTCTAGGACATTAGAAAGTCTCTGTGAATGTGATAAAAATAGTATCTTCTTGGCAGGTTTCTCAGTAACACTGCAAATATATCTACACATAATAAATATTTTCTAGAGCATTCTTAAGAGTAAAATAAAACCTACAAAAGTTCTTTTGCTTTTAACTGAAGGCAGATCTGAATCAGTGTCTTTATCTGCAGGAATTTTCTCTTTTAATTACCGACTACGTTGAAATCAGGTTTTGCATGATACTGAACTTCAGCTTTGCTCTGTATAAAGGAGCACAGTTTTTGTGGGGAGAAAGAACTTATTTTAAAAAAAAGTTTAAATGCTAATAGATGAAAATGAACAAATTATGTAGAGACTCTATTTTGAACCTGTAGTTTATGAACTACTACCTGCCCAAGGAGAATCTCTGGTGTTTAAAAGATGATTGACTATAGGAAATCAATATATTCTTTACATCACATTACATACTCCAAAGCTCTAAAGGATCTGTACCTCCTCAAAACATACAGGTGACCAACATTTCCTGAAAATTTATAAGCCACTGATCTAAAGGGTTTTTTTCTCACTGTTGTGAACCAGATTTTACTAACTTTCTATTCACACCTTTTTAACCCTATTACCTCTTCACTTAACCAGCCCCAGTGACAGCCTGTTTTGTATTTTCAACCAATATATGTGTGTACATTTAGAAATGTTAACCATGCTGGTTTTAACTTTATGTTGATGATGAATATGTTAATACAAAACCTACGTTAAAAACCAACATATATATGTTGCATCTGAAGGGTAAATCACTTTCCAAAATCTTTCCGGACATATTGTGTTACACCTAGCAAAGAGCAAGAAAAGATTTATCCCAAACATTACCAGGAGTTAGGAAAAAAAATCATTCAAAGATCATAGAATAATTTGGGTTGGAAGGGACTTTTAAGGTCCTTCTAGTCCAAGTCCTCTGCCATGAGCAGGGACATCTTCAATTGGATCAGGTTTCTCAGACGTGATCTGTCCAACCTGACCTTGAGTGCTCCCAGGGATAGGTCATGAGTTTATTTTTTGTAACAGTCCAGTCATCCTGCAAGAAGTCTCCACATTAAAGTACAGAATTAAGTCTCCATATTAAAGTAAGATTTGACAATATTAATGACATGATTAAGGTCATATAGAAAGACTTTGAAACGATGAGAACCAAATTCAGATTTCTACTTTGCTGTGTATAGATTCAGCTGGAAATATCACTTTCTGTAACTTCTTGCAATAGTAAACTTAGTAGTAGATTGATATAGAGACAGACACACACTACCATTTTAAGAGCATTAACATGTCTATGGATGAAGGAATCCTTACTTGTAGTTTGGAAAGAATAATTTTAATGTCTTTAAACATCAGAAATTAGAATTCTAAATTTCAATTCTCATTTTTAAGAATTTTATGCAAAAAAATCTTTAGGTACATCTTCATGTTTTGAGCACCATGTGTATGGCTACTGACTCGGGAACGCTGTCCTATGTTTTACCTTTTCACATATGGAATTTGTGCATCCCAGTGAGATGCCTACAGGTAGAAACATCTTTTCAGAGAAACCCAGCACAAGGGTCTGTTTTCTTTCAAATATTTTAAGAAAGAGATGCAGTAATATTAAAATACCTGAACAAGATTTCTTGTTATTTGAAACACGTGCTGGTCTTACTGAAACCAAATACCGCGGCTCTGCATCTACAAATGAAGGAAAAAGGAATTAGTACAGATATGCTATTTATTTGAAAAAGAGATTAATCTGAAATTAATAAGAAAAAGTCAAATAGTCAGTGAATTCTTGACACATTGTCCAATCTTCATGATCTTTAGGCTGTTTTCTTTAAAATTCATTGAGTTCAAAATGATAAATGATTTGATTAAAACAAGGTTGAGATATTTATTTTAGTTTGGGGAATTCCACTTCAGAAATAAGATTTTCCCTTACACTTAAAGCCAGGTGTCAGAGATTTCTGCCCTTCTTAGTTATTTAAAACCAAGCTCTATTCCCTCTTAACTGCAACATGAGAGAAGGAGATTCCAGCAAGATATCCATGGGCAGAATTTGGCTCACTCTCTACTGACCAAAATTATTTTTACTATTGCTTTTAAAAAACAGGATTACTCTACATAGAATTCTTATTCTAGTTTAGATACATTTATCTAAATGTATAAGTATAAATAAGAGACTGAATTTCCTGGGTATTTCAGTGTAAGAGGCACCTTGAATTCTACCAACTAAACAGAACTGCTAAGAAATAATTAATTTTTCTCGTACACTCACTTTTCTGTAAAGAGAGAGAAAGGAAAAGCAGTACCAGAAAAAACAAAAGCTTGCTGTACTACTGAAAAAGTTATTCCAGTATGGGGAAAACCACTCTAACTTATTTGATTCTGTGCACCTAAAGCACTGGAAACCCATACTATGAATGTACCTTAATTGTTTAATTAGTCATTTAAATGGGTTTCATCTGCACCAAATAACCAAGATAAGCATTGAAAACAGCTGTTCAAAGCAGTGTGGAAAAAAGAATTAGTTAAAAAAATGAACTCCAAAGTGTAAATACATCTTCATTTACAAAATTTTTTTTTAATATTGAGAGGGATACACAAGCGTGGGAGTGGTGTAACCACTTGGATTTTTTTTGTATTGAGACTGAAAAATAGAAATAAAGATCACTTTAAAATAATTTTGTTTCCCTGTATTATAAACCCAGTTTTCTGCTTTGCATTTATGCCCACTTGTGAGATGTTATAACTCTCACAAAGTATTCAACAGGATTATTTTAAAACATGACCTTGAAAGTTCAAGAACTAAAAAGCCAGTCTTCAAAATGAAGAATTTATGGGTTTATCAGTAAAATGTCCAAGAATTGTGAAAGAAAACTATTAAAATACTTTGAAACAGTTTTTCCCTGCTCCATAAATGGAAAAATTAATTCTGGCTGAAATCTGAAATGACTTGTGTAGCAGTATAGAAATAGATAAGTGCTAAATAAAATATGGCAATACACAAAGACTGTTAATGCCTCACTGGACATCTCAGCTACAAAACCTGGCAGCTTTCAGGATTCATTAGTTCTAGCAGGTGTTCTTGTTCTGTAACAAAGTGTTTTCTGTGGAAATATTTTGTGTTAGATGCTGTTCATTAAGCTTTATTTTGGTGAGTTCAACAAATGTTGCCTTAATAAAGAATACAACACATTCCCATTTTCCAGAGGATTCATGGCTCTTCTGACTGCAATACAACCTAAAAAAGGAAGCATTTAGGAAAAGAGGCTGAGACTAGATATTGAGAGAGAGCTGTTAGAGAAGAGGCAGGTTTAAAAAGTACCACTTCTTTAGAACCACTGAACTTAAGACAATATTATGATCATTTTAACTGAAATCAGAAAATAAATTTGTTAAACAAATCCACTCAATACATGGGATACAACAATAAGTTTCTGTACTGTGTTTAAGCTATATCTTAATTTAGAAATATGATTCCATGATTCCTGAGCACAACCACCCATGCTACTATATAGATATTAAGAGTAGAGCAACTGTAATTTAAGTTAAATTCATTGGTTTTATGCACAGTACCAAAGCATTATGCACAGACAGGAGGGCACATGCCTTGAAATGCTTTTATTCTGGACAGATATACATTCTATATCCAAGACACATGAAATTAAATAATGCAGAGAGCTTTTTCAATATCATATAATGAGCCCTGACTCATTAGAATTGGGAATTGTTTCTTAGTCTTCCACTGCAAATCAACATTTCTTTTAGTAAGTTCAGAAGACTACTGAGTTTCTACATGGATTCAGTCTTGCTGAGAAATATGACTATCAGTCATCATCACAATGCTGAAATCATCTGATGCTACTATGACTCAATTCATTTTCAGGGCGTTCAAACATTGCCTCACCCATGTATTAAATTCTGTCAAGTTACAGGAAATCTTTCATGATAATCTGTGTTCTTTTATGATGCCTATACAGTCATAATCCATTCCATGGATTCTTATAGACAGATCCATGTCTATAAGAAGCAGGAACCTTGGGGAGAGGTGAGTAACACAGCAGAAGAAAATGAAAATTCTGCAGAATACCAGAACTCAAATAAAACCATATTTTGCTCTAATTCATGTAGTGCTTAAGAGATAAATTGCTGAAATAGAAGGTAGGTAGGAAAATGTGATCGTCAGTCATAAAAATATGGATGTTTGACTGGATGTAATTATGATTCACAGAACAAATCAGCCATTTGCATGAAAATATATTTAAGAAGAGAAGCTTGTTTGAAAAATAAAATTATAACCTCAAGTAAAAGCAAAATACACCACAGAGTACAGAAAATCCTGTTTGCAACTGAATATTTCTTAGTTTTTCTGAATTGCATTTAGTAAGAAAAGGATAGTTACGTAATTAAGATCAATGTTGAAATGTCTGGACACAGATGCATGAACCCAGCATCTGCCTCCAAAATCATTTCAACATTAATCAGTATATAACAGAGACAAATATGATAAAGATGCAAAATATAGACCTGTCTGTCTCTCATCTATGAGGATCCACATAAATGAAGGATCACTACAAACAATGCAAGCTTTAACAAGTTAAGCTTGAAATACATTTGTAAATTTGCTATAAAACTCTTAGTAGCTCCTTGATGTCTAACACATTCTTGGAGGGCTGCTACTCTAAGACCACTTTTTTCAATCTATTACTGTCTAACCCCCTTTATTAAGGCTAGAACAGCTAATATTTTGGCTAAGAACTCCTTTCAGATCAGAAATAAAGTCCAAAGAGTGACCACCTTCAATTCTTTAACCACAAAATACTCTAGGAAAATGCCCACATGTACCAGAGAAGTGCTCCTCCAAAAATCCATGCCTAATTATTAGTGGTATAATTCCCCAAACATAGGCTATTATATTAATAAATAAAATTATTAAAAGAATAAAGCTTCTATTACCCACCTTAACAGCTTATGAAGACAACCAGAATGTAACAAAAATATGTGCCACTGACATATCAGATTAACAAAGGAGAACACTTTCCATGCCATCAGCTAGGCTATCAAATCAATGGCAGCAGGCAATGAACACTACACTACAAAATGCTAGGAAAGTCTGCTTCTCTTCAAGCACACTATTCAGGGCCAAGCCAGTATGCACTTGCAAGCAAAACAATGTAAGTATGAACTGACTGATGAACTTAGAACTTAGAATCTTAAAATAGTGTTACAAATGCATCATTAGAATTCATGGACCACTGGATTCAGAAATCAAAACAAAGTATTTTTTTGCTTCAGGCTGCAGGCCCTTAATCCTTATTTAGAGATTGCTAAAAACTTACCATGGGATGTTGTTAAGGACAAAGTTGGAGGAAGGGGAGGATGGAAAGTATTGTAGTGTAACAAGCATGGGAGAAGGCAGAGAAGTGGGACAAAGAGGCTGGCATGAATGATCCTGCTGCTGATCAGTGCACTTTTCTAGAGGAAGGGGCATCTGCTGGACACCTCCAGCTCCTCCCTTCCACTAGGCTCTGCTAGCATTAGCAATGGGAACCTGCTTTCTGGGAAGTTCTGGTAAGTTAGCAGGAGGCAACATAATGCTGAATTAACATTCATGTTATTTGGCATCTTGAAAAGCATGCAGCTAATACGACTGCCAGTTTCTGGTAACTGATAAGAAACTACACAGCAAGATCTTTTAGCTAATCACTGCCCTAGCACAGATCACTGAGTTACACTTTCTACAATGTGCTCAAGGTGGTACTAGAGCCCTCCCATATACATACATAAACATTAAATTCACACAACACTTACTGGCAGTGTTATGAAGCAGGATTACCAATACATTCTCCTCTTACACTGTGCAATCATGTGCAAGAAAAGGAAAAGTAAAAGCATTGCCCAACTTTGAGCTGGTTTTAGAAACTGAAAGGGAAAATAATTTTGCTCATTCTGTTAAGTAATTGCTGTTCATTCTTGCAAAAATTCCTGCGTCCACCCAACTTTCTGGGTTTCTCCAACAGTATCAACAATTTCTAGGAGGTGGGCTTGCAATCTTCCGAGACAAGTTAGAAAAGACTAACAGAAATCTCTTAAGCAAGTACTTTCTTTACAAGTCAGGAAGACTGAAAAAATTAAGATAAAGTTTTAAGTCAAGCCCAGAGCTTTTGGATGGGTCCATTCACCTTTCTATCAGTCTAGCGGAATTAACCTCTCGATATCTTTTGACACTGAATAGCTTTCATGACCAAAGGTCATATTGTTTACTGTCATGTGAGCACATAAAGTACACTCAGCACAAACCACATCTGGTGTCCGGAAACAGAGGCACAATTCTTGGGAACAAACTTTGCTGCTGCCTTGTCATTGACATTTCAGTATATTCAGATCTATCTGCTGGAGCATGAAACTGCTCAAGACTTTGCTGCCAGCAGAAACTCATTACAAGTTCAGGAAATCCAACAGGATCTTTTTCTCTTTGCCCATGCCCTCTGCAGGCAGATCCCAATTCGTTGATAATGTTATCCAATTGCTGCCTCAATTACTATATAATTTGCAAAACGAAGGGAAAAGAGATATTTTAAGATAAGAATTACTGCAGTGAGGTGCTGAATATTTTAATGGATGAAATGTAGGTGAATGTCACATGTACAAAATCATATATCTTTTCTGAAAATCCTAGGAAATGTCATGTCCTTAAAAATAGCTTTAAAAATATATCCATCTGTAGACATGTAATTTTATAAATTAATACATCTGCTGACTTCAAGCTTCCTGTTAACAGGATCATAAAGGTGTGAGACCCAGTAGAAAAACTGACAATAAATTTCATATTAATCTACAACGGCTTGGAAATATGGAATTTGTGGGCCTTACAAATATATATTGTTGTGTTTATTGTCATCTTCTATATTCCAGTTCCAACTGGGGACAATTATCCCAAACAAAATTCCAATTATGCTGCTCCATTAACAAAACCAGGGATGTAGAACTAAATCAAAGAAATGTGGAAATGTCTGCAAGGCACTTCATTCTACTTGTAGACATTCTTTTTTAGAAAGGAGAAATTATATTTTAAAGGACTGATGTGTTTTAGGAAGGGAATAATGACTTGTATGTGAGGCCTGTGTGTTTTTTACATTAACCTAACACATAAATTAATGTTGTTTTTTTTTAGCAGTGTCTACAGCTGATTGTGTATCTGTACAATTTTTCCTTAAAAATTTTCACAGAATAAACAATTTTAATACTACCAGCACAAGATCCACTTTCATGGATCTTCCATTTTCCTGGATCTAATCTCTCTCCCAGGGGATTATATTCCACAGCATTGCTCCTTAATGCATTAGAAACACATACAAACCGTTTAGAGAGTAACAAATGCCATTAAACATCCATTTCTCATCTTTACCTTTCACTACAAACTGATTTAAGGTTGTGATCATAGTCCCTAAATTGACTGGGAAAGGTTTCTCTTTCCATGAACCACTAAAACTAACAAGGGAGGAAGCATTAAATTGCATTAGTCCTGGTCTAAATAGACCACAATAAATTTTCATATTTGGGAACCACTTCTTCCACATTCTGCTCAATAAATGCCTCACCTATCACTGTTCAGGGAAACCACCTGCTTTCTGTAAAATTCAGATAAGTCAAAGCATGAGAGGACCAAATAGGAGTTCTCAGGGCAAAAATGAATGATATTTTTTGTATAAACCTAGTTGTTTTGACTGTGGAAAAATGTGTGGAACACACTGAAGACTATTTTCAGAGAGTGCAGCAGCACTTGGATCACTAGAGTATCTAGAACACGGGATTGACAACCTTGAGTGTGAAATTTAAAAGTACATTGTTTTAATATGAAGACAATATACTAGGCCAACTTTATGACATTGTACTAGAAGTACAATGATAATCTGAGATTTTTCATCAATAGAATCTAAAGGGTTTATATCTTTGGCATATTTCTTGAGAGTATTTTTATTGTCCCTCTGCAACACCTTGCTTTTTCTAAAATCAATATAAAGTATATGCTAGAGCTGAGGTCTCTGGCTGCCACAATAAAACTTACTCATTGTTCCTAGAATTGAGAACCATTCTGCAGTTCTTCCAGTTTCTGCCAGCAACTGATCCCTAAATACGATGGGGAGGAGGGAGTGTGCTAGCAATCATCTCTGTCTTCATTTCTGCCACACAAGTCACCCTAAAGTAGAGCCAAAAGCACAACTGATGTTTATTGCTTTAGCTTGTGTTCCATACATATTTGGAAAGCACAGTCAAAGCTGCAGTTTAATATTGTGTTTAATATTTGTGAAATGGGAAAGATTATGCACTCTCTGCTTCCAATAAACAAGTCCCCAAGGCATTCAATCTAACCCTAAATTTCTCAACTTAAACCAACAGATCCAATAAACGTACTGGTAATTGCCTCAAATAAATGTTTGCAACTTGAAGTACTTATTGCTGATAACTTCTTTTACTCCTGTCTTTTCAAACTCTTCATTTTTCTGAAGGTTAGAAATGCTTGTCTTGCTACCTGTATTATGTTGCATTTTGCATTTTTAGTTACTGGACATTCAGAAGTCACAAGCATAGATTTATTGTCACAAGGAAACTGACAATTTCTATCAGCATGAGGGAGATAAAATTTTGACATTATTCTCCTTTGAAATAATCATAAAGGAAGAGTATTCCTCAACATTTGTGCTTTTTCCTCTACAGACACCCTACAGCAAATGGATATGCATATGGTCAGTGCTCTGATGTGCTGTAGAACTAAAGAAAGGAGCCTAGAGTCCAGCCATTAACTGTTAGGGTTAAAGCTACAAAATATCAATATACCTGAAATTCCAGGTGACCTTGAGCTTTCAGTTTTGCAAAACATTAGATAGAAAAGCTTCTATTACATAGGGAGTTAAAATGATCTTACACAATGTTACATTCAGTCCTTTTTTCGCTCTTCCCTAAGATCTGAGTACCTGAAAAAATTAATCCTCAAAAATTAATCATCACTACTCCTGCAGCAGGTATTGTTATGCTTAATGCACAGTATACTACAGAAAATCCTGTACATCATTCTTAGTGAACTGATTCAAAACTTACACATAGGATGAATCAGGTAAGCCAGACCCAGCTTAAGTGATGGTTATGAAGTCAAACACTGGATGGGTGATAGAATTACAGAAAGATCCCAGAAGTACCAACTCATGAAAAGGAAAGTTAACCTTTGCCACAGTGATCCTATCAGTCTCCCATATCTTAACTATTCTGTGTCTAACATCTTATTTTTTCAGTTTTTATTCTGCAGTTTTCAGTCTGGAGCACACACCCACAATGGCCTTAACTGAACACATCAAAAACATTACAGTTATTACTTCTATGCTCATGCATCCTTTCCTCTCCCTTGCTTTACACCAAGACCACCAGCATTACAATGATGAGGGTAAATTGATTCATTTCAGGCTAGAAAAATCTAAATAAATCAATAGGAAAATCTTAGGGATTTAACAGGTCAAATCCTGATAAATCAATGTTTTAACAATTCATTCTTCCTTCCTTCTCCCTATTCCAGATAACAGGATATAGCATTCATGACATGGTTTAATCTCTTCCATAAAACAGCTCATGGAATTCCATTGGTAACTTCTGATATGGAAGTTAGAGGTTAATCTATAACATGCAATACGGGAGTAGATCCCTACAAGAAGAGGCATCATGTTGATATGAATGTTTCTGTCAAAAGGAATCAACCACACAATTCTCAAGACTCTTTCACTGCTTCTTCTATTGTTTGTTAAAAGCATGTACATTTTTCTGCTATTCTCCTTTATATCTGCATCTTCAGGCAAACCATCCCGTCTGATGTGTGAGTTGTTCAAGTGTAATGCAGGCTCTCACTAAAATGAAAATCTCCAAAACAAATACAAGTAAGCAAAATTTCCAGACAACAAGAACTAGCTGTTCTCCTTGAAGGACCAGCTAATTACACTTTCCACTGAAATTCTTTACAGCAACCTTAAACAAACACAAAGAAACCATAAGCGCTAACCCAATAAAACAAAAAATTAGGTGAACAAAATGTTCATACTCTCCTCAGTCTCTTCCCATAATTCAATACAAAGCAAATATGTCTTACCAAGCTCTGTTACATAGTTTTTTCCTTCTGAAGGTAAAGGGATGTACTGATTAGAAAAGAAGTTGCTTCCATAACCCAGGACAAAACCTTCTAGTTTGGTGCTTTGACTCGGTCGAAGATACCTCATGCAAACAGTGTCATCTGTGGCATTGATCTGAACCTTCAGACTCTGCCTTTTCACTGGGGAAAGAGTGAAAAAGAGGAGATCAGAATGCATTGCCTTGCCATCACATATTGTAATGGAACATTACAAGATAACAATATAGGGCTGTTTAATTTGCTAATAGCATGCAACTGAAAAATTTCTTATAGATGATGTCCCCTGGAAAAACACTGTACTTATAAAAGTGAACTAACAGTCATACATAATAGTGGTTGCCAACATGACTGTTTTTCCACTAGTTTAGCATTATCATTTGCTTTAACATCTACAATTGCAGTAGTAAGACCATGCATGAAGTAAGTGGAAAAAATGCAAGTGTTTTTTCCTTTAAATGCAAGAGTTATGGTATTAGTACATATTAGCCATATGTAGGACCCATAGGAGAGAAATGTACAAGTTTTTGGTTTGATTTTTTTTCCTTCTTTGTTGAAAATATGAAGTTGTAAAATTAAGTTAATCAGTTAATCACACTCAAAAATTATGTTAGAGGATAAACAGCAACTAGATCCAAATAAATCTTCTACAATTTTCCCCCCTATGTTGGGCTGGAAATGTAATTTTGTATTTGGAATTACACCAGGACACCTAACTAACATAAATACTTTACTCAAAACTACAAAGAAACTCTTTTTAAACATTCATTTTTATGCTTTCCAGGGGAACAGCACATAAAGTAAGAAACATCTTGTATATCCATCTGCAAAAATTTAACTTGTAGCAACAGAGAATGACTTCACAACAGAATAAATAACTTTTTAGGCTACAAGTTGGTGTTTTGGCTTCTTCTTGGTGGGGTAAGGGAGGATTGGCTTTTCCCTTTTGCTTCCTTGGTATGTACAATTTTAGTACTCCCTTGTTACTGTTAGGCCTATCATATTTTCAGAACTGTTGAGTTGCTGGCTTTCCCCCAAACTTACAACACCAGCACTGGACTAGTACATTTTGTGTTGTTATTTCTCTTCTCATTCTCAAAATATAAATTTTTATCCCCAGCAGATTTTCAGGCATCTGTTCAAACATGAGAGCTGAAATTAACTTATCAGGAAAAACCCGAATTTTGCAGATAATAATTTTGATTCAGGAACTAAATCCTGAAGAACAACTATGAGATAAATGATAAATAATACATCATCGAATAATAGGATAGAGCAATACTAGACTTCTTTCTTTCTTTCTTTCTTTCTTTCTTTCTTTCTTTCTTTCTTTCTTTCTTTCTTTCTTTCTTTCTTTCTTTCTTTCTTTCTTTCTTTCTTTCTTTCTTTCTTTCTTTCTTTCTTTCTTTCTTTCTTTCTTTCTTTCTTTCTTTCTTTCCTTCCTTCTTTCTTTCCTTCTTTCTTTCTTTTTCTTTCTTTCTTTCTTTCTTTCTTCTTTCTCTTTTTCTTTCTCTCTGTCAGTAATTGCAGACTGATATTCAAACTTTCTCTAGACAAGTACATGCTGATTCTCTAATATCACCCCAACATACCCTGTTTTTTTAATAGAAATTCTAATGACTAGAGTTGCCAAGAGACCAAAAACATCACTTTGTTTTAGTAGATGATTTGAGCATCTGCAGTTGTCTGCACACAGAATGTAAAGCCTTAAGCCAACACTTTATGCCTCTTCCCTTTACAGAAAGAAGTGTACAAGTAAAATTGATGGAAAACATCTGCCTCCCTTCCTTTATCTAAAGACTGATCAAGAAAAATCATTCAGCCAGGAAACTGTCACAATTTTCCGAAGGCAATTCTGCCAGGTTCCAGAAGACTGCAAGGCTTCTAGAAAATTCAGTTCTCTGGCATTTTCAGCAGAGCAATACCTTCATGGGGAAAAGTGTGGCAGTGGCTTCTAATCTCTGTGACATACTGGCTCACTTATTTTCAGTACACAAGATTGCTGAGGATGGGCAACTCTGAATATTGACAGGGCTCCGACAGCACAAACCAGGAAGAAAACACAACACACTTCAAATACCCCAAACAGGCTTCATAAAGACACTTAACAAAAGCTGGTAACAAAGTTTAGGATTATTATCTCTGACTGACAGTGAGCTACATCTGTTTAAATTATGGATTCTTCAAAACCCATTAAGCATTATTGAAATGATGGTCTCCTGGTCTCTATTGAGTATTCATGCCTAAGAAGAAAAGAAGACTTAGATAACTTAATTCAAATATGGTAATTTGATTTCCATAATAAATTTCTTAATCAGTCTTAAACCTGAATTTATTAAAAAAAATCTAGAGAACATCTATTTAATTTTAAATTTACAATAATTTAAACCATTTCCCCTACACTTGTATCTATGTATCTCTGTTATACTTTACATCAATTTGAAGACTTAATTCTATATCAAGATTATATTCAACTGGATCTGATTTCAGTTACATGGATAGAGTGACAAAGAGTCTTGATTTTGTTAAAACCTTAAAACTCAGTGAGGTTTCTGCAATGAGAAAGCTTAAATGGGATCCCAAAACAGTAGTATCTTTGAAATAATACCCTCTAGACCTATTTTTTATAGCTAGCATATCAAAATCACCAAGAGAGCTTTTAAAATCAAAGACAGTTCTAGCAGAAAATAAACAGGAATAATGTATTTTTTTTAAAAAGAGAATAAGGCAGGAAAGAAGAAAAGGAGATACATTTGAAATTTTAAAAATAAATCCTTGTCCTCACCACCCTGTCTTGACAGGGCAGGTCATTTTCCTCTAATTTACTTTTAAGAACAGTGATGGCAAAAAGTATTGCAGAGTCCCTGTAGAGTTTAGGAAAAAACAATTAAGAAAAAATTATTCAGGTTGGAAAAGACCATCAAGACCATCAAGATCAACCATAAACCCAGCACTGTCAAGTCCACCACTAAACTGTGTCCCCAGGTGCGACATCTACATAACTTTCAAATACCTCCAGGGATCGTGTCTCAAACATCATCAGTCTGTTCCAATGTTTCATGTTTAGGTGAAGATATTTTTCCTAGTATCCAACCTAAAGCTCCCCTGGCACAACTTGAGGCCATTTGCCCTTGTTCTGTCACTTGTTACTTGGGAGAAGAGGCTGACCCCCACCTGGCCCCTGCACCCTCCTTTCAGGCAGTCGTAGACAGAGAGAGAAGGTTCCCCCAAGCCTCCTTTTCTCCAGTTCCCTCAACTCCTCCTCGTAAGACTTTTGCTCCAGTCCCCTCACCAGCTTTGTGGCCCTTCTGTGGACGTGCTTCAGCTCCTCAACACCTTTCTTGCAGAGAGGGACCCAAAACTTAATATAGGATTTAGAGTGCAGCCCTACCAGCGCCAAGTGCAGGTGGGTGACCACTTTCCTGTTTCTGCTTGGCACACTATTGCTGATAAATGGGCTTCCACTGGGTTCTTAACCACCGGGGTGCACCCTGGCTCATGCTCAGCTGCTGGTGACCAGCACACCCAAGCCCTTTCTCACCAGGTAGCTTTGGGTTGTCATGAGACAGGTGCAGCATTTGGCCTTCCTGAAGGTACACAACATCCACAACCTTTTCCTCATCCAGTAAGTGTGTGACCCTGTCATAAGAGGAGATCAGGTGAGGCAAACAGGACCTGTCTTTCTTAAACCTGTCCCAAAGAGCAGCAAAGAGCAAGCAGACAAATCTCCTTCTTCATTTTAACTTGGCCGCGTGTTTTTCAGGGAAAATAACTGCTACAGCAACAACACAGATGCCACACTTCATATGACTAAACCACATTCCTATTAATGGGCTGTGTGCATTCCAGAATCAGTGAAAATGAGGGATGAATATTAACTGGTAAAACAATAAATGACCAGTGTCTGGAAGTGTACAAACAGAAATGGAGCAACCAAGGACAAGGAGAGCTCAATCCTACGTGCTGCACAGACACTGCCAGTCTAACCAAGAGAGGGCCAGCCGGGAGCAAGGCAGATACAAATGATATGTAAATTATCTTGGTAAATGGAGACTGCCCCCAGCAGCATATTAACAATATAGATTTCATTTGTGCTGATCTCACAGTGGTTTGAACAATTAATCAGGAAAGCATTCTCATTCTGATTACTATGTCTCTTTTAGTTATCACTCAGATAAATATTCATTAAATATGATTAAATAGACAAGAGAAATCATAGGAACTTAACTCTTATGATACTGTGATAGGAATCTATTTGATTTTGAGAATTTTTTTTTTTGTATTAGGATTCCAGGAGACCATTTTTGGTCTCCTGGATAGAAGACCTGGGGGCATCTCCTTGATAGAAGACTTAAATGATAAACTAGATGCCGTCTAATTCCATTCATTTGTGTTGGTTTTTGGCATTTGTTATTGAAACCCTGGTCCTAAGAATTTGCATTTGTAATGTAATTCTTTTACATTGAGGCCATTTCCAAATGGAAGATTCTGAGATCTACAGCTACCTCTGAAACACAATCTTTCCCTCCATGCTTGCCAACAGAAATTCCACACTGATCTGCAAGTATTCTCTTCAACAAAAGTCAGTTGATGGCCAAGATCAGCAGGAGAAACTGTGCAAAGCACATTTGAAGTAAAAGCACAACATTAGGTGCATCAGAGCACTTGGAGTGTTGGAATCACTCTGAGAAAAGGAGTCTGCCTCTACTAGGAGAGAATGAAAAACAATTTAATAACGAATCAGCTGCATCATCAGAGGACCACCCACCACCAGCTCTTCAGAAAGAAGAAAATAGGTACCAATGGCCCAAAGAATCCAGCTGGAAGCACCATAGTTTGGCTAGTTGGAATGTATAGGCAACAGGAGACAGAGGCAAGAATATATTGGAACTTTTAAAAGTTAAGGTGGTACTCTCACTCATACCAGGAGTCTACTGCACACTTTAGGTGTGCGTGGTCTCTTGCGATCAAATACAGTCCTATTTTTTGTTTTTATCCATAGAGTGAGGATCCTTGAACTCTGCCCTACAAAACTAGAGGGTGAATACAGCTGTAGTGTATTACAGCAAATTTGGCTTTGTTGCCAGAATTCCTTTTGCCTTACATTGAAACTGTTTATTTTCCACTATTTCAAAGATTTTAAG